GTTCAGCCAATCTTTGGAGGTTATTTGGAATTTCTGACCTATTTTCTTTTTTCTTTTGAAAATTACAAAATTTACAAAGCCAAAAGTAAGAATTTCAAAGTTTATTTTAATATTATAAATTTTCCTTGGATGAATTTTCAGACTTCAAATTTAATAAAATACTCTTCGAATTGATGGCATCAGTTTAGAAAATTTAGCATGAGTCGTTGTCAAACGGTGCAGGGATTAAATACATTTGCCTCTGTGTTCGTTTCCTTTTTTTTTGTCATGGTTTTTCTTTCCCTTTTTTCGAACGTTTCTCGGTTTTAAATAAGTTTGTATCAATCGTGGCCTATCTGATTACAACAGAACTCGCTCTCGCTCCCCGGAGAACGACCCACACGAAAATAGCACACAACCGCACACAAAAGCCAATTTCGATAAAAGCAATAAGTATTGATGTTTGACTTGTATTGATTGGCCACTCCGACCGACTCAGGTGGAATATTATTTATTTCAACCACTGTTTTTTTTTTCATTCTCATACTGGGAAATTGAATACGCGTGACTGCAGTTTAAAATGTAATCCCGGGAGCATGCGTGGTGAAAAAAAAAATAATAAAAAAAAATAAAAAAAATCCACAACCCAAAACTATTCATGTTTGTTAGTGCTTTTTAATACAATATGAAAGTAAAATGTTTTAAAAATTTTTAAAATAGTTCAGATTATAATTTTTTTAAATTTGATTCACTTAATTTATTTTCATAAATTATTTTTAAAATTTGTCTGCATGTCGCGGTAATCAACTTACCGGCCAGAAGCCAGAAACAGAACATTTTTCAAGCCCTCTGACCCTACCAGAATAGAGCCCTAGGCCTTCACCACCATAAGACAATAAAAGAGTTGCAATTATTATCAGCAAAGCGCACAAACACAGTCGGTTATAAATCAGAATTGTTACTTGATTATTAAAAAATAAAATCAATAGTGTGAAATTCCATTATTCTCACTTCAAGAAAAATAACAAAGTTTATTTTTGTTTGAGAAATTAATATAATTATGCATCGTGACTAAAACTTATATTTTATTTACCATCAATCTCGTCCGTTTATTTTCACTTTCCGTCTCTCCATAAATCGCACTTTAATTTACGAAGATAAATTGTGAATCGAGTTAACGTAAACCGAGCCGCGTTTGCAAAGTGGTGAGGCAAACCATGTCTAATTATCGGTTGTTTACTCGTTGAGCAGGCAGATTAATGAGCGCCTGCGATGAGTAAGACGGCTATTAAAAGACGTGCAAGTAATCGATACATTACTATGTGAGATGTTGCTCTTCATTTTCGCAAACGAGCAACCTGCTAGAGTTTCCATCGAGACGCCAGGTGCTTCTTCTTGAGTGCGTGAATTTGCGTATCGATTGCCTCGGCGCCCCACGCGGCCGCTTTTCCATCAAGTGACCCATATATTCCCAAGGTGGACACGGAGAAAGTTTGAGTGAGTGGATCTTTAAAAATTCATAAATGCCATAGTTATAAGTCGATTCGATTCTATTTCGAGGCCGCATTCGTGACTGCAAAGCTAAACTCTTGCACGTCTGGTGGAGCAACCAGCAACCGGTGAAAGAGTCTCTTTCAAAAGTGGACTAAAATTGATAAATTCCTGAAAGAATAATGTCACAAGAGAGCAAGAAAGCTATAGAATCATCTTCTATTGTCTTAAAGAACTAACTTTCAAAGAAGTAAGCATCAATAATTAATTTCTATCTTGTTTTTTGTGCAAAAGTGTTGTTCAAATACAACTAAATTTTAACAAATAAGTGTAATATTAAAAAAACAATTAATAGTTTCTTTGTGTCGAGAATAGTCCTGAAATTACGTAAACAGCAAAACAGTAGGCAAAGGTAATATTAATAATTTTATTATTTATCAGTATAAACCACTAAATATTCCAAAATTCTAAAAAAAGTGGAAAATTTTATAAAAATCTTATTAATTTCTAGGGCAAGTGATTCTGTGTTTTTTATTTTTTTTTTCGTACAGAAGTGTCATGTTTGCGTTGTTGAGTGTTAAGTTATTCCAGTTCTAGTATTAATTTTTCAAAGAAATTTACCGTGAATTCAGAAATAAAGTGAAGAAACCTCTGCTCGGAAAACAAATTAAATTGTCCAATTAAAATTTGGACCTTTGTTTTCCGACAGTGATTTTCTCAATCTGAATCCAAGTAAACACATTTCTTTGTTACAAAAATTCATAAAGATCGTTTTTACTTTTTCAGAATTAATACATTTCTCAAGGATCTGGTGCTACATTGAACTGCACAATTGTTTAGATTGAATTAAAAAAAGAAACCCAACGAGACTTTATTTACCAATGCCATACATTTAGAAGTTTTAGAAAATTCCAGAATAAAAGGATTTCAAAACGACCTGCTGGATTATTAGCAAACTTATTCTGGTATCGGGAAAACTTGGAGCGAACGAAATTATCTCTTGCGGCCTAATGGCACATGTGACCCTCCAGCCGTGCGCTCATCTGGCGCAAGAGCCGGTGGTTGGCTCCGTTTTGAGGAAAAAGTGGCGGCGGTGCTCAAAGTCATTATTAGGGTATTATTATGCTCAATCGATAAAATGACCGACCTTCACAGCCATTGCCAAAGGACATATAAGCGACCCCGACCGTAACCATCAATTATTCGGCTGGTGAATATCATGGGGTCAATATGCGGGACATAAATTAATATTAAGTTGCCTCAAGTTCGGCTATTAATTAATTTAATTAAATGTCACTTAGAAACTAACTAATTAGTGATTAAGCATTACAAATTGTGGTTGTTTTTATAAATTATTATGCTAAACCATTTTGATTTATGAAATGAAATGAAATCATTAAAATTAATAACGCCATTGGTTCAATTTAGTGAATATTAACCAAAAACAGAACCAATCTATTTTTTGAACCAATTTAAACTTTTAAAAATCAGACTAATTATAAAATAAACAAAGCTAGTGTCAATTATACTATAAGTGAATAATGCCCAACATTATTTTACAAAATAAATAGTTGTTGCAGTTTTGTAAAGGGGCTAGGAGCAGTTATTTTATGACATATTTTCTAATTTATTATCTATTTTTAATAAAAGAGGAACCTAACACTTAAATTGGTTCTAATAATTATCCCAAATCTCAATTTGTATTAAATAATCTGAGTTTTATTGCATAATTAAAAGTTTCTATGGCTTCTTTTTCTGACCAACACTGAAGTAAAAAATAAATAAAAAATATAATACCACCTATTCATTGCTCATTAAACCAGAATTTGAATTTATATATTCATTTTTTACTCTACTGCTTTGCTTTCATGTGCTTCACATCATAAGTGCAATTAGTGTTTCGCTCTGCAAGTGCAAAAGCAAACAAATTTTTCCTCCATTTGGCTGCGAGATGTTCCTCGTCTCAGTCTAAAGAATACTTTACCAAACTTGAATTGCAGAAACACAGTTTTAACTCGAGCACTTGCTTCCTCCCTTCTCAATTCGCTTATTTCTGCCTTGCTCGTTCGATCAAATTTTCATTAAAAATTCTCAGCAGAGAGGGTGCGAGCGAGATGACAATCGGGAAAATGAGAGACGCTTTCATCAGCACGCTCCTCTCTCGCTTTTTAGCCAAAATCGCCTGCCGGCGAGAGCGAGAGATGCCGTCGGAGCACTTTGCGCATTGCATAAATAACTTTGTTTTGTGCGGAAAAAATTCCGCTCATTCCGAGCGAGCAGTCCTTTTGTGTTGCGTAAAATCTGCACGAAATGTTTCTAAATGTATGCACAAGGAAATTGAGAGTTAAAAAATTCAAGGCACTTTTTAATCTCGAACAAGATTTCCGCCGCTTTTATAGTGTTGTTTTATTATTTCAAATATAACGGAAATTTGGAGAGATTGTATTATAATTTGAATGGTCGCCGAGAGAGACTTGCATGTGAATTTTTAACATTTATATATACACAAGTTTAAGTTTTTTTCTATATTCATGTCAGGATATTTTCCGTAGCTCTTTTATTTTTCAGCTTTTCTACGGCCTCGTGTGTAAAAACCTTGAGACGTGCATGCACGGTGAAATATAAATATATCTTTCCAGATGTATAAATTTTTTTATTTCCGCTCGCTCTGGCTGCGCGAGTTACACAATTCTTCGATTTGCATAGTCGCGTTTCAGATCTACTTACACGTCAAGTGGGTGGGTGAGTGTATTTGTTGTGCTGTACCAGAGCAATGTGGCAGTTTATTGTTGGCCTGGCAAGTGCGCAGAAAAGAGGCGGATCAAGAAGAGAGGAAATAAGCTGAAAATGTATAGAAAAGAAGACGAATGTGCAAGAGTTGGAAAATAAACATGCATAAATCATTTAGCTGCAAAGAGTCCAGGAGACAAGAGAAATCTGATATTCCTGAATGTTACACAATCATTTTTCCTTTTCAATTGAATCAAAAATTTAAACCATTAATTTTTTTACTTTTAATGAAAAAGGGTGGAGGCTGAATTTCAGATTTTCCAACTTTTGATCATTTGGCATTTGTATTTTCTTATTTTTCTATATTATTAAACACAGAAATAAGCCAAAAAACTACTGCATTAACTAGTTGAGACAATTTGATTAAAACTGGAGCAAGTAAAGTTTAACTTCTAATTAAAGTAAATTAACAAGAAAATTTTTTGAAGTATTTTGCATCTCTCTTTTACTTTCATACATTTTTTATTGAATAAAAGTTATACATAAAAGAATTTCCGCCATATCCGCGATGATGCAGTGGAGCGTAAAGTGTGAGATTTGCTGGGTCGCAATATTGAATTTTATTTATTTTATGCCTTTTTCATTTTACGGCTACGTGGAACACGCGGAATGTCTCCGCAGAGAGGCAAAAGTATATCGGGTTGAGGAGGAAATGAAAATGCAACGTAATGTGCGCCTGGCGGGTGGTTTAATGGCCGCAGCTGGACCCATCTGACTGCCATTTTTCGTACTTGTTGCAGATGGAGATGAGAAACAGGAGGCTGCGCTTCAAGGCTTTTTGAGTGCGATGCTGGCTTTGGCCGTGCCGCTCACGGTCATCAGCGTCCTCGGACTCCTGCTCAATGGATACATTCTGCTCGTCGTCGTGCTCACCAAACAGGTGAGTACAAAAAGCTCAAAAAAATTTACATATTTTATCCGGAAAAGAAGAATATCTTGATTCAAAACAAAAATTAATAGGGAAATATATTTATTATGGAAACATTTTATGCAGGACTTTAATTAATAATGACACTTTTTACAAACAATCAGGCTTGTCAGATCCAAGTTGAATATTAATTTTTTTTAAATAAATGAGAATCAATGTTACAATGTGTTTGAACCCTTGCGAATAAAGTTTGTAGAAAATATAAATTGATCGAGAAAAAAATGCCATGCTTAGAATATTTATTTGAATTAAAAAAATTACAATTTATACATAATTTAATAATAATATTATGAAAAATTCAATTATAAATTTAAAATATATAAATCAGAATTTTTCCTCTTTACTTTATAAGAAGTATTTTTTAACTTTATTACAAATTTAAATTTGAAATTAAATAAAAATACCTAATTTCTATGACAATCTAGAGGGTAAAACTGATAACATAAGGACATTTAGTTATATTGAAAATATATTAAAATCAGCAACTGACAGATTCAACTAGTGAAGTGAATGTTTCTTAGGTAGCAGGAAAACAAGTTATCGAAAAATAATTTCTCAATTCTTTATTATAATGGTGTACGCGTGAATTTACAGTGACTCTTAAGTTCAACACGTGAGACACGCATTCCTGCTCAATACCAAATGTGTGTGAACAGAGTTCTCTAGAGGAGAACAAACACATAGAATATTAGGCAAAACATACGGCTTAGTTTGAATGACAAACGATGTGTAGGATGAAAGCACCTTAGCGAAACAACGTTTTCGACGCCGCACTGCAGCGACCGCGAACAATGCGCTAAACGCTGATCCAATTTTCTCAACACCGGCAAACGATTCATTCAGTCCGAAGCTCTCTCTGCGACGCAACAGTTGATTTCCTTCGTCTCCGAACCGAGAAATTACATTCAACAATTGTTACCAGGAGAAGAGCCGAGAGAGAAGGAGCTGCAGACGTTGTCAATATAATTCTCGCCTAATCCCTCCTGGGAGCAAATCCACTTATCCCGCTGCCTCCCCGGGCCTTTCGCAGCTTTTTTCCGGGCCGTTTCTCGCACACGAGGGTCTGACGGTCTAACCTTGATGTGTCTGACGGATTTCGGCTGACTCGTTCTCTCTAATAATACGGACGACATCGTGTGCAAAAATTCTCCTAATTTTTATTAAGGTCCAGACCAGAAGCTGAGTTGAAGAAAAGGAGAAATTTTGGTTAAAAACATTTTTCTATAAACTCTATATATGATATTTTGAATAATTTGAATTGTTATATACTGACGGAATAAATTTAAGGTCAACAATTTTTTTGCGCAAAATAATTACTACTATAATTACTGACCAATGGTACAGTGCAACAATTTGAGCTGCGTAATCATTTGCAATTAATTAAAAATAAAAATAAAATATAAAATAAAAAGCTAACACTCAAGGTGGATCTCATGAAAATTCAAAACTAGGCTTCCTCCTTGCAAAGAGAATATTACACACATAGTATAATTTTGAGCAAAAAAATATTCAAAAAAAAAAAAAAAAAAACTATTAAAGAGATAATCAACTTAAAATTGAATGACCTTGACCTCAATAGAATTCTAAATCTACTGTGCAATAAAATTTTTTTTTTAATAAAATTCAATTAGTTTTTTATTTGTTGATTTGAATTTAAAATTCGGCTTTTCCTCGATGATTTTTTGAGTTTATATTGTTTAAGAAAAAACAATATCCTGCTCTACTTGTTTCGGCTGCTGGCTGCAGCCATAATTCATGAGATTTCTCGGCGGTGCGGTGTTGCGTCATGATTTATTTTCGTTTTGTAACTATTGAGGAATAAATAGTAAAAATAATACCTGATTGACCTACATATCGAAATTCATAAAATTGCCCTAGACGAGTGAGTAGGGATCGAGTTTGTAATTTCCTCACGCAGTACAAAACGCGCCCTGTTGGGAATTTGTTGTGTTCTCATTTTCACCACTAATTGACTGCAAGATGGATTGGGGAGTTACGCGGCGGAACAGCCCCCGTCCCCTTGTCCTGTCAAAAGTTGCAAACTCTCCCGGTAATGAGCCGCTGTTGACACACACCCTGTTTCCCAATTTTATCCGGCCGGATTATTGGCCTCGCCCGGTTTAATCCTTTCAAAATGTTCAACATTTGAGTTTGCACGATTGTGCCACATTTGACACAGAAATAAATCCTCAATAAAAGGCAATAATTCCAACGGACAAAAATTCCAATTAATTAAGCGCGGGTTATTTCGGTCCATTTGCGTGGGTGTTAAGCGCAATTATTTGCCCGTGGTTAATTCCTGCAGCAGCATTTGCATTTGTAGCGAGTGTGTTCATGAATTGTTCAAACAGCAATTAACACCTTGACGTACATAGGCAAATAGCACACGCCTCCGTGCCTCGCTCAATTTGCACATAATTGTTATTCCGGACGTGTTCATCTTTCAAGCGCCGATCTTAATCATCATAATAATGAGACGACGCACAACGGCCACGCGCTCTTCCCGTAATTACTGCCGAGAGCTCCCTTAATGAGAATGAACTGACTCTCTCTTTCTCCAAAGTGTAACAATTTTGTCCTCCAAGCCGTCTAGTTCTTAACTCTTAATTGCAATATTCATGCTGATAATAAAAGTCACTTAGAAAAATTAATGCAACAAAAGAATGTGTTGCAAGTTTATTACTCCGTCTGCTTTAAATTATTTTAATTATTATTGTTGTTTATTTGTCCAAATTGTTACATCACATTGTTTACATACAAATTGTTGAAAACATTTATTTGGAAAAAAGGAAATTGTTGGACAAAACGGCACCACCACTAGCAAAAATTTTGCTAAAACTTCCGAGGCCAAAAAGACCCCATCCGCCGCAGTGAGCCTCGGTTGACTAAGTTTTGTTCTTAAACTGGCACTGATCACAAAGTTTGCCACAAGTGGGCCTTGCACAGGGTGGGGAACTGTTCCACCGGGCAGGTTTTCAGAGCGTCCGGAAGGGCATTCCAGGGCCCGACGACCCTGAAGGAGAAGGCGTCCTCGGCAAACTTGCACCGGACATCGGCAGGCTGCAGTTTTTTGGGGCCCAGAGGGTCATCTGTTCGGAGGGGCCGGCGCTCGGTGATGCGCTCACGAGATGAAAATCCCATTTATTATTAAGTTTACAAAAATACGTGACCTATTATTGCTATTATTTATTACTTCATTAATTGCAAGAGTTACTGCACAAAAAAATATTATTGAAATAATTTCTCAATATATAGTGGATTTTCTACTACCTTCTTAACTTGATTAATTAATAAATTAAATAAAAAATATAATAAACTGCCATCCTTGAACGAAAATTTTATTTATTTATTCGGTATATGACAGGTTTTTTTGTGGCATAAATAATGTTTATTTAATGAAAAAACGATTTTAATAACCTCGCTTTGCCCTTAAAAAGTGAGATTTTATAAAATTTGATTATGTATCATCAAAAAATCCGTTCTTGTACTCTATCAATACTTTCAAAGTGTCTTTAGTTGGGAATCTAATTGGGAAAATGAGTTATTGTGGCCATCATCACAAATCTCCTCTGCAAATGCGCCTCACGCCCTCAGCAAAAAGTAGGTCGCAAGAGACCACTCATCAAGGTGTTTGCCGGAAATCTTGAGGTGATTTCTTACGATTGTGCGCTTTTGTGACCAGATCGATTCCCTTTCAGCAGATATAGCGCAGCAGGTCAGTCGGCTCCTTTTTCTCGCACCCTAAGCCTCATCATGACACCAAGTCACGGGATTAACGCAATACCAGAAAGTGCTCTCACGGCTCTGCCAAATGGGCTGCCCTCGAAAAGGGAGCTAGAGAGAGAAGCACCCCACCGATTTTCTCTCCAGAAAGCGGCTTCTTGTTTCATTCGTAATTTCTGTCTCGTGCTGAGAGCAATGTTTCAAAGCGTCGTAACTCATAAACGTCCAATATTTCTCTCTGGTTCGTGCGAGTTTCTATTACATCATTTCTTCCAAAACAAAAGATTTCTTATATTTATCGCTATTTTTTTACTTTATTAACTTCTACTGTTTTCTGTCACTAAGGGCCAGAGACTGTCTTTATAAGAAGATTGGAAGTCAATTTAAAGTTTAAAATTTTGTTATAAAATTCTTTCAGGAAAAACATCTGATACTTTTTCAGATTTTTTAATTTACTTACTCCGTGTAGAATTTCTTATTCCAAAACTAAAACTTTTCTGTTGTTTTTTTCTTCTTTTAGCAATAAAAAAAAATCATGCATTAAAAAGTTTTTTAAGCAAAATATATATTGTATTATGGATTTAAATGGGGGTTTTTTTAATGATCATTTAAGCAAAAAAAATAGAATTTTAATGTTCACAAAATTTTAATTTGCTTTTGTACAATTTAATTTTACTTTTAGTCTGGCCAAAAGCAGACTTTTCCACCAATGCAATTAAAACTGCCATTCTTCCCTGAAAATAACCAAGTAGACAAATTGCCGCACACCGGTGTCAAGCCGGTTGCGTTGCTGCAGCAGAGTTCGTGGAAATTTTAAGCATCAGCAGTTACGGTTTTTATCAGTTTACACAGTACATCATGCAAAAGGAAATCATTAATTTCGCATCTGCCGCTGCTGGCAATCCAAATATTTTGCTTTTGCAAGCGATGCAGCAGTCTGGCCGGCCTTGCAAATTGTGTGCCTGCGACACGTTTCGCAGACCATTACCGCGAAGGGAAAATTCATCGCGCACACCTTTGTGAGAAAATGTCCCCGACCAGCAATGAAACGGCCTTTTGCTGTCAGCCACATGGCCAAACATCCGCCCTCAAAAGGCCTGCCCGACGTGGCCTACATTTTAAAACGAATCAACGCTTCCTTGTTGACTTTACCTTTTGCAAATTTCTGTTTTCCCTCAACACCACAAAAACCACACCGCGCTTCAATGTTTGGCTTTCTCCCTAATAAATTAAACGTTTGTTTACCAATTTTCCATTAAACAGTTTAACATAATTAATGAGGTGAATGATATCAGCATCAGGGCTTGAATTTATATAATTAATTTAAGCCAATATGTTTAATATTGAAACTGATATTTATTTTTGTTTAAGTGTAAAAATATCAGTGCTTTTTTTTTTTTTTTTTTTTTAAATTAACAACCATGTTTATAGACTGATTTAATATGTAATCTAATTCAAATTCAATCTTCAAAATCATTCTTTAAATGCTTTTAAACCATTTTTTATACCTCTTAAAACATGAAAAATAATAATAATCATGATAATGTTTGGGAGGAAAACATGGAATCTTTGGTCAAATACCAAGCACTTTTAGCAAAAATTCTGCTAAAACTAATGCCATCAGCCAAAGTAAGTCTCGACTATTGATGCAAATCATTTTATATATATTCCAATTTTTTCCATTGTTCTAACTTAATTTAATCAATTCAATGATAAATTGAGAAACCCCATCAGCCATCGCACCTCTCATTGATTTTTCAATGTTTTGAATTTCCGCTGCGGAGAATTATTGACACAATGTGAAAAGGAAGCAGTCTTTTGGGTCTAAACTAACAAGCCGTGTGTCTCTCTGCACTCAAAATTTGGGGCCAAGTTCTTGGCCTTGAACGCCGCCGTCGATATACACGTGTGTGTTTGGTGCGTTTCTGTGCATGCCATTGGTTGTAATAACATTATTGACGTACGGAAAGCATCAATAAAGTGGAGCAGGCACCACACGCCGCGTTTTTATTGCATCAAACCTAAACGTTCGCGTATCAATCAGGGGGTCTTGAATTGATCCAATCGGCGCAAGGGGGCTCAAAGTTTGTTTTTCTTTATCGTTGTATGTGTGCCGAGATATAGCCAAATTTATTTACGGCCATTAAGCAGTGGGCTGCAATCTTTTCTTTAATAGTAAGCCAATAAATAAATCATTGGAAAAAAACAAAGACTGATATCGCATGATCGGAAACTTCTATTTACGTTGATTGAATTTTATCATTTCGGATCATGCAAAAATATATAAATGGGAGGAGAAAAAATAAAAAGTGAATTTTGTTGATCTTAAAGAAGTCTTTTGATACAGAAAAGTCTTTTTTTTTTATTGACAATTACATAGGAAGAGCGTGAATGTCTAACATTTATTACAAATATAATATATATTTAGTCACTAGCGGGCTGGAAGGCGGACCTGGTCGTTAAGGAGTCCGTTGGCGCCGAGCCCTGTGACCCGATAGAGGCGTCCCGCTTCCGACTTGCCCGCCTCCGATTTTACGCCGGCCGTGGTCACAAAAAGTTCATCGAGCAAGCGTCCGCCCCAGCAGACCGAGGTCACTTGGGAGGCGGGAATCGGCACTTTTCGCAAAAGTTGTCCTCGCTCGGGATCAATACAAATTACCTGAAATTAATGAAGAATAATTTAATTAAGATTCATTTTTTTTTTTTAGAAAAACGAGTAGTAATTTTAAAACTTCCAGCAAAATTTTAAAAGAAAATCAAACGAGTTACTTGTGAATAATTTGTAATTTAGAGGAAAATCCTGTTGTCATCTTTTCTTATTATGGAAGAAAATTTGTTTAGACCTAATATTTGAATCGATCAAATTATTAACGTGCAATTATTAGAACAGAAATAACATTTAATAAATAAAAATCAGTCCCTGCATGGAAACCGTAATTTCAACTCAGGAGATTTTGCTTAAATTTTTTTCTCTTTAATGATGATCTTCATTGCTGAGAAATTAATAATTAAAAGTAAGCTACTTAAAATTAGATTTTATTAACTTGATTGATGCTTGATGCTTACTCAGCATGCAAAGAGGTTTACCAAGTTAAAAATGAACAAAATTAATCAATAAAATTTTTATATTTAAAAAAAGAAAATAATTGCACAATTTTCATGTGCTTTTAAATAATTATATTTATTTAATATTTAAAAAAAAAATTCATATAACTAGTTACCTGGTTTCCTCCAAAACAAGCAATCCATAAATTTCCGATGCTGTCAATCGTCATTCCATCGGGGACACCCTTGATGTTGTTTTTCTTGAAGTCGAAGATGCACCTGCGCTCACTGAGGTGTCCACTGGCCGGCTCGAGGTCGAAGGCGTCCACCCTCTCGGCCGTTGAGTCGATGTAGTACATTAGGGCGTCCCGCCACGCCAGGCCGTTGCTGATGCCGACGTAGTCGACGTGTTTTTTGGCACCGTTGTTCTCCAAACTGTAAAGGGCTCCGATTTCTGGCTGCGCCTCGTTACCCTTGTCGATGACGGTGCTCATCGTTCCTAGAAAAAAGTAGATAAAAAAGTCTTAATATCTGACAAGTGTAGAAAATAAAGAGTCATTCCCTATTTTCGTAAGAGGAAAATACTTTTTATTTGATCCTCTTTTCCTCTTACATTGTCTTCCTTTTGAACTACAAAATGCTTTTAAAGTTTTAATTCTCATTTTAATGACGAGCTTTTTATTAAAAGAAAATAATTCGGCGAATAGAAGAAGATGGAAATAATTGTGTTGCACTCTCAAGTTATCAAATTTTACAAGAGGGGTTATTAAAAATTTTAATGGCAGCCTCTCTCTCACTTAAGCCGTTCTTTTTGAACTCGCGGCTGGCACGTTTCCAGCAAACACATTTTTCACCCGTGATAATTCTACCTGCGCTATCCAGCAGGCCACTTTAATTTTTTCTTTGCTTTTTAGCGGCTAAAAATGACTTTATTTCGTCATTTGGCACAAGCTCATGATGATCATAAAATCGAAAATACGCCCTCAACAAAAACCGCCGCGTTTGCAATAAATTTTGGGTACTTTAAAGTTAAAAGCTGCAAATGTAGCCAATTAGTGAGAGAAACTTTGTGGCTCGCGCGACCTAAAATCACAGAGAATTTTGGCAGGTGCCCTTTTGTTTCTAAAACGCTTGAGACATCGATCAAGTTTTCGAACGGATGAAAATTCCCATTGGCCCAGCGAGACAATTGGCAACAAAAGCTATTATTGAAAATATGTTCCAACAACTGAGCGTGTTGGAAGAGGCGCCGGTGCCGAAAATAGATCAGCTCTCTCTCTGCACTTGATCAGTCACATCAAAAATAAATTCCCCGCGCTTCTTCTCGTGCAGCCGCTCATCGCGCGACCAGAGTTATGACAACTCGTAAAAGTCGAAAAGCTGCTCGAATTTGCTCTCGCGAGAACAAACACGGACAATGAGAGAAAACACGCCGTTTCTCTTCAACTGAACCCGTAAATAACCCCCGCACCCTCTAATTTGTTACACTTGCTGCCACGTTTCGCGAGAAAGCGTACCCTAAACTTTTTACACCTCCCAGATGTTTCCTCTCACAAGAACGGCGCCTTTAAGGGTCTAATCACTTTCAAAAAAATTGAAATCAGTTGCAAATTCAAGAAATCGTAGCAATTGCAAAAAAAAAGAATAATTGGATATTTTAGTTTTTCAATTACTTTTGCATGAGTTATTCGCTTCTCATTTAAATTTAGCAATTTTTAATCTATTAGTGATGAAATTTATGCAGTGATGGGAGCTTATTTGTTGGAAAATAAGTAAAATTGACAAAATAATAATAATGGCAGAATAATGACTGTTATTAATTGAAACATAACTTTCAATACCACGTATTTACTGAAAATAGCACCCTGATCACTTATTTTTCACCTTTTTGAGAAAATGAAAAGCCATTTACATGTAATCTTGATATTTTCTCTATCACTCGTCTTTAAAAAAATATTTTTTAATTTTTAACTCAAAATTACATATTATATTCAGAAAAAAGGCTTATATTAAAAAAATCTTTAATAGCATTTAAATATTTTTTAAATTAAAATGACCACTTGAGCTGGAAATTATGCATTTGGCCTAACACTAATAAATTTAGAGTTAAATTACGTTAAATTTCCGGAACTATTGTAAGAAAATTTACCTGCCCAAAGTCGACCTTGTGGATCAGCTTTGCCGTCGTTGAACCTGAGGGTGCCGGGGGTGGCAGCCACTGAGCCGAGGACTTTGACGATTTTGCACTGCGTCTGCCCGTCCCAACTGAGCAGAGACAGGTCGGTGCCGTGTCCGACGACAAAGTGTCCGGGCTCGCGGAAAACGGGCACCACGAAGCCCATGGGCCGCGACCCTGGAGGGGTGGTGGAAGTGTGCTTGCCGGTGGAAGGGTGCAGTCGGTGCAGGACGCCCGCCAGCAGGTCGACCCAGTAGAGGGCCTGCTCGGAATCCACCCAATGTGGGCCTTCGCCGAGTTGCACAACTCCTGCCGCTTCCACCGCCTCCACTACTGCCCCCGCTAATTCAGGGTTGGCGCTCATTTTCCTGAAAATGTTGATAAGAAATGATTTTTAATTATATAATTTTTTTTATTAATTAGAGTTTCTTGCATCATTTAATTTGCGTATCATTTCATAACTTTTATAAAACCAACCCGACAAACGATGATTATTATTTGTGTAAATCAAATCTAATCGATAGTTGGATGTGCGATGTGCGTGATATACGTAATCATATTAATAATCTGCTAAGTTTTATATTTGAAAATACAAAATTGTACAATCAATTTTAATTAATTCTTAAAAAATAGAACCAAAAAATTTTTAAAATAAAATTTATTTAATAAATTAAATCATGTATAACTAATTAAGAAAATAATTAAATTTTATTAATAAATGATAAAATTTTTGATGTTAAAAACTATTGTTAATTAAACTGCAATAATAATATATAGCTACAGTAAGCTTTAATAAAATAACGCTCTAATCTAAAATAATTAATTAAATTAGAGTTACAATATTGATGAATGAAATTTTCATTACCAAACTCACTGTAGGACACTGTAGGAGTTTTAAAATTCACTCATAAAATCAGATAAACACATAATTGAAAAATCACCAATTCTGCAATTCTAGATATTTTCCTCAAAATTTCAGATTTTTCTTCATTTTTTTCCAAATTGTGTATGCAAGATTTCATCTAAAACCACCTACTTTAAGATAAATTGCAGTTTTAATAGCTTTAAACAAAATAAATAAATAAACTCCTCATAGGACTAATTTATATTTAAAAAAATAATCACCAACTAAACTTTCTTTGCATAAAATCTTGCAAACTATTTCATATCATATTAAAAACTAATTGAAAATATCATATGCATATAGCATCATATTTTCAAAAACCACGTAGTTTTCCTACACCTCATGAGAGGTCATTAAAAAATAAAGTTAGAAAAGGAGAGTTAAAACATCTTTTGTTAACCAACTTTTAAAATAACAGCACAACATCAAACGAATGCATTAATATTTTGAGCAAATTACTCTTTGTTAAAGATTTTTTAAGTTATACATAATTATTTTATTTGTGGGTTTTGAAGGCTATTCAGGGTTGGTTAGTTTCGATTCAGGTCGAGCTCCAAGGGTTATTTTTCTGCAATTTCGACCTGACCTGCGCCTGCGCCAACAGCAACCGACTTCGCACATGTTGTCTCTCGCCGCAAATAGCTCTCGCGGCCGCAGTACAACAGCGACTGGGCCACGCGCGGCCAAAATAGCTTCGGCAACAATCACCGCCAACAATCGGCGCACGCTCATTGCCGACCCAAGCCCCCGCCGTCCCTCTTCGGCCACCCATTTCCACGTATAATTATTTTTCTGTTTAATCGTCCAGCTCGGTCCAGAGACTTTTTTAGAACACCACCTTTGCTTTGGCCGCACCGCTGTTTTACGACCCATTTTTTTCTAATCTCTTTTCTACGTTTACGACTTCTTTTATTTGTGCACAAACATTCGGAATAATTTTGAGACTCCCCCGGCGCCCATATTTTGAGATAAACAAACACCCTTTTAAAGGTTTCTGGGTTTATGTTCGGGCTGCGCTAATTTCCGTATATTTGATAAACACGCACCCCTTTGATTGATCATTTTTCTGATATTGAGCGCTCCTCGCGTTCCGAACCCGCGCCTTTTCACAGATGCTGCCCGCACACGGTAAAAACAAACATCGGACGCCCTCTGTTGAAAGATGGTATAATTCGCGAGTACTTGACGGGTGGAATCTTAACTTTCTCAAAATAATTGATAACAAATTAATTAAAATCCCCTGTTTGATCCAAAAATTGCAAATACCAAAGCAAAATATTAGTTTGAAATATTTTTTTTACAAGAAAGCAATAATAAATTTACTTATTATTTTTGCCAGGAATAAACATTTCAAAAAGTTCTTGTTTTGTTTATTTTTATTTATCCTCCAATACGCTGAAAAAATAAAACAGCCAAGGTCACCAGTGACTAATTGTGTGAGCAGTTCAAACAAAATAGACACCCCCAACAATGCTATGAATGTGGCTTAATTGGACAGAAAAAATTAAACAGAACAATTTTCTGGATCAAAAATGAAATCACACGCCCTTTTCTTAAAGAAAAAAAAACTAACTAGAAGATTTTTATGCCTCTGCAAATTACGTAATTATTAAATGTTTAAACGATTATCCTTTGAGATCAAGAAAATTTATTATTTTGATTCAATGTATTTAATGAAAGCTTTAAAAATTGTGAAAAATGGCCAAAAAAATACGCAAAAACTCGGTATTAATAAATTAAACAAAAGTGTAACATTTAAAGAACACATTAATAAGGCAGAAGTTTTGCACACACAAAAATAAGGCTTACTTACTCGCAGGGATATCAATGAAGCACTGGGATTTGGTTCGCTTCGATAGTGTGTTGGTTGTCACCGCAAGCAGGCGAGTATTAATGCCGCACTTGTGCGTGAGTTGTGATTAATTAAGCGTTCGACCAAACAATGCGAACGCCGATAAAATTATGAGCGCGAGAGAGCACCGGAGCGCCGATTAGATAATAATATTATGAAGAGCAGCCTTGGCGCTCGATCATATGGTGGGTGGCAAAGGGAAGCTTCTCAAGGCCGCACTCGGAGAAAGAAAGAAAAAAAAACGGGATCGCTGCTGTGATTCTTCTCCGCTCTCTCTCGTCGCCGAACCACTTCTCCCCAATTTCCTGCTGATAGAGACGCGGCCTTTCTATGTGGACCAGTTGCCCACGACCTTCCTCAATTCACTAAAAAAAAATATAACTGAAATACACTGACAAGCAGAATTTTTCAAATAAATTATGCAATGGTCGAATAATAGGAATTTTGTTGCTAAAAAAATAATATATCAAGTAAACATAATAGCTTAACACTGACCAAGAAGAACTGAATGCCCTTCAAAATTATATGATTTCAAACGGTGTCTACACTTAAAATTAGTAATTTTAAGTGTACAAGGACATTAATTTTGCATTTTTAATATAAAAAACCGAATGAAAATGAAAATTGGGTACAATATAACAAAATTCCTTAATGTTGCTTGAAAAATTTATCCCTTATTGGACAGACAGAAAAATTATTTATGATTCAGTTTTATTATAAAAATATTTTAACTTGTATAATTAAATTGCACTAATTTTTTATTATAAGGTAAAATTAATTATTTAAATATACTAAATTGTAAAACGAAAAATTAGTAATAAAACAAACCAGTAAAATTTTATTTTAATAAAAAAAAAAAGCAATTGTGTTAAATTTATTATCGTTATACTTAAGCTGCATAATATACAGTTAAATTTTAGTAACTTTTCATCAAAAATTGATTAATAGCAATGCCTTTGATAAAGTTGTATTTATTTAAAAAATAAAAATCCTTTAATTATTAATTATTACTTATGGCATAATACATATATTGACGAGTTTTGTATTGATCTCTTCTCAGAATCGAGAGCAACGCCTTTATCGCCCTAGCTCGCCCAGATAAATCCAGATGTTGGTCGTTCAGAAGTAATCAGTTCGAATTGATTGATATATGAATGGGTAGTTTAGTGTAAATGCTGGGGGTTGACAGGAAGCGCGCGGGTGGCGCGGCCTTCGCGTGATTCGTTCGCAGTGACTTGAGCCACCCCGCGCGTGTGCCCTTTCGGTGAAGTAATAAATTTGGATGTCCACACCCTTTTCTTCCACTTATATATCGTTTTGGAGAATTTTTCCGCACGCATATCAAAAGCAATGGTCAATAAAACCGGATGGCTTTTTCTGTCAAATAAAAAAAGTAGGACTTTCACATATAAAAAGGATAAGGTCGAAGAGTGATCTAAAAAATAATCCTAAAATCAACAATCGCAGCTGAAAAATGAAAAAAAAATCATATTAATTTTTCAACAAAATTATCATAAACAATGATTAAATTATCCTAAAAAATGTTATTTGAACACATTTTTTTTTTTTTTTTTTTTTTTACTTTTAGTTAGATCTTTGATTTCCATTTTTCAACAAGTTTAGTTTAAAATTTTATATATTGATTCATTGAGAGACGAGTTTTTTTTTTAATATCCTTCAACATTTTTATTCATCTTCACAATAAAATCTAATCTAATCTTAATCTTCTATTTACAAGGTTCAAATTAATTTCGTAAGACAATTTTTCATACAGTAATTCAGAATAAAATTGTTCAAGTCAAGAGCAAAATTCACCGTCGATTAATTAATTATTAACATTATTACATCAGTAGTCTTGAGCGTCAAACCACTGCCATTTCTTCTCTGCCCTATCATTGTACTCGTACTTTGCACACCTTTTGGTTGCAGCAATGCTGAAAAAAAAATTTTATTATTAAATTAAATCATAATTGGTGTCTAGTCCATCCATGTTAATTGTGTACCGCAATATTATTAATTATTATCAATACAAGGAAAAAATATTTGATAAAACATAAATAACAAAATATAAAAATGAATTTTTTTTTCTGATAAAAAGAAACAAGATGATATACAACAATTCTTTTTTAAGCAATGAAAATAATTTGATATTATGAAATATTACTTCTAGCACAATAAAAGGAAATGGAATAAATAGACGATATTATTTAAAGAACTAATTCTCAATAGTTCGAACTTAATGAATTGAAAAAGTCAAGTATAGGATTAAATTTATCTATTAACTGACCCGACAGTCTTTGCGCACCGCACCACAGGTCGTTCCTCGCGGAAGCACTGCGGACGGAGAACGTTGAAGTAAGTGAAGCCAACCTTGGCGGCGACCAAGTCGTCGGCCTTTTTCAAGCAGTCGTAGAACTCTTCGTCGCAATCGCAGTGTGACCTGAGAAGGAAACAATCAACCCATTACAAGAGTTAAGCTAAAATAAATACGCCTAGGGACTGTGTTTATGAAAGTCTAATTAAGAAGTTTGTGTTTAAAAATTAACTCACCTGGTAAATGAGCCTTCATTTTTGAGTCCGTGCTTGGTTTCGCCGACGGCAATGTTGTCAAAGCAATTGTCGTGACTCCTAAATAAAAATACAAAAATTTGCAGGATAAATTTTCAAAAGAAAACATTATCCCTTCAATATCGAATTTCAAGGATATAAGATTTAGCAAAATTGATTTTAAGAGCATGATCTTATGAATTTTGACCGTTCTAATGAAAATTATCAATGTTTTAACATCCCAATGGAAAAAAATTCTTGAAAATAAATAAGTATTAATTTTCTTAGACATATGGAATGTACAAATAAAATTATTTCTGAAATCAAAATTTTAAAAATTTTCTTAATTTCCAATATACACACATTTTAGAAATGAAATTTAAAAAAAAAAAAATATTAAAAAAGTATTAATTTGTTTTCTAAAAATTAAAAAAAATTATGTATTTCAAACTTTATTATATGATTTAATATTGATTATATTTAAATTTTAAAATAAAAATACAACAAAATTTATGTTTAAAAATTTAAAAATTTGATAGCCGAATTCAAACTCCTTACAGGATCAAAGCAGCAAAGTGATATGGTGATGCACCTTTTCCTACCAAAATTATTATAAATCTTTGTGTAAATCAACTAGGCAAGTTTTATTTCTTCCAAAGATCACAGGCCGTCAAAAAGTCAAACGCTTTTAGCAGGAAAATGTGAAGACCTCAATTCAACCCTTAAATAATGCAAGCTTTTTTTAAGTCGTGTAATTTTGTCATATTTTTAATAATTCAAGAATAAAAATAATTTAAGTGGAGATTCCCCTCAGAATTTCAAATTACCTGCAACAATAATCGACTGTGCTGAAAACGCCGACGTCGGTGACGTTGTCGGCCTTGGTGCCGGCGCCGCACCACCTTGTGCCGGGGAAGATGGGTTGCGTAGGGTCGGAGATGACCACCCACGTCTCTTTGGCGCCGACCTTGACCGCGTGGATCGCGTCCTTGGTGCCTTCTTTGGCCTTGGCGACGACGCCTTCAGTGCCCTCCTTGGTCTTTTCGGCAATGACCTCGACCCCTTCTTTGGCCTTGCCCGCGAAAACCTCGGCGCCCTCCTTGGCCTGTCCGGCCACCGACTTGGAAACGTTCGTCGCGCTTTTGGCCGCGTTGGTCGCAATGTTGGCTGACACGTTGGTCACCTCAGAGGCCACACCTTGAGCAAAACTGGCGCCGGCCGACGCCGCCTCCTTGGCGATGTTGAAGGCGCCGCCGAAAAGTCCTCTTGTGGCGGCGAACGGCGACGTCGGCGGGGTTGGAGCCTTTGTCGGACCGCAAATGACAAAAGGGGTCAAAAGTACGACGATGCAGAAGATTGACCTTTAAAAATTAAAAAAGATTTATTGTCTAAATTAAATTCAATATATTTAAAAAAAAAAACTTAAAACAAAAATAAAAAAAGAATCTCCAAATACTAAATTGAACCACGAAACACCTTGATTTGAACTAATGCACCAATTTACTAATTAATTTAATCTTACACAATAAAAATATAAAATTATTATAAAATATGAATTAAAGAGGGCAGGTATTATTCAAGAATAATATTAAGTTGATCTCAAATTTATTTTTATATTGATATTGATTTTAACAAAAATACTAAAAATTTTGTCAATAAATCACTACGGATAAATTCAGAATATATGTATTAAAGTCTCACTTTTTTTTATAAAAAAAATTTGATAAAAAAAAGTGATCAAATCACAAATTTTTTTCTTCTTATTAAATGACGAAATAATAAAAATAATTAAATAACTGAATTTTGTGTTTGAAATGTATAAAAATTTTAGAAGAGTTTTAGAGTTTGAATGATCTCCTACCTGCGTTCGACCATAGCGGCGACTGCTTCTGCTCGACTGCTTGCTGGCGTCTGCAACAATTTACTGCCGTCCCTCCATGTCCATTCCTGGCCCATACTATTTATACGTTAAGTACGGTGCGCACCAAGACACGTTTTATTCCCCCATCGGAGAAACATAATACATCTCTGCGATAATTCCAGCGCACATCCAATCATGACCTTGACTGGCCATAAACAAATAAAAAAAAACTGCAGTTGTTGCACTATTTGCCATGAAAACTACAAAGCTGATGACTATTTATGAACACGCAGAATCTTAATTGCTGCCTGCCGGAGAATTAAATGGAAATTGCTACACCTTGCGATATTTTTTTTTCGCAATCTTGATTTATTTATGGTAATTGCTATGTTCAATTTATAAAGATGATCGATCTACTCCGAGAATAGCAAAATAATAATCTTTCCTTCGGTCATACTTACTCTCGTCAAGCGTTAACATTGACATTGACTTTCACTCCAGCTGAGCACACTTCGGTTATTACTCATTAGAGCATTGAAAATTCCCAAACAAAAATTCAAGAGCGCTTGTTTCACTTGTCTAAAGGAACTCGCTAGATTTTCCTTATCTACAATATTTTAGTTACACATTCTGAATAACAAGATGACAAGATCTGCTTTCTGCTTTGCATTAAAAAAAATGTTAAGTTTTTTACATTTTGAGATAATTGAATTGTGGATATCTTTGCTTAAAATAATTATATCATTTTGTAGCTGACTTTGTAGTTTCAATTTTCAATTACAAACAATAATAATAAATTTTTGTAAACTGTGGTGCGCGTTAGAGCAGGTTTAATTAGTATTAATAAATAATTAATACTAATTAAACCTGCTGTATTGCGCACCACATTATGCAAAAATCATTGCATTATTTATTTTTTGTAAAACGGGACATTTGGATTGAAGTAAAAATAAAATTCAATAGAATTCAAAATTTCACAGATTTAAAAAAAAAGTAATGCGTAGTTGATATTCTGAATGAGCTATACCTCTATTGCGAAAAAGCACGTGCAGACTGCCAAAAGATATTAGGCGACGAATGAGTCAGCCAGTGCAAAATAAATTGCCCACACAACAAAACCTGCTTTGATTAAAATTCTGTGCAGGAGCGAACATATACGTATTGAACAAAGGAAGTCATCACAAATGGTCTGATATATCCACACTATTATCAACGTCCTGGTGTGATTTGATTTCTATGCTATATAATATACGCTTACTTACTCACGCAGAAATATTAATAATTACAACCGACGTGCATACAGTAATAATTAAACGTCAACTCCTACACCTCGCGTTATCTCCACAAATAAGCAGTAAAGTATAAGTAAATTTTTATGTTTTGCGAAAGTTGAATGTACACACTGCGATCAGGATATATAATTTGCAGTTATTTACGTCATTAGAGTATTTTTGATTCCGCTCTTTTTTAAAGAGAGAGGGAATCTGAAAAATTCATATTGATCTTTGATTTAAATTCCAAAGTAAGTTTCTGATCTTCTTCATCTGTTTGACAATAAAAGATTTTTGGGAAAATAAATATGTGCGAGCAAAAAAAAAAATTGTAAAGAAAAATCAGCAGATATGTTTCAAAATGGAGATCCAAAGTGCAGAAAAAGGGAATGATGTAGAAGTTTTTACTTGCCCTTTCTCAATTTATTGATACAAAGTTCAGATGAAAGTGGTGATTTTAAATTTGTATCATTGCATCCCTCACTGCAAGAAAACGGGCGGCTTTGTATTTTTTTCCCCAAAAATCAAACAGTTTTTATTATTACTTATTAAAAGTTTTGTAGTTTTTGCTTGGATCCAGCGAAAAGCGCGATACGCGGGAAACGACTGTTTGCATTTATGTATTTAAAAAACCAAATTCAATTAAATTTTTTAATTTCTCAATAAAAACGTTTTTCACTTCTGGCTCTTAAAATATTCCTATAATAAAATTTAAAATAATGTTCTCGTCAGATTTTTGGAGTTTGATGGATTGTTCAGATTATGCAATGTGATCATGCAATCGATAATAGGGTGCCTTGTTATCCCTTCTACATAATGCATCCGTATATTGTCCCCGTAGGGAGCGGCGACCCATGACCTTTCTTTCCCCATTGTTATTTTTTTCCCGATGGCGCATCAAAAGAATATACAGAGGAAAAGTGACACGCCCGTGTGTGTCGCATGTAAGCCGTCACATTAGGCCGGGAAATGGCGTGAGTTTTGTCCTATTCCAAAAGACACTCTCATTAAATATTGACACGACGCTTCTCTGCACATTAAATAACATTGACGCGTGTGTTTGCTCAAGAAACAACTTCAGCAGGACGTGCGAAGGAAAATTCAATTTAGACGAAATGAAAAGGCCTTTTCTAATTAGCGAAACGAAAGACCCAGCTGGGCCAACGTGAAAAGAACGAACGTGCAGATGAGTGGTGCATTAATTAGTTTTGCGGCCAACACGCATAACAAGAGAAAGGGTTGCTTGCGTGAGCCGCCGCTTGTGAAAGAGACGAGTGGCTTTCTTTCTTATGGGCGGAATTTTCGCATTAAAAAAGGGAGTGGATGTTTTTCTTTTGCATTTTCAGCAGCGCTAAAGCTCGCTTCCAAAACTTTAAGGCGCCCTGACGGCAAAGCTTCTCTTTGTGATAAAAAGACTTTGGCATTTTGCAAGCACAAAAAAAATCTATTGGAGAGTTTCGAGAATTTCCGGAACAAATTGACTGCTCCTTTGTTTCCACTTGAAATACTTTTTTAAATTCATTTTAAATATTACAAAATTAACCTAAACTTTTCAGAATTTTACCCTTAATACAGACACATCGATGACTATTCTTAGATAATATAACTGCTCAACTCATTAAAAAATTGAAATCTTGAAAAAAAAATACAAAATTTAACATTAAATTGATAATTGGTGTTGGAAAAATTTAATTGCAAACAACGAGATTTTAGAAATGATATATTTAATTCAAATAAGAAACGAAATTAGGATTTTATCCCGCAATTAACTGTGGGTGAAGATTGTTACGTGATACTATTTTAATTAAGAAATAAATTTAATTGCTATAAAAAATTATTGTTGCACATAGCATATAATTCTAAAAGTCTGAACTCAATACTTTTGTTACCAAAAATAAAATAATTTAATTAATTTTTTATGACAAAATTAATTCCAAAATCGGATTCAAAATAATTATTTTATTTTATTTAGTTGAAAAATTGGAATTAATCTGGGGAAAAATCAGTCTTTATTGTGATTTTTCTTATTTCACCACTCCTTTGCTCCTTGTTTTCGACTTTCTCACCAGTCAATAAAAGTCTTACGTCAAACTGGCTGAGTTTCTTCACATTATATTCCCAAAGGTGCTATACTTTACTTCCTTTCCATCCCTTTTTAAGTGCGAATCACGTTATTTCTTTTCCAAATAAGCAGCACATGCGCGCATATTCAATCTTTTGCGCTATTTTATTTCATCTTTTATATCGCGCACGGTGTGCTGTGCGCCTTTCTTGTTAGCCTCACATAATTTGATTTCAATATCGACTCGCTTTTTATGGCAGATTTGCTGCGCTTTTATATCATTTTCATCCGCACCCGGCGGCACCACTCGTGCGCTTTTGGACGCAAAAAGCTTCTGGGAAAGAAGCTCTCCCCAAGCACGTACCTCGCACTTGATGTATTTTTTATGTACACATTTTTATTGCTCGCAGCTTTCTTGTGTCAGATCTTATTAACGATAAATAATGAACAAAATATTAAGAACCTGAGATACGCACTTATAAAAATTTAAGCCATCAAGTGGTGCGGGAAGAGATAATAATAAAAACAGCAACTACAAGTTTAGTAAATATATATCAATGAAAAAATTTAATGAGGAAAGTCATTCATGAGCGTGTTTGCTATGCGGTGAACAATGCACATTATCATCTGGCCGGGTCTAAAAACCTAGTGGTTAGCAATAATGACTAATCTAAAAAATGTGAAAAATCAATTGAGTTTTTCAATAAACGCCATATCTAAAAATACATTTTTTGGAATGTGTTACGATTTTTTGCCTAAATGAAAATAATTATATTTTTATATTGTTTTTGTAATGGAAGAATTTATACTGAGAAAAACTTATACGTGATATCCTGTAATTCATCGTTCGATTACTTCGATTTCAAGACCGCATTAACATTACTGACAACATGCTTGATTAATTTGAAAGCTTTTATCAATAAAAAGAAAAATACCTACAATTTTAATTTCATTATTTTTTTAAAGCTATCAGCTTTTTCAAACGTAAACAGAATTACTTTTAAAAAATAAAATAAAAATTTAAAGAAAAAAACAAGAGTATTGTTAAAATCTTATTTTATAATAAATAAAAATAAATAAAAGAGTAATAAATAACTTATAATTATGTAATTCAACTCATGTTAAATTTAATTGACTTCAAAATATAATATAATTGCCATATTTGAGAAAATTTAAAAAAAAAAAATTCCCGTCTAATTAAAATATTGATGCACCGATTGATTTGTTTTTAGGTGCAGTCGGCCAACAACTTGCTGCTGCTGCACTTGGGGGTGGTCGACTCGGTGCTGTGCATCGTGTTCCTGCTGTTCTCGGCGCCGGTGCTGCTGCGGGGGCCCGCGCCACCCACGCAAGGGGCCGCCGCCGGCCCCCTGTGCGCCCTGCACGGGTTCCTCTTCACGCTGCTGCACCCGGTGGCCCTGTGGACCGTGTGCGGCCTCAACTGCGACCGATACTATGCCATTTCGGCGCCGCTGCACTACACAAGTCTCGTCAACACCAAGAAGGTCGCCGCGTTTTTGGCCACCTCTTGGCTGCTCGCCATCGCGATGGCCATTCCACCCTTGTTCATCATAGGACCTGGATACAGGTACACTTGAACAAAGAAAATAATTTAAATTCAATTAAATAATTACAGAGAATATCTAAGAATATTTCCCTTTGAAATCTTTTCTTTGGTTTCTAAAAACTTAACTGGTAGTATTAAAAATATTACCAGAAAAATCATATTTTTTACTTTTTTAATTATTTGAATTAAATATGTTGTAATGCAGCAAAAATATTAATTAATTAAAAAAATAATTTTCTTTTAATCTGCAGGAAATTCCCCCTCGGTGTTTTGAAATAAATTTTGAAAATTGAACTAAAGGAAACAAAATCTGGCAATTTCTGCATCAACGTTTTCAATATTTCAAAAATTTCCAGGTACACAGAGCACGCCGGGTGCACCCTTCATTTCACAGCACCTTTAGCACCAGCCCCGACGGCGGCGATTTGGTACTCGGGGATTTACACATTTTTTACTCTCCTGCTGCCAGCCGCACTCATTCTTGGATGCAACTTGAAGGTACAAATTTAAATCGATTTAGAAAAGGCTTTAATTCGAGAGCTGAATCAGCGTTTCAAGTAGTTTGCTTGTTGGATTTTGGAATTTTGAACTGTCGCGCGATTGTTTTTGTGATATTGTCCGTCTTGTCTAACTTTGTGAGTACAGGTGCACTTGGTACAGATTGTGGACTTTTAAACTTCATATCTTTTTTTTAAACTCAATAAGGTTCACTCAGTCAATATGCAAATTTGTTCAGTGATCACGTCATAAATAATCTAACCAGACTGATTACGCTAAAAGGTTCTTTTTCAAGTTAATTGGTTGAATTATTTAATATGTACTTCGATATTTGAATTGTCAAATCGATATCATCCTCTGAGCAATGCGATAAAAGTAGATGATTAAATAATGCCTGCGTTTATGGAACCAAAAACAGTAATTAATTAATAATTTGACATAAATTTAATTTATTTTTAGTTTTAATAAACTTTTCAAGCATTATTTCTCTAAATCTAGGCTGCCAAAATTTTAACTTTTATGGGTGGAGAAAAGTGTTTAATTGTAAGACAAATTAAGAGACTTTCATAATTGAGTCGTATCGGTTTTCATGATTTATAAGTTTCTCATAATTCTTTTTCTTTTAATGAAATAGCTTTGTGTACAAATTTGTACAAATTTAACAATTACAACATTTTTTTTGTTGAAAGCAAAGAAAAAAATATATAAAATCTCCTTTACAAAATTATCAATTAATGCAATTCATTTTATGTTTCAGGTGTTGATGATTGCCAGATACCACAGGCACCGCATCGCGTCGGCCATCTTTGAAGTGACCCTGTCGGCGCAGGTCACGATCACGCACCAGCGCAACCCTTTCTACCTGCAGAGCCAGTTCAAAGGGCGGCGCGCCATCGTCACCATTCTGCAGCTGCTGGGTTCGATTCTCGTCCTGTACTTCCCGTACCACGGCGTCACCGTGTGGGAAGCGGCTGCCTCCACCCTTTCCACCTCCAACCTGACCGAGGCGATGGCCGCGGACGTCGACTGGCAGCCGCAACAGTCGCCAGGCCACGTCGACCCGCTCGTCGTCTACCTGGCGATGGCGCTCATCACATGCTCACCACCCATCAACGGCTTTATTTACGGCGTCAAAAGCAAAGTTAGTATATAATTTACCTTTTACAATTTATTCTTCATTATTGCAATAATTTGTGCTGCTAGTTTTAAATTGAAAGAAAAAACAAGTTTGTTTCATTCTTTCATTTTTTTGTTATTTCCTATTGTTGCATTGCGAGAATTTCATAGCACCAGCAGAGCACCAGTAATAATTAATAGAGCAGCGGCTATTCAAGTCCGATTTTCTGACAAACGTTGAAAGCAAGTTCGTCTATAAAATAATATTCTCACGCAAATTTAAAAATTCGATTTAAAAATTCACATTGAGTTATTCTATCCAAATATTAAAACTACCGGTAAATAAAAAAAAAATCAAATTTTTTAAACATTTTATCTTTGTCATAGGTGCTGCGAAAAACGTTCGCCAACTTTTTGCGAAAGCAGCTGACAAAGAGCGAGGTGAACCACGAAATCCAGGCGCGCACGCCGTCCGCGTGCGGCTCGCGGCGCCCTTCGCTGACACCCCTGGGACAATTTCTGGGCCGGCCGCCCCACCAACGCCGCCTCTCTGAAGTCCTACTTGAACCGTCGGGGGCGAGGTTTGCCCTTTCGCCGCACCGGCCGCGGCTCCTCAAAAGAATGGCCACCGAGTTGTCGTGGCGGCCGACCCTGTTGGCCGCGGCCACGTCCATCGACCTCGACGCCAAAATGAGAAGGTCGCGATCCGCCAGGGACTGCATTGCAGAGATGAGACATGGACTGAGTTGCAACACGCTGCAGGTATTGGTTTGTAACGTTTAATTATTATAAACTAAATATTTAACTTTAAACCTGTGATTTAAATTATTATTTACATCAATTTTTATCAAATTTGATCAAATTATATATTTTAAAATATTATTTATTTTACATTAATAATTAAGCTATTTACTTCACTTTTATTTATTTATTTTTTAGCCACACTTGCCATGTTCATATTCAATTTAATTTAATTCATGTTATGCAAATATTTCAAAATAAATATTAAAATTGTGGTGTTTTAATAATTAGAAATTTAATCAAACAAGATGCTACTTAGCTACATTTGCCCCGGTGATCTTGAACTTTTAATATACAAATTTTATGAAATAAACTGCTTTCATGCTTACAAATAACGATTTGATTACAATTATTGTTGTTAATTTGTCCACATTGTTACAAATCCATTTTTTACTTTCAATTGTTGAAATCCATTTATAAATGGATAAATAAATCAATTTGTAGTCTTAAAAACACTTTCTGTGTTTATATAACAAAACTCTGCTATTAAATTTTATTCATTTAATGTAACATTTAATATAAATTTGACTTTATTGCCAACAGAATGATGAAGAAGGATAAACTCATAGAAAGGGGGAACTGTATTAATGAGGTGTTAGGTCTTTAGGGGGTACCTTTTGGCTTTTAGAGGAATTTCGGCTATTGAATTGTGTATGTATAATTTTCAGAGCTTGGCTATTTTAAAAGAAAGAAAAACTTGTACGGATGCTAAGCTTGTTAGGGTTGAGGCAGTAGAGGAAATCTTAAATTTTAGATTTGTTTGTCTTTTAAAATTTTTCTGCAATTCTTTATTTGAGAGAATTTGTAGTCAATTTTTTTTTAAGCAAAATAAAAAATCTCAAGAGACTTGCAATTTTGTTAATTTTTTTTTTAATACCGCAAAAATTTTTTTAAACGACGCTTTTTTTTAACTTAGACAAAATTTGTTTTTCACGCGTATCAAATAAATGGTCTGCAAAAAATTTATATATAAATTTATATTATTTTAGTTTGTAATTTATAAATTGAAAATTTAGGTGCCTGGTGGCGATCAGACGCAAACGTTCCAACCAGTGCCGCTTCCCGCGCGGCAGTCGCCGCCGAAACTGCGGCAGAGCACGAGTGCCGCCAGTTTGCTGATCCAGAAAGTCCTTCTGGCTCCGAAAGGGATGCGCCCCTCGGAGACCTGCCGCCCCCGCACGCCTCCGCCGCAACGGTGCTCGCCCCAAATCCTGATCACCAAAGCCCTTTCGCAGGACCAGCCGGACAGTCCCTCCAGACAAAAGGAGGAACATGTAAAATTCCAAATACCTGTTGAATGTGTCGAACTAAATTCTGCTGGTTGGGCGCAGGAGCAAGACGACTCGTCAACTGCCGCCCTGATCCAAGCCGGCGGCAGCAGCAACCCTGAATCTCTGTGCGGATCGAGTCCTTCGTCAAGGTAGATATTATTTTTTTTTTCAAGACTATTGATAAATTATAAAAATATCCAAATTAAAAATACAAAGATATATTATAGTCATTTATTTTTATAAAATGAAACGCAAATACTAAAACCTTTTTGTATACAATTGTTTTTTTTTTTTTTAATAAGAATAAAAGATTTAAAAAGGTCGATCTTTTATATATAAAAGTATAGAAAACTTACAAAAAATTTCATTTGCAAATTAAATATATTCTCCTTTAATGTGATCATTTGCGTAAATTGTTATTGAATACAACAAAAGTAGAAACTGCTGTTTTAAAAACGTTTTTAATTTATTCATACGAGTGTGTGTTTTTTGGTATTTTTTCAGTGGAGTTGTGTCGTGCTTGCGTTTTTAAGTGTATACCAGATTCCGTTTCAATCTTCCAAGTTGAAATTTGGACATTTTAATGCGTTTTCCGAGCTCAGTATCTGAATCCACGCTAAATTTATTTCTTGAAACTGTTTAAAAACTGTGGTTATTATTATTGTTGTTTAATTATATAAATTATTACAAAAAAATTACATAGAATCAGCATTAGAATAAAAATCTAAACAAATTTAAAAAAGAAAAACGATTTTGCAGGGATGAAAGCCTAAATCTGGACCTGGAGGCGGGCGGCAACTCGAGCCTGAGCCGGGTGTCCCATCGGGTGTGCTACTCGCTGGACGACGTGAGCAGCGGCCAGCAACTGGCGGCCGCCTCTCCCACGGCCTCCCCGACCTCTTCGAGTCAGCAGCCGCTCAGTTTGCCGTCAGTTCCCGTCACGCAAAACGGAAACTTGTCGTGGTTCCGGAATCTGATTTTCTCGCGCCACATCAAGGGCGCCTCGTCCTCGTCGAGCCGCAACCTCATGTCCTGGCCTATCAGGACGGACCTGTCCAAACGCAGCGTGACCAAAAGTACCAAAAGTTGTTGTGATGTCAATAGCCACGAGAATATTATTTAAAAGTCTAGTTTTTCTGTTATTTTAATGAAATCTGCATTTTTTAACTATTTTAATTTATATCTGTAATTATTAAATTTTTATAATTGACAGTTTTTTGTTAAACATGTTGATTATTTTTACCATATTTTAATTGAAACGCAAAAATAATTTTTATAAAATTTTAAATCCATCGGCCTGGCTGCTGATGTGGATAAAAAATATTGCAAACATAGAAAATCTCTGATGTGTAAAACATATTCTCGACGTTGCATATAATATTTAATGAAAAAAAACGACTGTGTTCCTCTCTTTAAAGCTATAACCACGGTAGCTGTGTGTGTCAGGGTGTGCATAATTACTTTGCTATTCCACCGACGTACACTGTGTATATTTATCAAAGGGACAAACGTAGTGTACTTTGTGTGTTGTGATGAGAATTATTATTATCGTTTGCAGCACCGAGCGCACACACATCTGTATATTCCCTGTCCGACTGAAATGTGAGCAAATAATTGCCATCCCTGTTTCGCCCTGATGTATTCTCACAAATCGCGCTCTCTCTCTCTCTCGATGTACAAAAAAAAAAAAAGCAAAATCCTACTCTCGTAGTGTGCTAAAATAGGTGTCGTGGTGTTTAGAGCCGATAACACAAAATAGTCAGCTGTAGTGAATAATTAAAAATGGAAAAAATGTTCTCTGCACGTCGACATATGTTCAACAATAACAGGGTATATTTCAGATAAAAGAGAACGAGTAATAATGGGCTTAATTTTTTTTAATAAATGTGCTAAACTTAAATAAATTTAATAACCGCTCACAAAAGTAATACTGGGAAGCTAGTCAGTTTTTTTTTTTAATTATTTTAAAATTTATTTTGCAATCCTTTTTTAAGATATAGTCCGCTCATAACTCCCACATCATCTTCATTTTTATTTGCCAATGAAACTCCTTAAAATGATGAGTTCCATTGTCATTTTTGTCATTTGACCTTGTTTTGCTTATTTAAATGAAAAATCAAAGTAGGAAGAAGATATTTTGTTTGTTGAGCACGTTGCAAAAAAGCTGGAATAATCGTTTTGACTCATTGTTAGTTTTTGGCGTTCATTGGTTTTTTTTTTTAATTAGAAGAAAATATTTAAAAGGAAAAAAAGCATCTGGGTTGCTTTGAAACCAATTTTAAGAGTAAAATCAATGAAAAGCATTAAATTTTAACTTAATTTTGTTTATTTCTTTCTAAAATTTTGTATTCTAGCTTCAAATTATATTTTCATAGAGCATTTGCTATTCCCTCAAAATAAATATATAGAAAACCTTTAAACCTCTCAATAATAAAAATTAATTAAAATTTTCTCATCTCGCTGTTAAAAACACATACTCAGCATTGATTTATAAACATATCTAATCAAATCATTTATTTATTTTTAATATATATCATAAATATATTATTGCAAAATATAATACATGTATATTTTTGTGTGGACAATCTTTACAATAGCAGGCGTTGACTCGCATTTGTTTCCTTTGACAAATGAACAAATAGCAGTCTGATAATAGAAAATCCCCGATCTTTCTCTTGTCGCTACTTAGATGAAGTAAATTGTATATTAGTGCTGTGATCATTATTAATTTTTTGTGCGTGTTTTGGTAGACGATTGTAATGTTTTTTTGGTCGCCTTTCTCATTTGTGCGTATAAAAGTTTTGTAAAAAAAATTATTTATTTTTAACTTTTTAAAAAGGGGAATACAAAGCGCAAAACGGTTGTTGTAAACAGCCTTAAAGTGAGATTTTAATGAGGGTATAGAGAGAAATTAAATTTTCACATAAATCAATTCACTGTAGATCAGTTTGTTGTTGGTACAAAATTTTTGCTTATATAAATATGATAAAAAAAAAATAACATAGTGTCATTCATAATGCATAATTATTGCTTTTAACGATACCTATTGGGCACAATAATTTTTAACTTCTATCTTTAAATTTATACTTTTTTTCTACAGCTTCATCCACAACTCTTCTTGCAATTAATTAATTTGAACAAAAGAATCAAACTCATTCCACAAATGTTTCTACTCTTTCCTTGGTTGATCTCGTGTAATTTTTATTAAAAAACAAACAGAAAGTTAAGGTAAAATAGCATTGTTTAATAAAGTGTGATGTGCTTTATTTGGACAGAATTGTTACGAGATCTTAGATGTGTATAAAAAAGAGTTAAATATGAATGTCTTCGATGTTCAAATTTGTGGAAAAAACCAACCCGCAGCCAAAATTTTTTTGATTAATTTTAAACTGTAGCCGTGTGTAATAGTGAGCACAATAGAGACTGCAACAAGAATTATTTTCAAGAGACAAAAATTATTTACCTCGAGCGGATCAAAAGTATAAGCAGCAGAATATTGTGCTTGACTTTTTAATCGACGTGGTGCTTCAATAGATAATGGTGAAAGAGTGCAAATTTGCGGGTAAAAATGTGCGCGGATATATCGCTGTTGATTAGTGGATACAAAAATTAATGCTGTTTTGGTGAAACACCTCGAAAAATATCACAGACGTTCAGCGAATTCAGTGTTTTAGTTGCTCCGAAAAAAGAAGAAAATTTATCTGTATGTAAAAAAAATGAGAAGAATAAATGTGGAAAGAATATCGTCACTGTCTTTCAAGTCTCAAAAGACAAGTGTCTTGATTACAAGTCGACCTAAATCCTGAATTCTGCGTTGTTATTTTTCTTATAAATTATTTACTCACATTTAGCCTAAGTCAGATTTATTTTTATGATTTTGTGGACATGCAGGCCTGAATAAAATGGCATTGTCAGTTTTAACTAAGGGAACTCAAGCCTGTACCAAGGATAGTATTTACATAAATCAAGTTGAATTAATAATTGTCAAAATTGTATTTATTTAATTTATAGCTATATATTCATTTAAAAAGAAAATCATAAATTCCAACAATAAACATATAATATTTAATTTATTAATAAACAATGAAATAAAAAAATAATTTAAAATAATAAATGTACCGTTATAATAAAAAATTCCCTACATTGCTCTCAATTAAAATAAGTATACACAAATTTTAAGATCTCTTTTGTAAACTTTACATTGATTTTTAATCAATGAGGCAATTTGTAGTTCATTCAAATTAACTTCTCAAAGAACGTTAAGTTATTTTATTACTTACTTCTTTAGAATAAATAGAAATTTTTGCCTGGAGATTTCTAGAATCAAGCTGGTATCACTGAATTAGATATTTAGAAATATAATCTTGCACACTTACTTTTTGGTCTTATATATTAATTTTATTTTTTTCTCTCGCTAAAGGCGGTGCCATTATTACCAATAATGACATGCTTCCTTTCCGACTAGCTCCCAAAATCAATAGGAATAACTATTATTTTTAATTGCATGGAAAAAAAACTCTAATGTTTAACAGAAATACAATCAGAATTCTGTAAAACTATCTAAAAAAAAATATATTATATAAACTAGTAACTACCTTTTATCTCTTTGTTCCAAAAATAAAAACCTTTCAAATGCTTTGAAACTCGCCTAAAAGCATTGTTTGTTCACGGAATGAGATTAACAACAGAGATTTTGTATCAATTAAAGTGAATTACAGTTTTTGTTGCCCGTGACGCGCGTCATTCCGAGCCAGACAACAAAAACCAATTGACGCGGCCACGTGGCGGCGACCCTAATTAAAGGCTGCATGACATTTACATCTATCTTTCTTTCTTTCGGCCCCCTACATGCGCCGTCTGCGATATTTTTTTCCTTCCTTCTCCGCGGCGTGTTTGGCAGTCGGATCCTAATAGACGCGTATTTTATTAAGGATGAGCATCAGCGAGCGGCGGTTCCTCAGCATATAGTAGTCGCCCCCTCCGGAGTAAAAGTGGCAACGACTGCCAGGGAATTTATCTCCTTTCAGCCTTGCCCTCTGCGGAGTAGCTTGAGGCCTGCGGAGCCGAGTGGACGTCCACGTGAGTGAGTCGCGATCCATGGAAAACCACCAACAGGTAAACAAAGAAAGCAAAAGCGTTCCCGCCTTTTACCGCATGCATTGACGATCGATTTCCTCTCCATATTTGGTGTTGTTTTGATATAATTAATTATAGCTTAATATTCCAACAGATTCGCCTTTATAGTAATATTTTAACTGGATTTTTTAGTAATTACTTTATAAGGAAAAATTTTAATTTTTAATCTTATCATAAATCAACTTTAATTGATATTTAGGAGTTGATTTCAAAAGGGCACGACCGGTTTGAAAATAATAATACGATAATTTACTGAGTGCAATGTGGAAAATTAATCCATCAATTAAGCAAAGAAGCTAAGAAAAAGTTTAAAAATATTATTTTTCAAGTCCGTTTTTTAATGACATTTTCTTTTCCTTCGCTCTCACTTATCAAACTTCCTCAGTCTCGCAATTCAAAATAATACCACACCTCAGACTTTTCAATTTCCTTCGGGAACACCAATAGAATGACGTCATTGATGAACCTATAAGCAAAATACTGATAAAACACATCCGTCAAGTGTTTTTACTTTTCCATTTGGTTGGTTGAAATAAGAAGTTTATTCCACTCACTGAGAAATTATCGTCGTTTGGCCAATTGTGGAGACGAAGCAAACGAGAGTGTCCTGTTTCACTTTTCGCCGTACAAAGAAAGAAAGAGCAACTCTTGTACATACGAATGGCAAGTAATTCTCTGAATACCCCCATGATTATGGTTGCTGCTCAGTCGCCACTCGTCATTAAGTGCCAATTTTCTGCGCGACTTATGTTAAGTGAGCCTTGCCCAGCTAGGCGTCTCTCTGGCGTCTCTAGACGGGAATTAGTCTGCCAAATCACTCTGACCCCAAGTTCAAATGACCAATTTGTGTAAAAAAATGAATTTACCAATTTTCTAAATACATCAGAACTATATTTTTTCAACCTTTATTTATAAATGATTTTCAATTTGTGTATTATAATTTTAAATCGTCTCCACTTAAGCTTTTGAATTATTTAATTATCCGAGAAGAATTAATTTAATAATAACCCTTTATTTGGACTTTTTTAAGTTCAATCTCCGAAAAAGTTTTTGTATGCCAAGAAGAAAAGTACAAACTTACTGGCAAGAAAAGCACATATTTTTTAGGAGTGAACGACTATATTTCTTGTGCTTTTTCCATTTATAGATTTTTTAATGGACCGCAAATATTTGCCAAAAGTATTATTCGCATTGCCGAGCTTTGGAAGTGAACCTATGATATATTTTTGACTGCTTGTGCAGCGCACATGTGGTTTTGCCTCTTATATTAGTTTTGCCTCTCCTTATTTTCTCTGCGCGCCGCACTGCACCTGCTCCTTGGTTTCTTTTCCTTTTTTTGTCCACCTGCGCCAAACATTGCTGTGAATTTATATTCTCTCCCTCCCGCCACTTTTTCTAACATTCGCAACGGCGACTTCCACGCATCTTTGTTTGCCCCGGGGGCAAAAATGTGGTTCCCATCATTAAAAACAAACGTAATCTGCGAAATTACTCTGCGGAATAGCCTTGACTAATCCCATAATTTTTTTAGCCAGAATTAAATCTGCACAAGGTTTTGTCCAGTTTTGTCGTAACAAAATTTTGCGCGATTTTTACATTGTATTTGAGAATTAAAATTTTGAAAAGATAAGATCGCTATGGTGATAAAATAAGTCAGTAATTTTCATCTTTTACTAACTTTTTGCTCACTGTAAATCTTTGCCAATTTGGTCTTTTAGATTAAAAATATGTGGAAATAGAGTGAAATTTTTTGAAGTGTTTGTGAAATTAGAGTTTATAATTATTGGAGTACTTTTTGATTTAAATTTAATTCGTTGACTCAATTAAGATTTTTTTGGTTGGATTTTTACTATTTTGTCGATTTTTAATTTTTGCATGTTTTTTATTGACTTGAGCAAATTTCACTGGAAACAAAAAACTTATTTTATTTCTTTTGATATATAAATTGATTTTTTTAAGACAATTTAGATTCTTCTTTGACAAACCCAATGAATGTGAGTGGGTCGCAAGATCACCGTGTTATCGGCCCCGAAAGGGGAGAATCCGAATTATCGGCCCTTGCGATTTAGCAGCCTGTCTGCTACCGCTGGTGCCTTTCCCAAGAGGGATAAACAATTAATAATAATAATAATAATAATAATAAATTACTATTTTTTTATGCCCCGTGCACCGTATATATAATTTAAAAAAAATTTCCAGGTGAAAAATGATTTTTTTCCTTGTAGGACTTTTAACTGTTTAATTATTATTATTATTATTGTTGTTTATTCCTGTCCGACAAATATTACATACATGTTATATGCACAGATCACAAAGAAAAATTGAGATAACAATTTTTGGGAGGGAAATGTTTTTGGCGGTTTTTGGACAAGAAAAGGCGCCGCCTCTAGCAAACATTTTGCTAAAACACTCGAAATCAAGAAGAAGTCTCATGCCGAAACGAGCCTCAATGGGGAGGGAAAATCACATTTGGGGGAAATCACTGGTCAAAGTTCCGCCACAGGTACTCTTTGCAGAGGGCTGGGAACTGGTCCACAGGGCAGTCTTTCAGGGCGGCCGGAAGGTCATTCCAGGGCTCCACTACCCTGAAGGAGAAAACGCTCTCGGCGAATTTGGTCCGAATGGTGGCCGGTTGCAGCTTGGGGTGCTGCGGGTCATCTCCTCGGAGCGGCCGGCGCTCGGTGATGCGCGCCATGGCATCAAAGTCGGTGGCGCCGCTCAGGCACCGCTTGAAGAACACCAGGTCGGTGTGTTGCAGGTGCATGGCCATCGGCATCATCCTCTGCTCGAGAGGCGGCGGCAGGTGGCGGCCGTGGATGAAATGGAGCCCATGCCGGTGCACTCGCTCGAGCTTCTGCAGGTTCTCCACAGTGGTCGGGTGCCAGGCGGGCAGTCCGAAGGTCATCAGAGGTTGGACGAGCGCCTGATATGCCAACCTTTTGACCCTGGGGGTGCACCCTTGAAGGTTGCGGCCGACGAAACTGAGCCTCTGAGCGGCCTTGGCGCGCACTGTGTCGGTGTGCACGCTCCATCGCAGGTCACTGGACACGTGGACACCCAGGAGCCGCTGGCGGTCGACGTACTCGAGGGCCGCGCCATCAATGGTGTACTTGAAGTATAGAGGGGTGTGGGCGTGGGTGATGTCCATAACCTTACACTTTTTGGGGTTGAGGGCCATGCCGTTGTTGTGGCACCAGATCTGGACATCGTCCAGGTCTGCTTGCAGGGCGTCGGCGTCCTCGGGGGTGGCGACAACACGCGAGAGGGTGGCGTCGTCGGCGTACTGGAAAAGTTGGGTCCTCACCGAGGTGGGGAGGTCCGCCACAAAGACGTTGAAGAGCAGCGGCCCAAGGACGCTGCCCTGGATGACGCCCGAGGGGACTTCGGTGGGCTCGGAACGCGCTCCGTTGAACTGGACGAATTGCGTCCGGCCGACCAGAAAGCTCTCGAGCCACTTGAGCAACTTGCCCTTGATGCCGTAGTGCTCCAGCTTGGAGAGAAGGCGCGCGTGCGGAACCCGATCAAAGGCCTTCGACCAGTCGAGGAACACACAGTGGACGTGGGCGCCGCTCTTGGCGTCCAAGGCTGACGTCCACGAGTCGATGGCGCCGGTCAGAAGTGTGGTGCAGGAGCGTCTCTCGCGGAAACCGTGCTGAGTCGCCGGGATGACGTTCTGGCTCACGAGGAACTCGCTCAGCTTGTCCCGGACAAAGCGCTCCAGCGTCTTGCCGACCAGCGAGGTGATGCTGATCGGACGGTAGTTGTTGAGGTCGCGCTTGCTGCCATCTTTGTGGATCGGCGCCACAGATGCCATTTTCCACTCAGCAGGGAGGCCCTGTTCGAGCGACTTGTTGAAAAGGGCAGAGAGCGAAACGCAGAGGGCAAGGGCGCTGTTCTTGAGCAGCTCGGCGGGGATGTCGTCGGGGCCGGCTGCGGTGTTGGTTTTCACCTCCCGGAGCAATTTGTAGACGTCGGCGGGCGAGCAGGCCAGCTCGCTCAGGGTGGGCTGCGGCTCCGAGGGCTGCGTGGCGGGCGGGTTGCGGCGCAGGAAGGGGAAATTGTTGTCGTCCGGGCGAGAGAAATTGCCTTGGAAGACCTCACTGAAGCGTGCAGCCACCTCTTTTGGGTCAGAAATGGTCACCCTGCCCACGTCAAAACTCACCGCGTCGTTGGGGACGGTGGCCTTCGAGTTGATGTAGCGCCAGAACACCTTTGTGCCCTCGGCGCCGCGGCCCATCAGCCACATCCAGTTGTCTTTGGCCGCACGAAGGGCAGCTTGTGTCGTTCGGCGAGCCGCGAGATAGGCCTCTCTCGCCGCGCGCTGCTTCGTCTCCCGCCATCGGGAAAATAGGCCGTCACGAATGTCGATCAGCACCTTCACGTCCTTGGTGAGCCAGGGGAGGAGCCGCCTCTTGCCGCCCCCGGTCCGCCTCTTTGGCACATGTTGGTCGATGCACTCGGACACGATGCGCTTCCAGTTGGCCCACGCCTCGTCGATGTTGTCCGCGTGCTGCAACTCGGACAGCCGTTCGGTGAGCGCTTCGTTGAGTGCCGGCCAGTTGGCGCGTTTGAAGTCGGGGATCTCACGCAGCTCTCTCACAGGGCGGACAGCGGTGAGCGACAGGGTTGCAAGGATGGCGTCGTGGTCACTCACACCTGTCACCACCTCCACCCTCGACACCAGGTTCGGCTCGCTGCAGAGCAGAAGGTCGATGGTCGACTCGCTTGAGTTGGTAGTTCGTGTCGGCTCGGTAACCAGCTGCGAGAGGGAGAGTTCGGCGAAAGCTGAATTGAAACTCTCGGCGATCAGGTCGCGCGCCTCGGGAGGGTCTGAGCGCCAGCAGATATTCAGGTTGAAATCACCAAGCAGAAGGCAGCCATCGTAGTTGAGATGGACGGCAGCCACAAGGTCGAGGGAATTGATCAGGTCGGCGTTGTGTGCACCATCAGGTCCGGGCTTGCGGTAGGCAGACCCGACGAGCAGGCGCAGTCTGCCGACTTGGATTTCGGCCCACACGATCTCGGCGCCGCGGCTCTCGAGGTGCTGCAGCCGCTTCGGTTGAAGGTGCGGGCGGATGGCGAGCAGGACACCGCCACCACGGCCACTGAGGCGGTCCTTTCGCAGGACGACGTAGTCCCTGGGGAGGAATTCATGGTTCTTTACCTCCGGAGTGAGCCAGGTCTCGTTGACTGCGCAGATGTCGGCCGAGTGGGTTTGCAGAAAGGCGGCAATGTCTGCAGCCCTTTTGCGGTTTTTCAGGGAGCGGGCATTGAAACTGAGCAACGTGACGGCGTTCTTTTCAGCCGGGCGCCATGGTGGCGGCAGCCGAGTTGGGCTTCGTGGCGCTTCCGGAAGGCTCCAGAAGGAATCATTGAGATGCGGCATGCTGCAGGACCAGCACACGTAGTTGTTGTGTTTGCGAAAGGCCGTGGCTTCTCTCTCTTCCAAGATGGTCTTCTTCACCAGGCAATTCTTGTGGTAAATTTTACCGCACTCGACACAGGGAATTTTCACAGAGTTCTTCCTACCAGATTGGTCGCACAGCACGCAAGTATCAGCAAAGATGGCGGCGCGTTGTTGTGGCATCTTGAAAAAGCGGCTTTGGTCCACTCAAGGTGCTCTAAGGGGTGGTTTTTGATGTTGGGGGCCACGCAGGCAACACAAGGATGGAACTGGACACACTGGACAGCTCAGGACAGCGAAAAACCAGGTCGAAAATCACTCAAAAGCGGAGCGACACGTTAGGCGCGTGTGCTCGTGGCGATGAGGTACAAGAGGAATGAAATGAAAATATCCCAATTTTCTGGAAAAAAAAAATTAAAAAGAACTTTTCCTACTAAAATTTCTGCCTGAAAAGACTTCTTACAACAAATTTAATTATTGTTGTTTATTCTTGACAAATCAAGTCAATGGAAAGAAAATTAACTAAATTAACTCAATTAAATTGAAAGTGCTTTTAGCATCTAGTTTTTTTTCCTTAAACTTTTCATTTGAAAATGAATTACAAATTTTAAATATCTCCTTCATTTTTGTGCTCGGAACAGATTCCTGAACAACATGGGCTCGGAGACGCTGCTGGACGTGCCGGTGCCGACCGTGGACAGCACGGTGCCCCTGCAGGCGTCGGCGTTGCGCAACATGCGGCTCAGCTTGTCGCAGCGCAAACCTTCCATCACGGAGCTGGAGCGCGAGTTCCTCAACTCCTAGCAATACGCGCGGGGGAGCAGAAATGCTTCCCCGCACCGCCCGCTGAGGAGTCGGTCCACGTCGGCCACCAGGAGACGCCTCGCTGACAACGTCCAGTGAAAATTCAAGTGCGGACGAAGCATCCCAACATATTGGAGAAAACAAAAACTTAACAGGCACTCGGACAAAGTTTCAAAAGTTCTTGCCAAAAAAGTGCTTTTTCAAAAAAATGAATGTGAATCAAAAGGAAATTTATAAACCGATCGACCGCGGCGGACTTTTCACTTTTCTCCTACAGTATTAATTTATTTGGCGTGCAATCTTAAAATTTAATCACAAATTAAATAAGGTAATTTGTTTAATTTCAACTGTTATAAAAATTTGACACAAGAAAAATTATTTTTGGAAACTTCTCCTCCTGTTTAAAAATTGCAATCAAAGTAAGTCTTTCTCAAAGGACGCCGCGTCAGAGTGAGTTTCGCCTATTTTACTAGAGTATTTTTTACGAGATCGATGCATGCCATGTTGTGGTAAATAATACGGTTTAATAATCCATTATTGTTAGGCGGTTTTTGGACAAGAAAAGGCGCCGCCTCTAGCAAACATTTTGCTAAAACACTCGAAATCAAGAAGAAGTCTCATGCCGAAACGAGCCTCAATGGGGAGGGAAAATCACATTTGGGGGAAATCACTGGTCAAAGTTCCGCCACAGGTACTCTTTGCAGAGGGCTGGGAACTGGTCCACAGGGCAGTCTTTCAGGGCGGCCGGAAGGTCATTCCAGGGCTCCACTACCCTGAAGGAGAAAACGCTCTCGGCGAATTTGGTCCGAATGGTGGCCGGTTGCAGCTTGGGGTGCTGCGGGTCATCTCCTCGGAGCGGCCGGCGCTCGGTGATGCGCGCCATGGCATCAAAGTCGGTGGCGCCGCTCAGGCACCGCTTGAAGAACACCAGGTCGGTGTGTTGCAGGTGCATGGCCATCGGCATCATCCTCTGCTCGAGAGGCGGCGGCAGGTGGCGGCCGTGGATGAAATGGAGCCCATGCCGGTGCACTCGCTCGAGCTTCTGCAGGTTCTCCACAGTGGTCGGGTGCCAGGCGGGCAGTCCGAAGGTCATCAGAGGTTGGACGAGCGCCTGATATGCCAACCTTTTGACCCTGGGGGTGCACCCTTGAAGGTTGCGGCCGACGAAACTGAGCCTCTGAGCGGCCTTGGCGCGCACTGTGTCGGTGTGCACGCTCCATCGCAGGTCACTGGACACGTGGACACCCAGGAGCCGCTGGCGGTCGACGTACTCGAGGGCCGCGCCATCAATGGTGTACTTGAAGTATAGAGGGGTGTGGGCGTGGGTGATGTCCATAACCTTACACTTTTTGGGGTTGAGGGCCATGCCGTTGTTGTGGCACCAGATCTGGACATCGTCCAGGTCTGCTTGCAGGGCGTCGGCGTCCTCGGGGGTGGCGACAACACGCGAGAGGGTGGCGTCGTCGGCGTACTGGAAAAGTTGGGTCCTCACCGAGGTGGGGAGGTCCGCCACAAAGACGTTGAAGAGCAGCGGCCCAAGGACGCTGCCCTGGATGACGCCCGAGGGGACTTCGGTGGGCTCGGAACGCGCTCCGTTGAACTGGACGAATTGCGTCCGGCCGACCAGAAAGCTCTCGAGCCACTTGAGCAACTTGCCCTTGATGCCGTAGTGCTCCAGCTTGGAGAGAAGGCGCGCGTGCGGAACCCGATCAAAGGCCTTCGACCAGTCGAGGAACACACAGTGGACGTGGGCGCCGCTCTTGGCGTCCAAGGCTGACGTCCACGAGTCGATGGCGCCGGTCAGAAGTGTGGTGCAGGAGCGTCTCTCGCGGAAACCGTGCTGAGTCGCCGGGATGACGTTCTGGCTCACGAGGAACTCGCTCAGCTTGTCCCGGACAAAGCGCTCCAGCGTCTTGCCGACCAGCGAGGTGATGCTGATCGGACGGTAGTTGTTGAGGTCGCGCTTGCTGCCATCTTTGTGGATCGGCGCCACAGATGCCATTTTCCACTCAGCAGGGAGGCCCTGTTCGAGCGACTTGTTGAAAAGGGCAGAGAGCGAAACGCAGAGGGCAAGGGCGCTGTTCTTGAGCAGCTCGGCGGGGATGTCGTCGGGGCCGGCTGCGGTGTTGGTTTTCACCTCCCGGAGCAATTTGTAGACGTCGGCGGGCGAGCAGGCCAGCTCGCTCAGGGTGGGCTGCGGCTCCGAGGGCTGCGTGGCGGGCGGGTTGCGGCGCAGGAAGGGGAAATTGTTGTCGTCCGGGCGAGAGAAATTGCCTTGGAAGACCTCACTGAAGCGTGCAGCCACCTCTTTTGGGTCAGAAATGGTCACCCTGCCCACGTCAAAACTCACCGCGTCGTTGGGGACGGTGGCCTTCGAGTTGATGTAGCGCCAGAACACCTTTGTGCCCTCGGCGCCGCGGCCCATCAGCCACATCCAGTTGTCTTTGGCCGCACGAAGGGCAGCTTGTGTCGTTCGGCGAGCCGCGAGATAGGCCTCTCTCGCCGCGCGCTGCTTCGTCTCCCGCCATCGGGAAAATTCAAGTATATATGAAAAGTCGCTTAATAGACCCTTTGCATTCGTATTTTCGAATTAATTCATTAATAGCGTCTGAATCGCAAGAAGATTTGCAGCCGAATGAAAGTATGTGCCAGTCGAGAGGGTCGACCGCCGAATTTCAGCTGCCAGATCTTCCCGACGCATTCGTGCAGCTCTGCGCATGCGCTCCGTGACGTCACTACACGCAGGCTGAATGGAAAGAGAAGGGAGGGGACGGTGTGTCGCCTCGGCTGTAAATCGTCATTTTAGACTTTTGCGCAAATGCAATTTTTTTACAGTTTGCGTTAATTTAGAACGCTGAAATTTTCAGAGTTGGTAGATAATTAATTGAATCAATTTTACATCTAAATTTTTATTTTAAATCCCCAACTGAAGCGTAGTTATTAACGTTTCCGCAAGAATTTTGTATTTTGCATTTTTTAAATATAAAAAAAATTTAAAAAAGAAAAACTTAAATGAAAAATGTAGCCAATTAAATTGTCTATAATTTCTTTCATAGGCATGATGACGCCAAAATTTTTTTTGCTTACCCCCGGAAGGTTCAAAATCAAAATATTGTTTTTTAGCAACGATCAAAATTTTTGAGATTTTTTTCAAGATAGCCAATCGATTGAAAATGTAATTTTAACCCTGAAACTCTAATTTCATCCAAAAATATCCAGCCGTTTTTTAATTAGAAAATAATATTTAAAGGCGCCTCCAGCTGCAGACGATGACGAGTGGCGCGTTTTGGTAAACAAGCTGTAAATTGAAAACGGCTTAATATTTTTTGATGAAATTCTATTTCTAGGGTCAAAATTAAATTTCCAATCGATTGGCAATCTCGGAAAAAATCTAAAAAATTTTGCTCATTGTAAAAATCATGAAATGTTGACTTTTTTTAGTTTTTTAAGTTAAAAAATTAGAGATATATTTTTTAAAAATCCAAAGTCTTAAGAAAAAATGTAGCCAATTAAATTGTCTAAAACTTTTTTTATTGGCATAATGACGTCAAAAAATTTTTTAATTGCCCTTGGAAGGCTCAAAATAAAAATAAGATTTTATTTCAATGAGAAATTTTTTTTAGATTTTTTCCGAGATAGCCAATCGATTGAAAATTTAATTTTGACCCTAGAAATAAAATTTCATCAAAAAATATTAAGCCGTTTTCAATTTACAGCTTGTTTACCAAAACGCGCCACTCGTCATCGTCTGCAGCTGGAGGCGCCTTTAAATATTATTTTCTAATTAAAAAACGGCTGGATATTTTTGGATGAAATTAGAGTTTCAGGGTTAAAATTACATTTCCAATCGATTGGCTATCTTGAAAAAAATCTCAAAAATTTTGATCGTTGCTAAAAAACAATATTTTGATTTTGAACCTTCCGGGGGTAAGCAAAAAAAATTTTGGCGTCATCATGCCTATGAAAGAAATTATAGACAATTTAATTGGCTACATTTTTCATTTAAGTTTTTCTTTTTTAAATTTTTTTTATATTTAAAAAATGCAAAATACAAAATTCTTGCGGAAACGTTAATAACTACGCTTCAGTTGGGGATTTAAAATAAAAATTTAGATGTAAAATTGATTCAATTAATTATCTACCAACTCTGAAAATTTCAGCGTTCTAAATTAACGCAAACTGTAAAAAAATTGCATTTGCGCAAAAGTCTAAAATGACGATTTACAGCCGAGGCGACACACCGTCCCCTCCCTTCTCTTTCCATTCAGCCTGCGTGTAGTGACGTCACGGAGCGCATGCGCAGAGCTGCACGAATGCGTCGGGAAGATCTGGCAGCTGAAATTCGGCGGTCGACCCTCTCGACTGGCACATACTTTCATTCGGCTGCAAATCTTCTTGCGATTCAGACGCTATTAATGAAATAATTCGAAAATACGAATGCAAAGGGTCTATATTCTAGTCTCTGGTGTCAAATCTTCATACAGAATGGTTGTTGTTTATTTTCTCACACGTGGTATTGTTAAAAGTTTTATAATTTATGGTGACGCAGCTCGGGAGACACGCACGCTGACTGCATTAATGGAAATAAGTCGAGATGAGGGTCGCCAATGGCATGCAAGAGCAATTTACGAGCGGCTCCTCCGCGTGGTTTTTGTCTCTCGTTTTCTCTTCGCTGTTTAAAAATAAAAAGACAGACGCGCGCGCGGTGCATTGCACTTACGTCATTGATTTACGTGCAGACCAGTCCGTAACTCTATATAGGCCGCCTGAATTAAAAGTCTGCCTTCGCAGGGTGTGTTTAAACTGTGGCACTTGACTCTAGCCTGCTGGATTATGTACAACTTGCAAACTTCAAGTTGCCAGACGCTGAAACAGATTAGCACAATACATTACACGATTCTCCTCACTAATTGCTCATACATTTGTTGGTTAATTTTATGTATGTTTGTATGTTATTAAATTTATTATTTAATTCTAACATAATTAAATTATATTTTCTTCCTAAAAAAAATTAATTCGTTGATTATTCTATTGCACAAACAGTTCTGAATTTTTGAACAAATTTAATTATTATTTAGCAAACTCATAATCACTCCAAATAAACGACAACTTACTTGCAAGCACTTGCAAGATATAAGAAATTTCATAAAATCTTAAAGTAAGAATCCAAAAAAACTAAAAGTGTTCTCGTCACCAAAAGAAATTGAAAGATTTTAAAATTTATTTTCATTGTTACAGCCACAAATTAGAGACGAAATGGATCAGGAAGGAAACGTAAATCCTAACAACAGGAAATGGTGAGTTTATGACAGAGATTATGATGGGCTTATCTAACATCGGCGTAGGTTTTTTTAACAATTTTTTTTTTAAATTAACAAAATTTAGCCCATAAAATGAATTATTATAAACTATTATTGGAATTTTAAATTATAATTCGTGGTATCATTATCGAGGTGTTTAGTGACTTTTTACCTCTTCCTTCCATGTATATTTGAAATCAATAAGCATTGCAAGTAGTATAAAATGTAAGAAATTGAAAGTTTAAGTAATTAAATTATGTATGCAAATTACTTTTTTATATCCTTATAGTTAAATGTGTTAAAATATAAAATATAATCAATATTAATTATACAATATCCAGCTTACTATAGAAGTTGTTGATCGCAATGAATTTTGAAATTTACAATAATTGTGACAACCTCTTTTGAAATTTCTCAATCCATTTTTTCCTAATTCTGATATTCAAATAAATTAATTTATGCAAATTGGTTGTAAATCAATTAAATTAAAAATTAAAGACACAGAAGCCCAGATAAGGTTGTGAGGTGCACAAGACCAAGTAAAATTATTTTTACTTGTTCAAGCTTTATTCAGAATTCAAGTAATGGTTTACGTGATGATAACAAAAAGAAAAAAACAATAGGAGCAAAATCTGAAAATAGGTTATAAAGGTTTTTTTTAATAATTAAATTGATTTTTTGTTTTGGTGTTAAATGGAAATTTAGGCTATTTTGTAGCATTTTAGAATTTTTAAATACTTGCGTTTTGTGTTTTAAAATGCTTATTCATTAAATGCTTCGATAATGGATTTTTTAATCAAATGAACTCATGACTATCTTTTATCCTGATCATGATGAATCAACGAAATTTTCGTCAAATTATTTGACTCTAATGAAGTCTAATATTAATTTTACCAATTTTATCAATATTCAAAGCTTCCCAATTCCTTGCACCTGTTGCTGCGCGAGCATAGGAATGACTTTTTCACTCCACTGGGCCTTACCCACGCAGACTCGCGTTTTCCGAAAATTCGCTCAAGCCTCGCCAGAGTGCACAAGGCACCGGTGCGGGGCATAATAATAGGCAACCCGCGCAACCCAACCCCGAGTAGGCCACAACCCTTTGCGCGAAAATCGATAGCCGCCCCGCATACCGCATGGCTTAGTTTGGGCGCTGCGATTCGAAATCCTATATGATTTCCTCTCTTTCGCCTCTCTGTGATATTTTACTGCTTCCCCGCGGGTGTGACATAATTCGCGAATGGCAGTCAAAAAGAGACAGCAGGTCGGTGGTGTCAAGGAAAACGGCATGTCAAGGGACAGGACCAAATTCAACTCCGGAAGGGGTGCCAATAACCACAGAAAGTTGCACCGCCGGAAACCAACTCTGCTCTGTAAACTTCTGAACCAGGTCATCGTCAAAATGCACAAGTACTTTTCCTGTTTATTATGAAAATATTTTATGATATTTATGAAAAATCACTGTTTTTATTCCGCTTATATTGTATCATTGAACGATTGAACTCAATTTTACACACACATATACAAGCACATATTTTATTTCAAAATAAAAAACAAAAAACGTTTTAAATTCTAATAATTCTATTTTGATAGCATAAGCACTGAATTATTTTGATATTTGATGGTTGCACTCTGTGTGTAATGTAAGAATATCAATCATCGCTGCAAAAAATACATTTTATTCGTTTATATGGTTTATATTTTTAAAATTTATTCATTTTGATTGTAATTAAAGTTGAGTTAATTTAGAATTAAATTAATTAAAGTAAAAATTGGTTTTTTTCATATTTGCAAAAAAATTTAAATATCATAATTTTTTTTTATTTATATTGATTTGTATAATAGTTTTCTAATAAACATTAAATATGCTTTAATTTAATAAAAGTTATTTTGATAACTTTTTTTAGTCAATTCTGCACCTATTGAACAACATAAAAATATAAATTTTACCAAGTCAGTGTGCATTATGATATATTTCATTAAACACATTTAATTAGAACGGATAGATTCAGATGGTTGTAGAATTTATTATTGGTAATGGTAACTCTTATGAATTAATGCAGTTCAATATAAAAAATTGTATTTGCAAAAAAATATTCTTTAAGATAATTTTTGATTGGCGGTATAAGTTAATAAATTAACAAAATAATATTAGGATTGATTGTTGAAATAGAGTAGAGAATTTACAATAATATCATGTAAAACGATTGAAAGTATTAAGTCAATAATTTTTTTAACTGAGATGTCGCTGACAGCTGAAAGTGCGGCGTATACGAGCACTGGTTCTTTAGTTCCCTCACAGGTGGCTTTTCACACCAACAGACAGACAATTTTAGAGCCACTATGATATTAAAGGCCGATTGAATATGTAATAAAAAATAAGAACTGTAATATTATATATAAGATATAAGAGTAGCGTTAATGAACTCACAAAATTTTGAGATAATTCGCTGATAAGATTTGATAAACATCACGCCACAAAAGTTTACTTAAAATTTCATATTTTTAATATTTTGATAATGCAATTATTATTTATTTAATTTTTATATTCTAATGAGTGTAAGCAAAAAATTAAATTTTATAGAGACTTTTTATTCAAATGCAATTTTGCTCTGAATTTGCGTTCACGTTGAATGTGGATGTGGATGACAGTGATTTTGATAAAAAGTAGAATATACACGTGACGGTGCTCGCCCGTCGTCTCGTAACAAACAAACCCACACGTCCACCTGCGTTGTTACAGTATACGTGTCCTTATAATCAGGGCTATAGTTATTCACAGGCGTGCTGCGTCGTGCAGGCCGTCGAGCCAAAACCTGATTCCTTCCTTTCGTGTCTCGCCGTCGATCGAATGCCGATCTCCGCTCATACGTTTCCTCAATAAATGTCGCGTCAAGGTGGAAAATAAAATCGAAACCCACAAGCGCATCTTTCTGCCAGTAAACCAACTCGCTCAAGTGAATATTTTACACATATTTTTTATGCATAAGTCCACCACGTTACACTTTTCTCGCGCGTTGTCTGAAAGGGTTTCGGTCACACTTAGCGACTCTTCACTTATAAGTTTTCCTCTCTTTTCTGCAATGATATAATAATAAACTGTCTTCACAGTCTGATGAGCTGGTTTTGCACTGCTGCAAAAGCGAGTTTTCAACTTGATTCCTTTTTTACACTTTGCAAAAAATGCGAAACTCGATCTTGGTTTGCGCATGGCGACGAGATTATGCCCGATTATTATTGTGCACATCAAGAGCAAATTGCATGGTTGTTGTAATTTATTATTTCAATAAAAAAATGTGAGGTTCTAATTTCCAGTGCACGTGCTAAAAAAATCCCCATTCGACAAACATCTTCAAACTTCAGACTCAAATACTGGCTGAAAAAGTTTCAGATTTTTGTAATTTAAAAATAAACTTTTTATTTAGCGAAACATCTTTTCCGAAAAAAAAAAATAATATATTTAAAGGTACAATATTTGTCATATTTTTTTAATTTCAATCACTGATTTTCAAATTAGATAATTCCAATTTGTCTTATCGTAAGAAATAAGATTAATTGTTTGAAGTTTTGGTAGTTTTAACCACAAACTCTACTGATTTTTCAAAAAAATAAACAAAAACAATAAAGAAAATAAGTTTTAACAAGTCACATAAAAAAAATATTAAAAAATACTCGTCCTTTTTTTTGTAAGTGAAAAGTAAAAAAAGTTGTTTTTAAAATCTCGCAATATATTATTTTTAATGTTCTGAATATGGCATAAAGCGCATGTATAGTGACATAAATATTTGAATTAATCTAACGAAAATATACCTATAGAACTATATTATTAGTATATGTTTATTTCTTTAACTTTATTCTGCTTTATTCCTAGTTAATTAATTTTCGTTCCTATTTGCAATACGCAATATTTTTTATCACTTGTTTTGGTAATCATACCAATTTAGCTCTTCACGATTAAGATACAATTTTTTTATTTTTCCGAGTCTGTTTTTTTTTCTTAATCTGAAAGAATCTTATTGTTATACACACTAGATGTTGCAATATTATTTTATGTTATCAACAAGTGTCTCACTGGGTATGGGTTATATTTTATGTGAAAATTTATATCGGCCTATATCTGTCTGAGTTTATAAATGTTTACTAATAAAAAAGCTGGTGATTAATTATTGAGAGGGAACACGTGACTCTCTGCACAAAAACAACACGCAAAAAGAATCCAGCTGATAAGGCGTGTTTCAAAGAACGTGTTGTCATGCACGATTGCAAATTTGAATTTTTTTCCTGCCCGTTGTTTTGAAACTTTGAAACGTCGTTCGGGTTCAACGTCACTGTGACAAAATTTTGTCCTAGATTCTCGTAAAATCAATCATTACCCGAATGGAAAAGTCACTTCCCCGGCCTATAATGACTGAATAGGTGAATCACCGCAGAGATGCATCAGTGACACAGATAAAAAACGCTTTCGATTTGTGATGCAGCTTCGACATTATTTTCCGTTTGATCAAAACGAGACCACTGAATGTGCGCAGTATTATAAAACGGCGCACGAATTTGAATCATCAGCAGAATTGATAAAAAGACGCACTTCGCCTCATAACAGGAAATATGATGACTTTTGCTTTCGTCTCCATGAAACTTCTCGATCAAAGTATAATTATATTTTCGTTTCATTCAATAATATTATCAACTCTTACAGTAAAATATATAATTTAAGAAATTTTACAGAAACAAAATTAATTAATTTTAAACTTTATATTATGTATTTAAAATTTTTTGATGACACAAAAATGATCGATTAAAAAAAATATTTTTTAAATAATTATTAGTTTTTTTTTTTATTTTTAAGTAAAATTTTACTGTTTTATTTCATTTATTTAAAAAATGTACTTTTTATATTTATGCCAGAATTTTTATAATATTAAATGCAGAAACAGTGATTTCAATATTCCTTGGAACAGGAGGTTGTTGGAAACGCCACCTTTATCATGATAAACACGTTAGGGCTATTTGCATACACAATTGGCACCCAGTTGCGGTCTCAGCGTTTCCCCGATTGACTGAATATAAAGGCTTCGAGAACTCTCTGTCCTAATTTATCAAATTTAATTTCATTCCATTTGCTGACGGTGCCGAATTCTGAGATTGGTCCGGAGCGTGTGTCTGCATGGCAACACAAAATTCGCCTCCAGAGCCGGCAGATTCACCAAAAGACGATTTTGTGCGGACGCGCCACGCCCGTGCAACTGAATTACTTTTTCGCTTTTTTACCTGCGAACAGCTAGAGTGGCCGGATTCAAGCCAAGGCCTTGAGTCGTTTCATTCACCTCCCCGTCAATTTCTTTTAAATCATACGCAATAAACCAAAGAGGACTTGTCTGCTGATGTAACTGGATTTAAATGGTCTATAATAATTGCTGCTCTAAACATCAACACCGCCTGTAGTTAACCGCATAAACGTGCCTTGCTATGAAAAGAAAAAGAGAAGTAGCTCAAATATGCTCAGGGCAAAGCACTTCGAGGAATAATAATAATATTTATTCTATTAATAAACATGAGGATTGAGCCATTAAATGGTAGTTTCATAAATGTTGAGTCTGTCTAGATTTTATTTTTTGTGAGGCTCAAATAGAATTTTAATTGGCACGATCTGAATAGATGCAAAAATAATTTTGGCCTCTCAGTACTCGTGTAATTTCAAGTGTCTGCACACGTGATTAAAACATGGCTGCTTTATCAAAACGACCTTTCACATCATCAGAAATGTTGCAGGTCAATGAAATATATTTAAAAAAAATATAATTCACTTATTGATATGCTAAATAAGATAACAAACTGTTCTTCTGAAACTAAAAATAATGAAATAAATTTTTAGAAATCAAATGAAATTTCCAATTAATTTTTAGAGTAAAAAAAATATTACGGAAATTGCGCAGAATTATTATTTTTTGAATCGGGGTTGTTCTATTTTCATCTGACTTAATTAAATGGCCCTGAGCCATAAAATTAAAACAATAAATTATGAACCTAAAATAAATTGATTTTTTTTTTTAAATCAACATATCAACAATGAAATGGAAATTTTATGTTGGATAAAATGTTGTATAAATGTTTCAGGATGAAAAATCCAAGGAAGCGGCTTTACATGATCATCGCTGGCTCCATCGTTTTCATATTTCTAGTCCTAATTGTTGCTTACATAGCAACACAGGGGCCGCCGCCAAAGCCCAAATACGTCCCGAATCCATTCGCAAAACTGCCACCCTCGGAGTCAATACTGCAGACGTTCAAAAAGGCAGCCGTCTGCACTGATGCTGTTGTCTGCTCAGAAGTGGGAAGGTGAGTTCAATTGCTCAATTTTTTAATTTTAATCTTGATTTATAAATACGTTAGGAAAACAGTACATAGTCAATATTAAAGAGTGTTCAAGATTTTTAAAATTTTTTGATAATTAAAGTTACAAAAATTTTATTATAAAGAATTAATTTTATTTTTATAATTTGCTTCAGGTAAACTATATATTATACAAATTTAAATTAAAAATAAGTTTTTTAATATATATTAAATTTGTTTATTTTATTTTTTCAATAATATAAATAGTTTCAATTTCAAGCAAATATTTAATAATTAGTTCTTATTATAATTTTCAATATTTTTTGGTGCCTGTTGATTTAAATGATTAAAATAGGATAATAAAAAAACAGTAATGTGTATGTTAGAGTTGCAAAGCTATTTTTTTTTAAATTCTCAAATTAATATGCGCTTAATTTTTTTATTTTTGGACCGTGTCATAAAATAGAACATACAAGTGAAAGTATATTATTTAACAATTGGTCGCTCTCAACTGCAAACAAACACACACTCGGGTAAATATAAATAAAAGGCTGCGGAAAGACGAGGCGTCCAAGGTTCTCGACTCGCGCATCGCTCCGGCGCACCGCTGCTGAGGCCGCACCTTATAAATACGACCGGGCCGACCGCAGCCGCGCACAGAGTAAAAAGCACACACACGTATAACGTTGGTCACGCCGATCTCCACAAAGACGAGCAACAATGTCCGAGACTCACTTCGACGAGTACGAGCACTACAACTACGACGTTGAGAAGCACATCCACTCGGGACACTCAGGCAAGCAGAGGAGCAAGAAGGAGGCCAGCGAGCACACGAACCACTTTGACCCGAACGGCCACTCGCGCAAGATTGTGACCAAAATGCAGAACACCGAGCACAACCAGAAGAACAAGGACGGGCCGGGCAAGGCCAAACCCTGAGCACGTAGCAACAGAGCAGAAAGAACCTTCGATTCGCGCCTCTCTTCTTCTTCTTCCTTTAGTGCAAGTGCGCCGTGTCTTGATTTTCCAGTTTGAATTTTATAAAAGAGAGATAAATAGGCGGCGAGCGTGAAATGCTGATAATCTCCGTCCGCCTTCTCAGCAACAAGTACGCGCCGAGCTGACGAAGAAGATGAGGACTTTGCTTCTGCTTTTCTCAAGTGATAATTTTCTTTCTGATGATGATGGACTGAGTTGATTTATTGTATTCCCGTTTATATAATCGAGCATTTCAGTTCACGTTATTTTCGCTTATTTTTTGTCGCTATAGATAAATATAAAAAAGCGTCTCTGTGCGTGTATATATAAATAATTTTCATATATACTTTGTAGTTGGTAAATGAGTGAGTCAAATAAATGATCAACAATATTGTTCCTAAAAATTTGACGTATTTTTGATTGAATTCTTTTGATTTGACACCCTTACATTTTTGAAAAGATTTCTATAGTTGAAAAACGAGCTTGAACTATACAAAGAATATTTCTCAATAAAAGCAGTGCAGCGCTGCTCTTTATGATAAAACGCTGCAGGGCATCTCTATTTTATACCTGACAATCCTAAGCAGAGGTATTAGAAAAATCTTGAACATTCTGGTTGGTCGTAAATTAAGCAGAAAAATTGTTGAGAAGACGAGTATAGAAATTGCTTCCAACTGGTCGCCTGCCTGTCATAAATTCTGCGTCTATATTTCGAAATTTCTAGGCGCTGAAAATATGGATCGTAAAATTCAATTAAATTAAAGTTTATTATTAAAATAGAAAAATCTTTTAACACGTTGAATCTTTTAGAGTGATGGATGAAATAAATAAATATCTGATAGTTTCCATATTTCAGAGACATCTTGGCCAAAAATGGGTCTGCAATGGATGCGGCCATCGCTGCCCTTTTCTGCAATGGAGTGGTCAACTGCCAGAGCATGGGTCTCGGGGGTGGCTTTTTGATGACTGTTTATCAAAGAGACACCCAAGAGGCCTTCACCTTGAACGCAAGGGAAGCGGCGCCTTCAGGCGTCACGGAAGAAATGTACAATGAAAATCCAAAATTAACAAAATCAGGTAATAGATGTTTGATGTTTATTGTATAAACAATTTTTATTTTAAAGGATTTTTTTTTAAATTAAACTATTTTTTTGTTCTTGCTGTTTTAATTTAATCTTGATGTAATTGTTAAAACCTTTTTTTATTTTCAAATAATATAACGCGTGGGTGGAAAAATAAAATGATATAAAAAACACAGACAGTGTGAAGCATTTTGTAAAACATATTATAATTTTTTGAAATTATTTCAATATTTTATATTGCTTTACACCTGCTTTACACGTATAAAATTTATATTTTAATAATATTATTGTTAATGAAGAATAATTATAAATTTGCATAAATTTGTTTCAATAATATTTTTAGGTCCACTCGCAGTGGCAGTGCCAGGAGAGTTAATGGGCTACTGGGAAGCCCACAAACGATTTGGCCGCCTCTCTTGGTCGGACGTAATCATGCCTACAATCAAGATTTGCAGGGAGGGCTACAAAATGACACTGCATCAGTCTGATTCTATAAAATTAAAGGAAAACGTCATTATAAAGGACCCCTACTTAAAGTAAACATTTTCTTTTTAAACACTTTTAATTTTTTTTTTCTCATAAATAATAACTTTGTAGGTCTGTTTTTATTAATCCGTCAACTGGAAAGTTTTATGAGGAAGGGACGCTGATTAAAAACACAAAATTGTGCGACACTTTGCAAGAAATCGCAGAGTCTGGAGGTGACTCCATGTACAAGGGAAATTTAGGCCGCAACCTTGCCAAAGATATACTTGACATGGGAGGAAAGGTCACAGAACAAGACCTTGCTGATTACAAGTAAGCGCTTTTGTAAAAATGTGAAATTTTTATATAAGTTTTTATGTGTCATTTGTGTGTCTGAATAAATCAGCTCGACAATTTAAATAAAAATGATTTTAGGGTTCGATGGGAAAAGCCCATGGTGGCCAAGCTTCGAGGTGGAAACACCCTGTATTCGGTGCCTCCTCCAGGATCAGGTGCACTGCTGGCCCTCATAATGAACATTCTGGACGACTATCATTTCAACAGTGACTCTGTAAAGACCGACGAAGCCACAATCAACACATATCATAGAATAACAGAGGCCTTCAAATTCGCCCTCGCTCACAGGGGTGAGCTTGGTGACACTGCCTTTGTCAGCATTTCTGAAGTGAAATTAAATTTATCCATTAAAAAAGGAATATAAAGTGTTATTGTTTATTTCCAGTTGCTGAATAATTTGACTTCTAAAGAATTTGCGCTGGAGGTCACGAAAAAAATTGATGACCAAAAAACAAGTCAAGAACCAGAATATTACGGTGCCATCAAAGTGGCCACAGAGGACCACGGAACTGCCCACATATCAGTGTTGGCTTCAAATGGAGATGCTGTCTCGGTCACAAGCTCAGTGAATTTTTAGTAAGGATTTTGGGAACCAGAATTTACTAGTTTAATTAATTTTTTATTTTAGCTTTGGTGCTGGAATTGCTTCCAAGAGTACGGGAATTATTCTGAACTCAGGAATCGACGATTTTTCTTTTCCAAAGTTTGCAAATGCCTTTGGTCTACCGCCTTCTGAGGCAAACAGAATTGCTCCAGGAAAGAAATCTCAATCATCCATGACTCCTACCATTGTGACTGATGAAAATGGGGATGTCAGATTAGTCATAGGTGCTTCAGGAGGATCAAAAATCTTAACCGCAACAGCCCTTGTAGATTATAAGTTAAAAACTGGATGTTTTCAATTATAAATTTCTCTATTAGGTAACTATGAGACACTTATGGTTTGGGGAAAGCATCAAAGAGGCGGTTGACGCACCAAGGATTCACCACCAACTCTTCCCCATGGAGTTATCATACGAATATGGAATAACACACGTGATAATTTTTTTCACATTTAAAAAGTTTTGTTTCATTAAATCCTGTTGCAATTTATAGCAAGTCATCGATGGGCTGGAAAAACTTGGTCACAAAACTGACAGGTACAGGGAGAGAGGATCTATCATTTGCGCCATCGCTAAGTCAAATGGTACAATTTATGCAAATGCCGACTTCAGAAAAGGCGGAGAAGTATTTGGACTGGACTAATCAAATTTTTCATCTGAGGTGCATTTGGCAGTTAAATAATTCTTGGAAATAATTTTGAATCAAAATATTGAAAATGCACAAAAAAGCACTGTGTGCAAACATAAGAATTTTTCGAATAGAACAAAATGCAGATATTTTGTCAATAGTTCCGGACAATGGCTTAAAAGGCAAGTTTTTTATTTTTTAACTTATCTTCCGCAAGACTAAATAGCTTTGTTAATAAGCATTTCTTAAAACTGATGATAAGCAGGCAATAAAAACCATAGTCAAATAAAAATAAAAAATGCATTTTTGTCTGTAAGAACCCCTGAGATTTGCTGAATGAAATTATTTATGTATCTGCGGAGACGTGCATGCGTTTCACACGATTTTTATTCAAGCTTAAAGTATAAGGACAGTGTTCAAGAAACCTGATTGGCTACTTTTCTTGTAAATAACAATTAAAAAGAGGAGCTACAAAAATTTCATACCGACGCTGTGTTTACCCACTTGAGTTTGGTGACGGGAGCAACCTCAGGGTGAGTGAAGATGCATCCAAAGTTTTTGCAGTTGGCTCCAAAACGACAGGGCTGTAAAAGAATCACGGTATCAGTGATTGCCAACGCTTTTTTATATTATGATTTATAAATACCTTGGGGTGGAAAAATCTGCAGGTCATGTTTGTGCAGCCAGGGAAGAAACGGCAAACAGTCGCAGCAGATGGCTTTACTGGAGCTAATGGTCTGATTATGGGAGCTGTAATAAATATTTAGTTATATTAATAAAAAAATTAGAAATGTTTATAAATATACCTGGCACAAATTTTGGAACAACAGGGACCGGATTGAAGCTCCTTGGGCTAGCATGAGTAAACGGGCAGTCCTTTCGAGTGCAGGCAGCATCGAATTTGCAGTTCGGGTGTATGTACAGGCAGCGATCACCAAAGTTGCAGTTTGGAAAATTGCTGAAATAAACAATCCATGCATTTTTTTTTCATTTTTAATTCAAAATACATACGTGCAAGTGGTGGAAGGGTGATGAAACTGGCAACCGTCGCCTTGGCGGCAGGCCGGCCAAAATTTGCACCTCTCCGTACTTTTCTTCACTGGCTCTGTGACCATTGGTTCTTCTGAAATAAATTTTGAATTGAAATTTTCATTTGAATTTATGCAAATTTCAATACCAGGTTCAGGGGTGAAGACAATCCTCTTGCGTTTTGGTTTGCTCGGCGCCGTCGCATCACCAACGAGTTGGGCCTCGTCAATGATTTCCATTTCGACGCCTTCCTCCTGCAGCATCTCAATGTCTTCAGCTGTCGCTCTCAAGTACTTGTTTGAGTATTCCTCGTAGCCATCCAGAGTGATTAAGAACTGTGTTTGATTTTTATTTGCATCGGGTTTTATGATGGGGCTAGGTTTGTAAGTTACCGGCGGGTTAGACCTGCTGGAAGTTATTTCCGGCACATACGCTGTTGAGGAAACAATTGTTAGCAACAGGAAAAAAAGATATTTTATAATTTTCTACCATCGCCTGAATTCATTTCTTCATCCTCGTCCTCCTCTAGGGTGTATTTCTTCTCCACCGGCAAGTTGCGCAGAGTTATCTGAATTTTCTCCTTAGCTCCGAGACGATTTTTCAAATTCTTAGTAAACAGCTGAAAGTTTGTTAAATTTTTAATTTTTGTCTTTAGCTCATTGTGAAAAAAAAAAAAATAAACCACAATTACTTTGGGTCTAGGGTCTTCCTCCTCCTCCTCTTCAAAACTCCTCGACCTCGAGGTTGTTATTGATTTCTGTGCCTCGTTAATTGCCTTCAAAAGCAAAAACTTGGAAGGTCGGGCTTCAGGAGGCAGAGTGGTCCTGGGTTTGATTCTTACTACACTAGCCACACTCCTAGGCTTCACGTCGTCTTCCTCCTCCTCCGCTTTCCGTTTGAGAACGGCCCCAATTCTGGACATGACCGAAACTCTCGGAGGCGGACTTGGACTTTTGCGTTTTGCAGCAACCACTTGAGAACGAACTGCAATTTGTGGTGAGCGAGAATCCTCATGCGACCTGTTCAAATTTCTCCGGGCCCGCAGTTCAGCAGTGGTTATTGCCTGGTTGTTGTTTCGATATGACGACCGAGACCTCGAAGACTCACTCTGCACAAATGAGGAGTTTTTAAAGTGAATAAAATATATTTCAATATCATTTATTACGTCATGATCACTGCTGAGTTTTTCATGGCGACTGATTTTGTTGCCATTGGGCTGTTCGTCTCCCAAGAGTTCTTCCTCCTCATTCAAATCAGTTTTAATATTGATGAAGTCATCATCGTCCTCATCAACATCACTTGTCTAGAAAAAATAATAAAAATTTGAAATTAAAAACTTTTCTGAACAAAAATAAAGTTGAACATTTTAAATTTTATAAAATTCTGAGTGACGGAAAAATACAAACCATCATGACCGGTTCCCTTGCTTTGACCTGCTGAACATTTTCTGACCTCCGCTCTGGGTCTACTCGCAAAACCACAGAGCTCTGCAGTCCAGAAGTGCTGGGGGCAGATTCCAAGGGAGATTTCGGCTCTTCTTTTACCGTTTTCTTCACTTTGACAACAGTAGCTTTGCTCTTCACCTCTGTTGCAGATTTGCCAGCCGCCTTGATTTTGACGACTTTGATCTTCTTGCCACCTTCGGGCGACTCTTTTGTCACCTTTGTCTTCTTCTTTTTGTCTTTACCCTCGTCTTTGCTCTTCTTTTTTACTCCTTCGACTCCCGTCTTGGGCTTTTTGGCCACCACGGCAGGAGTGGCCACTTTGTAGTCGTTGTCGGTCACTGTGACCGTGATTTGCTCGAGTTTCTTCAGCACCTTCTGCAGCCAACTGGTGAACTTGACCGTGTCCTCCTCCAAAAAGGGCTGCAGGTCTTTGGCCATTTGCGCTTCTTCCTTCTTGTTGGCTGCCATCACCATGATGTAGTCGACCAACTCGTCGTCCACCGTTTTCCCGAGCTCCATCAGCCGAACCTTGATGGCCGAGCGTATCTTTTTGCCCACTTCGGAGCAAACGAGCTCCATGGTGCCTTGAGGTCAACAAACAAACCCCTGAAAACAAAGTTTTGACGACTAATTTCTAGGCCGAAAATTCTAGTTTTATAATACAGTCGATCACCAACCACAATAACAACAGCTGGCCAGGTCAATGGTTGCTCAAATCTGCACAAGGGGGCTTTCTGTAAACCAAAAAGTCGAATGCAGAGACATCTTTCCCGGATGATAAGAAAATTTCGGTCTACCTTAACAACAAATATTGATAAAATTAATAATTTTCAATTAACTGTAAGTCTTATAAAATCATCTCAAGCATTTAAAATCAATAATTTAGCCCCCAAATCTCGGCTATCAAAATGAAAGTCTGAATTCAAAATGTCCCGCGCCAGCGTTCCACCGCCCTTTAAACGCAATGGAGGCTTCTCATTGGTCGACGTAGTCTGGTGCCGGGAAAGCGCCAATCAGATCACTTGTAAACACTCAGAGGGATTAAAGTTCACCGTCTCTTCCCGCGAATTGTTGCGCTTGGGCCAGGTGTTCCATTACGCTCCTGGTAGACGCTTTCTTTGCTGAAGGAATTTTACAGTTTTAAACCGTGAACCTGTACGTCTAAAGGGTAAGTTTTGTCAATGAAGACATGATATTTCAGATTTTGGGCAGGGTTTCTAGATTTTTGTAGGATTTATATCTCATAATTCGATTAATTCGGGGCTCTGATCCGAGCTTCCATTAGCGGCCCGCGGCAGAAGGCACCTCCCAGCGTGATATCATCGATGGTTTTATTTTTTTATTTGCCCTTTCCAAACTGATTTTCCGCTAGGATGCTGTTGAAGGTGATTGCATTTAGAATCTTTTTCTTGAATAAAAATTCATGTTCAGAACGAAGGCGTTATTGGAGAAAAAGTTTCCGAAATTGTTTGATCCGGCTCCGCCATTTCAGAACAAACGCAGTGGAAAAAGTCACGAAATCGAGACTTTCGCGTTTTTGTTAAATACGGTCGGGTATGTAAGCAAGGGCATGATTTGTGCCAAAAATTTGTTCAAATTTATGTATTGAGGCCACTTTTGCATCTCGAGTCCTTTTTGACCTTTGATCGCCTCATGAGGTGGCGTGTAATTATATTTCGGCGGGAAGAAAGTGCCAAATCATATGGCTCAGTGTTTTGATTAATGATGAGCTCATTAGTTACAAACACAAAAATTTAAAAAAAAAGGGCAATTTTATTTCATACATAATATAAATTGTTATTTATAATAAAAATTTTATAATGCATAAAGTATTAAAAAAAATCATAATGTTAATTAATACCGAGGAGTGCTTCTTCTTAAAACAAACAAGATAATGAGGATCATTAGAGCATCGTTTGTTTATTTTGTTTTTAAAAGAAATGAAAAAAGAGTGAAATTTTGGATAAGCACTTAAACCATTTTATGATTGATTGATTTATTTATTTATTAAATACCAACGGTATACAACATACATACTAGACATAAAATAAAGTAAAAATCGGTCAAATGAAGGAACAAAAATTATTTCGTCGGGTATTTTAAAATTTGATATTATAATTTTTAACGTTTAACATTTTCCTATTTCCCATGTAAATTATTATGATTTTACATTTCTTGGTAAGATTTAATCAAATCATAAAAATGTTCATAATAGAACAAACATAAATTCTAATATTTTGTTTGATTACTAAAATTTATTGGGATAGTTTTTAATTTTATCCCTAATTTTTTGGTTTCAGATGGCGGAGGGAATATTTTTTCGTACAATCAATGACGACAGCGACTCAGACAATGATGACGACTCGGTGGTTACGTTGCGACGCATGACCCGCAGCGCCCTGTCAGACGTGTCCTCAAGGATCGCGCTGCCGGTGACGCCGGTCATCAACCTGGCCAGTCTGCCCACACCATCTCCGTCACCTGACGAGCTGGTCATTCAGCGCCCGCGTCGAATTCCAGTCACTTGGAGTCCTGACATAAAGCGCACCCCCATCAAGCTGCCCCCCAGCAGCCCCACAACCAAAGCAAACGGAGTCGTGTTGAGGAGCACCCCGAGGAAGCGGCTGCTGCTGCCCGACGATTCTCCGGAAAAGGCAGAGAGGTCTCCAAGGAAGGTGAGCAGAGTGCTAGGGCGCCTCGACGCTTTGTCCCTCAACCAGCAGGTTAGCGTCTCTGCTGAGACAATTTGCTTTCGAGTGGATGTAGAGTCGTATTGCCTCGGCAATTAACATTTAAAAAAAATTATATTCAATTATCGGTTTTATTTAATTAAACTGATATTTGCGATTTTGTTTTTGATTTGGTTGATCTTCGTTCTTTTATGAACTACTTTCAAGAGGATTATAAAATTGAAAGATTCTGTGTGTTATTTTACCCTTCTTAACTATTTGAGTGCAATTTTTCTTAGCCTTTCATTGAATATTTAAATAAAAATGTGCACTGTGTAATTTTTTACACTAATTTCCTGGAAAATAACGAATTTCTACAGACATTTGGACTTGTATAATATTTCGTTAATAACGAACTGATTCATCATTGTGTAAAAAATGGTATACGTCAATTTTCAGCCAACCACACCACCAAAGAGAAAAGCCCCGGAGCGTCTAGGTTCGCAGATCCCACAAACGGCGCCCCTGTCGTCACTCCTGAAAGGTCTTTCCAAAGAGCAGCTGGTCGAGTTGCTTCTCAAATCAACACAAGCACATCCAGAGATTGAGCAAGATGTGCGAGAAAGTCTGCCTCTTCCTGACCTGAAGCCCGTCGAAGAGCAACTGAACACATTGAAGAGGAACATTTTCAGGTGCCTGCCCACGTCGAGACTGATTCTCAAGTACGACTCCCCTGCGTTCAACAGAGCAAGCACTCATGTCAACGTCTTCAAGGTAGTTGTAATTGAATTTTAATAAAAATTTATAAAGAACACTCAAACAGACACTTTTTAAGTTCTAGAATGGATATTTCCCTTCCAACCTATTTCTGCTGAAAAATTACACATTTTATTCCCTTATCATACTCTAAATTTTCATCATTTTTTCCATCTCATAAAATTAATCTTCTAATAATTCACCCTAATGATTTCAGAAAGCTGTTATTGACTTTGGACGCCAGTTGGTTGAAAGTGAGAATTACGGCTCGGTTATTGAGTATGTGACCATGGCATGGGGCTACGTGAAAGCAACCCCTACATGGGAAAACGCAATCCACAACACTGCCCGCAGAACATGTTTCAAGACCTTAGCTGCCTACTGCATGACCGCAATCAAATCTGGATGTTTCACTCCAAATGAGTACCAACGCATTGCTGAAAAGTAAGATTGATCGTCTATTATTTCCAAGTATTAATAATTAATTTTTATTTGTCAGGCTGGAACTTCTGGTAGGAGACAGTGATGACATCCAAAGCTGCCTCAAGCAGGTGACGGTTATTCGAACAAAGCAGCCTTCTACGCCGACCAAATGAATTTTACCACAAACTGGCCCATCTGCACTCAAAGTCTGAATCAAATTTATTCGGGTGTTCGGTGGTGGGATGTTGCATGTGTAGTTTGTTGTTTATATAAGTTAACCACGGGGAAATTTTATTAGTCCAAACGGAAGTGAGATAGAGCCTTCAATTAAGAGGTTCATTGAGACCTTTTATTTCATCTATGTGGTATTGACCATGTATGAAAAATTTTATTACGAAGGAGTCAAAATTCTGTTGGTTTAAATATAACTTGACGTGCTATGAGCATTGTACAAAAAAAATAGCACATTCTGCTCTTTTTTGGGGGCACAATATAACTTGTCAGCTTTAAAACTTTATCTTTAAAGTGCCTAATCACTATTTAATGTAATATTTAACATTCAAGCGTAGTATATTTAAGTTTGACGGGACGACAGTGTTGAAATAATTATGTAAAAAGGTGTTTATCATATGAGTTTGATGTGAGCTTACATTGGTGCCTTATATTTATCTTGTGCTTGTATTAAAAATAAAAAAGAACTTAGTGAAATTATGAAGAAATCTAGCTACTTTGATTTTAAAATCTAAATTTATTCTTGAATTATACATACCAGAAATTTAAAATTATTCACCTAAATTTATCACTTGGTATCTTTAATTTTTATTTCTAAAAACTAGTGGTAATCTAAAAATGCAAAAATGGCAGTGATTGTGTTATTAGCTTAAGTTGCTTGAATGGCATTCACTTGAAACAGACGGGGCCCACTTCGAAACCAAATGCTTGATTGGCATCTCCGTAATCGACTGGATAGAAATCGATGATGGGCAAATGCGCTAATTTCTTGGTTCGAATCTCAAACACGGTTTTGCTCTTTGACTTTCGTGACTGGAATTAAATTCACAAAAGCAATTATATAGTTTGTTCAAAACAAGAGAAATATTCTCACCTTGCAACCGTCCGTCAAAATCGTTGGCTGTATCGCGTCGTTGCTGAACTCCTGCTCGTTATGGCCCATCAGCTTGATGGCGTTTTCGTAATTGAACGTTTTGAGGGAGTACCAAGCAGCCGAATTGATACAAGTGTAGGTAAAGTTTTGATTTACGTCTTGACTGAGCATTCTTAGAAATTTCATTTGTACAACTCCAACCGTCTCGTAGGTGATCTAACAAATTTAATTCGAAACAATTTTCAAATTTAACTGATTTAACTTTGTATTAAATTCATACCTTAAACCCGCCTCTCAAATTGCTGTACCAATCGGTGACCTCTTTTCTCCACGGGATGTTTGGCATTTTGGAAGAATGTGTGTCAGGGAAAACGCAAGTTTCGCCCCCGCTGGTCAGATTGCAAAAAACGTAGATCGCGTCGAAGGGCATTCCAAGATTCGGGTCGATCCAATACCAACCTTTAATTATAGAATTTTAATTTATTATAAAAAAAATAGATATAAAAAAAATTTAAAAAATAATCACCGTCTTTGAGCTGCGGGTGACCGAAGAACAAGTCCCGACACGTCCTTGCCGGATTGTCTTTTGTCCCTTGAGGTCGCCGAACCCTCTCAAGCTCTTTCCTCATGCCGTAAATCGCATTGTACATGTCGAGCATGCACCCGTCAGGGTCGTTTTCGTCTTTATTCTTTTCACGTTCACCTCCAGTCACCTTATCAATCTTATCATCCTCGTCACTAAATGAAAATTATATCATTTTTTCTTATTTTCCTTAATGAAAATTACTCAAAAATATCTCGTTTGGCTCTGGAGTTGTCTGCGTGGAGGAAAAGCAGTTCTGGAGGCAGCATCGGCTGTTCGCCTGGAATGCCTGGAGGCCCAGGTGGCCCGGCAGGCCCAGTTTCTCCCTATAAATTAATTTGTATTTCAAAACAAAATTTAATCTTCAATTTACTTTTATTCCGGTTGGTCCGTCGGAGCCTTTGGGCCCAGGTGGGCCTTCCATTCCAGGAAGACCCTGAGGTCCGTCACTGCCTTTCATCCCAAGGGGGCCAGGGGGACCCTGAGAAATTAGTTTTTAGTACTAATTCAAAATTCTAAATTGCCATTACTAATTCTCCTTTGTCGCCCAACGGTCCTTGTGGTCCTTTGTCTCCCTTTTCACCTTTTTCCCCTTGATCACCCTTTGGTCCTTGCAATCCCATCTCACCCCTGTGGCCCTTGATTCCTCTTTTTCCGCGGTCACCTTTAGGGCCGCGTGGCCCAAGCTCTCCGTTTTTACCTGGCTGACCAGTTTCGCCTTAATAGCAATCAGTTAATTTTTTTCAAAACAAAGTATATTATGTAAAAAAAACCTGGCTTTCCTGGTGGACCAACGTCTCCAGCAGGTCCAGGTGACCCTCTTGACCCAGGTGGACCTAATTACATTAATATTTTAAATAACTGCAAAATTATATTAAATAATACAAAAAAAATATATATATATATATATCTCTAGCTTCTTTAAAATTTCAATTAAATTCAACCATTTCAAAGGTCTGCAATATTTAAGAAATTTTGACTTTCATTATTATAATAGCCTTAATTTGAAAGGAATGAAATATGATTTCAATGCAGTTTTATATGCAACCTGCTCGACACGCATGCTGAGAAGATTGCATACTTTAGATTTTAAAAGGAGACACAATTTTCACTACGACGAGTACCTTCTGGCCCCTGTGCGCCTGGTGGGCCAATCATTCCACCAATTCCAGCAGCCCCCTGAGGACCTTGATCTCCCTTTTCTCCCGGTAACCTACATACAAAAAGTATACTTCAAAGCATATTTTTTTTATATATAAATTACCCAGTATTCCCTTGCTGCCCAGGTGATCCCTCAGGGCCCGGTTTTCCTTTAAAATATTTCAAAATTTAGACGTTTCTCCTCTCCTGTTTAATCCAATAGACTTACCAGGTGGTCCTGATTCCCCACTTTTTCCTGGTGGACCGGGTTCACCAGAAAGTCCCTGGTCACCCTCTCGGCCGTCTGCACCGTCTTTTCCCCTCTCTCCCTTCAAACCAGGTGGACCAGGCTCTCCTATAGATATAGTATTAAATTGAATTACACGTCTACTTGTATTTTGTAAAAGTAAAATTTAAAAATATTTGGTAATTCAGCAATATTTTATTTTCATTTTTATTATTATTTAATTAACTTGATGGAGCGAGGGTATATTTAATTTTCAATTGACATTTTCTCACCTGCCGGTCCTGGAAATCCGACTGCACCTACGTTTCCTTTGATTCCTTCAGGTCCAGGGAGACCTCTTGTTCCAGGTGCTCCTGGGGGTCCCTGCTTTCCTTCTTCGCCTTTTGGTCCGAGTGGTCCCCTTTCGCCCTTAAAAGATCCAAAATGAATGATTTTATTTTAATTTTAAATCTACTTACGTGTTTGCCGTCAAGTCCTGGCGGACCAGGAGGCCCTGAATTTCCAGGCTCTCCCTTGTGGCCTTTTTGAATAAAAATTTAGTAAAAATCTTAACAATTGTTTAACGAAAGTGGCATACCTTGCAGCCCCTCTGAGCCTGGTGGTCCAGTGATCCCCTCTATACCTTTTGTGCCCCTACTCCCCCTTTCACCTGGTGGCCCCGGTTTCCCAACAGGACCTAAAGTAAAATATTTTTTATTAATATCTTCATATTTATTTCCTTGAAAATTAGATTTATACCCTTTGGTCCAGGGTCACCCACATCTCCTTTGACACCTGATGGGCCTGGTAGACCCTGAAGTCCCGCAGGTCCTGGTGGACCGCTAACTCCAGTTGGTCCATCTTCGCCTTTGGGCCCTTGCCTTAAAAATTAATCAATTAAATTTGTTTAAGAATCAACTTTGTACGGCGAAATAAATTTAATCCTCTCCAACGCAATCTATGCTTTAGACGAAAAATATTTTTCAAATTTTGTAGATTAATAAACCAACCTTCCGATTTCTCCCGGTGGGCCTTTTTCACCTTGAAGTCCCATACTACCCGGCTCTCCTCGCAGCCCCTGTGAGCCAGGTGACCCGGAAGGTCCCTGTAAAGATAAAGACGGAGAATATTTGTTTTTCAGTTAAAAGTTATTTTTTTTACCTGTTCTCCTCGAGCACCCTTGAAACCTTTCTCTCCTGGCGGTCCTAAGTCTCCCTTATCACCGTCCTCGCCAGGTGGGCCGATGGGACCGGGTGGGCCCGGTGGACCCCTTTGACCGGCGAGACCGTCTCTCCCTACAGTTCCAGGCAGCCCTGAATCACCCTGAAATTGTATTTGCCATTTTTTTTTGCCATGATATGAAAATTATTATGTTACTCGGTCTCCTTTCAAACCGGTCTCTCCAGGCGGCCCAGGTGGGCCCTGTCGTCCTTCAGGTCCAGTTGGACCTTCCTTGCCGTTGTCACCTTGCTGCCCCTTGTCGCCAGGTGCACCAGGGGGGCCAAATGGTCCCATCTCACCTTTTAACCCCGGCATGCCCTAGAAAATATCTCTCTTAAAATAAATATCATTTTGTGGCAAAAATCAAATTTCAAAACGCTTAATTTTCATTAAAGTTATAATGTTTTCAACTTACTGGCAGACCAGGCAAACCTCTTTCTCCAGGAAATCCCGGTAGCCCTGTTGAAATAAATTATTAAAATTCAGATTTTTTTTATTATGTCAATGAATAATGTTTAAAAATGTGACTCGGAGGTGCCTTAATTTGGCGAGAGAGCAGTTTTTTTTAATTATTTATTCTGATTTGTAGTAATGAGAAGCTGATAAGATGGCCATCCGGCTAATCTGACTAAAAAAAAAAATGATTTTTCCAGAATAATAAAATTGTCGTCTTCTTTTCAATGTAATAAATTAAATTACCCGGGCTGCCTGATGGGCCAGATTTTCCGATTTGACCAGCAGCTCCTGGTGGGCCTTCCTTTCCTGATTCACCAGGTGCTCCAGGCTCACCTTAAATTTCAACAGCTATTTATTTTCTTTTAAATCTATATTTACTTTAAACACTTACCCGGTTGCCCCGGCTGGCCAGGTTCTCCGTGATCACCGATGGGACCAGGTTCACCTGACAAAATAGGCTTTTAGAACATTCCTTTTTTGCAAGTTTATCTATCCAGTGTTGATAAAAAAATAATAATAATTACCTGTTGGTCCAGGAGGTCCAACTACTCCAGGTGCACCCTGAGGTCCAGGTGGGCCAGGGTCGCCCTTTAAAAATAGATAGAAAAATGTTTTAATTTTTAATTATTTACCAATATTTTATTCTCTTACTGGAGCACCCCTTTCACCGGGAAGACCGGGGCTCCCGTCTTTTCCATTGCTTCCAGTAGCACCCTGAGGCCCTATAAATCCTCTCGGCCCTTCTGGTCCCTTAAAATTTGTAACGGAATTTTTGTTATCATCATAATATAAATAAATTCAATGTATCATAAATTTTTGGCTTCTAAATAATATTAGGCATTTTTTTCCAACAAAAATGCAATAAATTTAAATTATAACCTTTTGCAAAGCCAAATTCTAAGTACTAAGACTAGTTTAGCAAACTAGTCTTTTTTACAAACCTGGGAGCCTCTTTCACCCTGTGGACCTGGCGACCCTGGTTGACCTGTGTCCCCTTTAGGACCTGGAAGGCCGTCATTACCACGTCTCCCTCGAGCACCCCTGAATCCCTGATTTTTTCATCAGTGATGTTCATTTTAATGTTTTTAAAAACTCACTCTTGGTCCCACTTCACCTCGTTCACCAGCTTGACCAGTGTTACCCTGTTCAGAAAAAAATTTTGTTTGTTGTTATTTGATTTTTTTCAATATTTTGAGTTTACAAAGCAAAAGAATTTAAAAGCAGTAAAATTAAATTTTCAAACCCTTTCGCCTTTTTCTCCGACAGAGCCCTGCTTGCCTGCTGTGCCTTTGTCACCCTTTTCGCCTGGTGGACCAGCGTAACCCTAGTTTTAAAAAAAAATTTGGCTTATTAATACTAAAAAAATAAAATTTCAACCTGAAATCCAGGAACTCCAACTTTTCCAATTTCTCCTGGTGGACCAGTTGGCCCAGCTTCTCCTCGCGGACCGTCAAATCCCTAAGAAATTTTTAAATTACACTCAATTCCAGGATAAAAGTAAAACATTTAATAAATTTAATTAATTTCATTCTTACTTTTGGTCCTTCAAGACCTTCGAGCCCCATCAGGCCTGGTGGACCCTGTGGCCCTTTTTCTCCTTTCTGACCGAGATCTCCTTTTTCTCCATCCAACCCTCGTTCGCCCTTGTCACCCTTATCACCTGGGCTGCCTCTCTTACCTTCATCACCCTTGACGCCTCGATTTCCGGGAAAACCAACGGACCCCTTAAAAGAAATTATTTCGGTAAATGATTTAAAAGAAAATAATAATAACTTAAGTGCTTACCTGAGCTCCCTGAAAACCCTGATCACCCTTCATTCCAGGAACACCTGCGTTGCCAGGGTGACCCGGCGCCCCCTCAGCTCCGGGTAGCCCCGGCATCCCTGGTTTTCCTTGCGGACCCGGCATTCCAGGTGGGCCCAACAGCCCCTGCGGCCCGGGCGACCCTATGGAGCCTGGTGGGCCGGTTTGACCTGGTGCACCTGGTTGGCCAGTCGGGCCGGCGTTTCCCTTGGGCCCTGTGGGGCCTTCAGAACCAGGAATTCCTGGTGACCCCGTCAACCCAGGCACGCCCCGAGGACCAGGAAATCCTCTTGGACCCTAAATAAAGTTCACAAATTAATTGAACACAAATTAGCTAAAAAGGTTGTTAACCATTTCTCCGGGTAAACCCTGCAGCCCTGGCGGACCATCTTCACCTTGCATCCCATCATGACCCTTGAATTAATTTTTTATATTTTCATTGAATAAGTATAGGCAACGTAATACTTGTAAGCCTGGTTCACCGGTGTTGCCTGTAGCTCCTCTTTCGCCCTTTTCCCCCGGTAGACCTGAATTAATTTTTAAAAGTTTTTAATCTATCAATTTATTTTAATTCAATAAGATTACCTGGCAGCCCCTGAGAGCCTTGCTCGCCTTTGGCACCTGGTGGCCCCGTCAAGCCCCTTTCACCGTCTCTGCCGGGCCTTCCCCGACGGCCTTCTCGCCCAGGTGGCCCCATTAAACCTCTCAAGCCACGTGGGCCCTAAATCAAAACTCATTATTGACCATTTAAAGTTTTTAATTTTTCAAAAATAAACCGGCTCGCCGTTGTCACCGGGCTCTCCTTTGATTCCTTCAGCACCAGGCGGGCCCACCGGTCCAGGGATTCCGGTTAAACCCATAGGGCCTTCAGACCCTCTCATTGACATCTGATTAAACATTTTCATGAAAAAATTATTTGCCTTTAAATTTAAATTGAACTTACCATATGCTGGGACAGTAAGTGTCTGAATTGCTCCGCCTGATTGTCCGGGCCCTTCGTGTCTCCACCACCTTGAGAGTTGAGCTAAAAGTTTTAAATTTAACTTTTCTTCATTCCTTAATTTAGTTAATACTTACTGGAATCATGAAAATATGGCCAGGTGGACCAGGAAGACCATTTGTTCCCGACAAACCGTCTCTGCCCAAATCACCCTTTGGGCCAGGCAAACCTGAAAACAAGTCATAGATTTAATTTGTTTCGATATGAAAAAAATGATTTTACCTGGAGGTCCTGGTGGCCCCATGTACCCTCTTGGCCCTGGAGGCCCTCTAACTGGATAATACGAGATTCCTGGCGATGAAGGGCCTATTTCAGTTATTATGGGAGCGTCAGTTACCAAATCTTCTTCTCCGTACTGAATAAATTGTAAAAATCAATTAATTGAAGCTTAAAAATAAAATATCCTACAGTTTCGTGTGTTTCATTATTTGACGTTGAATTATTGATGAATTCAAATGTTTCCTCGGTGGTGTTAGGAAATTCAGTAGTAGAGGTTGTGATTGTTGAGGGCGTCGTAAATGGCAGAATTATCCCTGGCTCGGTTGGTTCGGTAAAGCCAGGCACGTTGGTTTCATTTGCCAATCTATCATAAAATCCATTCTCGTCAGTTATTTCATAATCACCGTTTCCATTGATTTCCGAGGAAAAATCTTCATAGCCTGAAAATAATAATATAAAAAATTAAAATATCTGTGCAAATTTTATTCAGGATTTCGTCCACCTTCCAATTCATCTTCATCGTAATAATTAGTTGCCGGTTCTTGCTTTTGAGGTCTTTTGTGAATTTCCGCTTTCTTCTTTTTCTTTATCTTCTCTGAAACGGTTTTATTGATATGAGCAAAAAATATATATTTTTATTTAAAAAATTTCTACTTGTTACAACCACAGTCTCGTTTTTCGTCCCTAAACTTTCCTCGTTTGCGCAGAGAGGTAGATAGTCACAAATATCATAAGCAACGTCTGGTCTTGGTGCCAACATGAGCAGCTGAATATCTCCCTTAATATCAATTTTTTAATTAAACCCAGAGAGCTTCTTTCAGGGACTTAAATTTACTGTAAAATACTCGTCGCTCAATAATTCTTGTCCTATTAGCAAAATTCCAGCTGTGTTGATCTCGGACGGAGTTGGTCTGTTGATTTTCTTGGTGATGCTCACGTTTCCACACTCTGACAAAAGGGTCGCCGAGTCACCTTTGACGCTCAGGGCTAATCGGTGGTATCTGATATAGAAATAATTTTTTTCATTTTAAATTTAATATAATTCATTTAATTTTAATTTATTATTATTTTAGTTTGTGATAAAAATAACTCACTTTCCGTCGTTAACTGTAATGTTGAATTTGACCGTGGCCTTTTTGTTCTCCACGGGTCGGCCACTCGCGTCCCTATAGAACAACTCGACCTGCTTTCCGAGCGTGACCGCGACCTGCTCGTCGCCTTGCCCGCTGTAAATGGTGAAGAGCACCTGCTTCGCGCCCTTGGTCGGTTTCACCGCCATCAGGAGCGAAAAGTCTTGCGGGAAGGACCCATCTGGTGGTCAAAATTTCAAAATTGATTGTGAAGAATGGGTGTTAAAGTGAGAGCAATTATTGACCTTCGAAGAGCTGCGCAACCGAGATGGGCAGCGACGCTTTCTTCTTAAGCGTGTACGCTCGGAGGCCGGCGTCGGCGTCCTTGGGGGTTTTCGACCCTGGCCCGCCCCTGTCGTCGCAAATGTCGGGCACCACCTTCACCCCTTTCGGAAGGTCTTGCAGCTGGGCTGCGGCCAGGAGGTCAACGACTTCATGTTCTAATAAATGCAGAATATCAAAATACAATTAATTGAAATATTTTTTTAAACCATTTCAAATTTTAGCAACTTAAATTAATTAAGCTTCCCTTTATGATTTTGAAACTAACTTTAAAAAAATCGCAAAGATGATGCGATTCACATTCTTTTTGTTCACGATGTGGAAAACAGCGGCCGTGTCTCACAATTTCATTAAAAATTAACCAAGCTTCATTATTGTTTTTCGTTTGTTAAGTGCACATTTGATGTCATAATAGAAGGGATTGGCGCTTGAGTTCAAGGAAGACAATTGTGATTGACACTCTACGTAATTATTATAAAATTACTCCCGCGATCGAAGCATATTACGTCAATTGAGCCGTTATGTCTCCGTCTATATTAGAGGCTGTTGACCAGAAATTATTCAAGAAGTGCAAATACAAACATTTACAATATAATAATCAATAATTATAAAACTCATTTATTTACAATTTAAATGGTACAATATGGAAATAGCGCCCCATCCAGTTTCGCTGTCCTCCCATTTATTTCACTTGATTACAAACTATTTTTTTTCAATTACACTGCAATAAAAAAATATTTTTTTAATAATTTTTCTTTATTTTGATTATTGAGTATTTACGGCGGTCGCTTCAAAGAGGCGAAATTGCAATGAGTTTTATGCTTCACTAATCTTGACGCTGGTATTCTAAATTAGACACTTGATCTTTTTTGCCAGTCGTTATTAAATGAAAGAGCGCGCCTCCTCTATTGCATTACGCGAGACGTGGATTCGTCGACGCCTAGTTAAGTGATCGAGCAGAAGCTGTTCGTTATACACGCATTGTTTGCGTCTCATGATGTCACGCTCCCCGTTTTTTGAATCTGTGAGACGCCTATAAATTATCATTCCACGTCGTCTCATCGCTGCCCTGATTGACAAAATTTGGTCAGTCTGCCATCGATGCGCGGTTGTTGTTTCATTTCAAAGTTTGATCAATTAAAACAACAGATTCCACGATGATAATTTTAAAGCCATAATTGTAGGATCAAACTCTTCTAACAAAGGATTTGGAGGTCATATTTCTCTTTTGCAGATTTAACCAGAGAATTCTAAAATATAAAAATAAAATATTAATTATAATGTATCTTTTTAAGATTTGATGCGTTTGAAAGATTTCTAGACTGTGAAATTGATTGGAGTTTAGTCAAATAAATATTGAACCTTAAATGAGGTAAGATCAATTTGACAAAAATAAGTAAAATCGTTTTAATAATAGAATTTAAGAGGGCTAAAAATTTGAATATTTAGCACAGAAAGGCTCACTGCAGCGAGGGTTTTTTATCTAGGAAGTTTAAGCAAAATTTTTACTAGTGGTGGTCAGTGGTGGTGCAGTTTTGTCCAAAAATTCCTCTCTTTTCAAATAAGTGTTTCCAACAATTCAACATAAACAATGTGATGTAAAAAGTTGGACAAATAAACAACGATATTATTAAAAATTAAAAAAGCAACTATGTAATTGCCCACATTTGCCATCCTTTGAGTATTTAGGATGCAGTCAATCGGGCTTCCTTTCTGTGAAAACCTCTTTTTACTATACCACCATATTATTATACATTCGACATTTACGCGGTGAATAAAAGAGAGTCCGTTAATTAAGGGCTGACGTAACGCGATTTGTGTGATAGCCGGTTCTCTGGGCTGGCCACTGAGATGGATAACATCTGAAAGAATTTTATATTCTTTCGGAAGTGAACTTGAACTTCTGCTTATAAAAAGAGAGATGAATGGGGGCCGCTGCTTTTGCGCCGCCGAGCGAGCGCGATTTGAAGAATCGGCCGAATTGTCTCGAAATGTGCTCTCCACTCAGATGGTGTTGAAATCAAACCGTTTTTGGCCGACCACAAAAAAGGAGCGCGCAGCATCTCATATGAGGAGATGCCATGTGTCACTAAACGAGAGTGAATGTCACTTTTTTTGTGGCCAGGAAGTTTATCAACACTGCTTTGTTGGAAATAATGCGTGCAGCCCTCGCTCGCTGGCTCGCTCACTGACGTGCGTGTTTATATCTCACACGAGGAATTAGAATGCGGCGCCGCTTTTCTATTTCATTTCACAGTTTACTTGTTTCAAATTGGGCTCGCCGGCCGCAAGAGAAGAAAGAGAGATGCACCAGCCTGGTGATTAATTGCTGTTTGCATCAAGATTTTTGACACTCATTCTATGGAAAATTGTGGTCTTTATCAAAAGGTCCTTGATCCTTAATAATATGCATCTCAAAATTATTGAAAAATAAAAAAAAAATATTGTTTTTGTTGTTTTTCTTTCATATTTTTGCATAAATTTTTTTGAATGAAAATATTTTCACATAACAGACCACTAGCAAGATTTAGATTTCTACTAAAACTTTCAAAACTGTTTCAAAATAAAAAAGGACCCGATCACCAAACCGTAGCAGTGAGGCTAACTAGGAATTGATCTTTTAATTTTAAAATGATATAAATGATTCTTCTTCTTGACTATTTTTAATTTTTCTACTATTTATCTGCATATTGCCACTTAAAATAAGAAAATTCTAAAAATGTCTTCAGATATCTCCACAAAAACGTTATAAGTGTAGACTTTTTATCTAATTTATGCAGTTTTATTAATTATTTTGATGAAAAATTTTTCATATATTTCAATTTTCTTCTTATATAATGTGCTCCTAACTCTATTTAAATTAATGAAGTATATCATTCAATTAATGTCTATCCTACCTTCCGCCTTCAAGCCAGACATGCAAATTATCCAGACGAGGATGAAAATGAGTGCGGGTGGTCTCATTTTCACCCCCGAGACGCTTTTGTCCGCCGGAAAGCCGCTTCTGCAAATTGGTACAGTCGATTTCAATGCTGCCGAAGCGTGCCCATGATGATGCTGCAGCCAACAAGTAGGTCCTCACTGGAGCATCTCTCAATTCTGGAGATGCAAAGGGTTAAAAGGAGCACTCAAACGCCTTTTGTTTCACACAAGCGCATGCGTATCATCAAAATTTTTATTCGGACGACGTGCACAATTTACATACTTAAAAACCCAATCATATTATTAATTTTTGTTTCTAATTCTAATTTTAATATAAGCTACTCTCTTTGATTTAATTATTTCTTGAGAAACTGGAACTGCACCAGCACGACCAGATAAGTGATGACGGAGCCAATGATCTGAAAATTGTTATTCAATAAGTGTTCAATTTTTATGTTTATAGTTACTTCTCCTAATAAATCCATGCTGATTTGAATAAAGCCACATGCCTCAAAGGCGACGAGTTGCTTTCGATTCATAATACACTTCATCTATAAATTTAAAAATTAATTTTTGGTACATATTTAAATAAATAATAAGTACAGCAAGAGGTAACGGCTCGTCCTTGAGCTCGCGCAACTCGACACACCGCCTAAATAGCTCCAACTTGGTTTCTTCAATCTGGGGAACAAAATAAAAATCAGGAGCATTTAAGTTTTATTCAAATTACAGGTTTGTTTAAAAATTGGTTTAGGTTCCAGTTGCACAATAATAAAATATACAGAGGTATTTTCAACCATGCTTGTATTTATTACAATTAATAAGCGCTTATTTTTTATTTGTTTAAATCATTACCTTCAGAGAAACTTTTCTGCAAAAGTAGCAAACGAAATACGTGCGGGCGAAAGATGACGTTGCGTAGGAGCACAAATATATTGGATTGAGGCTTTCGTAGCTTCCAAGGCCCAAAAGGGAGCAAACCATGGTAAAAAGGCTACTCAAAAGAGTGATTCGCGCGATGGTTATGCTGACCAAAAAGTCAAGCCCGAAGCGCCGGTTGATTTTCTCCACGATGGCGCACAAGTGGACAAATAAACGCAGCAAAAGGCGATTATTTCTTCCAGTTGAATGAAAACTTTAGATTTTTTTTTAAATAAATAATTCATACTTGCACTTTGTGGAGCAAATCTGATCAAGACACTCGCACACGTATAGGCAGAAAATTGCAAAAAGGGACTCGATGCAGAGGGGCATCATTGAGCACCAGTCAATTCCGAGGTACTCGATCAGCTCGACTAGCGGACTATTGTATTGGAAATATTGAATTATGTCGTAGCCTACGTAAAATGCGTAAGATATGAAGAGCAGGTACGTCGCGATCACAAATTTTGATGTGTGACTATCAGTGTACAGTCTGGAAAAAAATTATAAAATTACAAGAATATTCTTGAAGTGAAGTTGATTACATAAAATATTGATTCACTGGTTTGAAATTGTGACAATAAAATAACTATTCAAAACGATTCAAAATATGTAAAAAAAAAACGGCACACGTCATCGACTTCTCTATTTGCTTTTTAATATTTATTAATTGATTAGGACTTATATTTATCTTATTAACCGTCTTAAAAAAAAAACATTTTCAAGTTTCAAAAATTAAAAGTAATTTGATATTGTGCTGTGCACAAGCAAATGTATATTTTTTTTAAATATTATATTCTTAGTACTTGATTTAATTATTTTTAACCCTCACTAAAATTTGTTTGAAAATTTTTCTTACTTTCCGTTCAGCACCTTGACGAAATTTTTCGTTTCTATCACATCGTTCAGAATATCGGTGGTAAGTCGTCTTTTGGCGAAAGCATTCAGGATGACTGCGACCACCGCCACGAGGAAACTGGCCATGAAGATGAAAATCGGATATATTTCGGTTTTGACAGTGGAGCGCGCGGAGAAGATTTCCAGGATTTTTATGCTCTGCGTGTGGATGCTGCGGACGTTCACATAGACGGAAAACGCAAAGTTGGCCAGGCACATCAGAAGACCGACTTTGACCTCCCCAAATTTGGGACCTGACACCAATCCGGTCGGGAAAATTCCCAAAATCAGCGCCAAGAGCAAAATCCACGAATTTACCCCAACAGAAGGGTGGTAGAAAAGAGAATTTTTCATTTTAAACTTAAATTATATTTTGCAAATTCCAAGCACAGATATTCGTCAAACAAAGTGCTTGGCCTGAATGGCTAAATATTTGCTCCAAAGACAGAGAAGAATTATGGATAATAGCGCGCATTAATAGCCTTAGGCTTGTTTCACTGACGGGCTCATTAATTTTTAAGCATATTTTACGTATTTTCAGGCAACAGAACATTTTCATTTCCTCTCTAGTCAATACAAAACAGAAATAATTTCATTTAAATTATTTACTTTGACAAGCAATTTTCGGCTGAAGTAGCAGACGAAAGACGTCCTTACGAATGAGGAGGTGGCGTAGAATGCGTAAAATAGTAAATTCAGCTCGCCGTACAATCCAATATTCAGGGCCGAGCACACCAGAACCAGAAGGCAGGAAATTAGCAGCAAAGGAGCCATCGACAAACTGATTAAAAAATCGAGACCGAATCTAATTTTTTTTTAATTAGCATTTTATATGTGTACAATTTATTTTAATAAAAGCACCTTTGATTGATTTTCCATCCAATATCGCAAAGTCTTGTAAATCTTCTTGAAAGAGTTGCTCCGTCAACAGTGAAGGGCGCCCTCGTGATTTCGTCAAGCCGCTTGCACACTTTGCAGCACATCAGGGCAAAGAGACCTTCGACGTACAGCGGACCCATTGTGCACCAGTCGGTGCAAAGGAAGGTGATGAACAAGTGCGTGTTTCCCAATTCAAGAAAGTGGACAATGTCGTGTCCAACGTAAAATGCAGTCGATGAAACTAAAACGCAATTGCACGCAGCAAACACAAAGAAATCTGAGAAATTTATGAAAGTACCGAAATTTCTGGACATTACCGTTATTCTTCCGATTTTCATATTCAAACACGCTCATTTCATTTAATTTGTTGAGTATTTCCGCAGTGAGATTTAATTTCCAGTAGGCATTCGCAATCCCAAAAACGATTCCGCAGCACGAACTCACGGTGAACAACACTACTGGGTAAATTTCAACGCCGTTAGAATTGCTCTTTTTCAAAAAGCGCACGATGTCGCTAAATAAAAGATCAGCTTCTATATAAAGAGCAAACAGAAAATTGAACAAAAGAAGAATTAGGCCAAATTTTGATCTTTCGAGATATTCAGAGTCACGGAGTTTGAATGGCATAATGCCCAAATAGAATCCAATGGCTAAGAAGCACCGCTCAAAGAAACTCGACATGGCTATGAAAAGCTCAAGGGATACTAAAATGTGTGTATGCTGCTTTGGGTTTTCAATGTAAGCATCATTTAAATGCACATGGCACTGACAGGTTTGGCAGAGTATAATTTTCTTTGCTGACAATGATTAGTGCCTTAGCTTGTTGGTGGTGCAACATAATAATTACAGTTATGTGTCTACAAAATAGATTAATAGAATGTGAAGTATACACAAGGAAAATATTGTTTATTTGTTTGTTTTTTGGCCTCGGAAAGGCCAAAAATTATTAATATAAAAATTAGTCAATTAAACTACTAAGTTCATTGCTGCCAGACGTCAAACCAAATTTCAGTTTTGCAGCAAACTGACGGTCTTCTCCTTGCTTAATGTATTGAACTATTTGATGGGTCGATAGTTTGTACAAAAGTGGACTCCAAGACGGTTTCACCAAACCTTAACGGTATCTTTAGAATTGTTCTAACAATATTACAATTTAAATTACCTGATCTAAGAGTCTTCAAATACAACTCAAGTAGGGCAACGTTTGTCTCCAAAGGTTCCAAAAAGTTTTCAATAGGAATCATAAGCTAAAAAGAATAAAATTTATTTTTGCAGAATGTTTTTTATTTTTTGTCGTTACCTCTTCTATTGGCAGAGACAGAAAGCGCACAATTTCCACTAGCTCTCCCCAGATAAGGTTTTTAAAGGAGACGCTGAACCTTTGTTGCAAGGGAATCAGGATGAAGTGCGCAAATAATTTATCACCATAAGACTCTGCGCTGTATTGCTGAACCAGTTGAACATACCTTAAAAATAATAATATAGATAACAATTATTTACGATTATAATTTATTTTGAAAAAACTTACAAATCCCAAAAGTCTTTTAATCCAGGAATTTTTTCGTCAAAGTCAAAATCCTGTCCACATAAAGACTGATTTTTCAAGAGGGCTCCAACAATTTCTTTCAGTAAATCGCTGATATTTTTCTCCAGGAAAATGCAATTTTCTAAATTTGAATAAAATTAATAAAGCACAAAATTATTTAAGCCAATAACTTGCCAGCTAAAAATACGCAGGCTAAGCGGCAGAGCCTAGCAGTCGGAGACAGCATTTTGTTAAGGACCTGCGGCTCCAGAGTCTCTAAAATGAAGATCCATTGCAAACTTCGAAACACCTCTGATAAATCTGCAGGAGGATGCTCCTCAGCGGATGTCTTGTTTTCAACTTTCTTCTCCTCCTGCACATGTCCCACAACCTTCACCAATGGCAAGAAAGGCCAATCAACAGGCAACAAAGAATCATTTTCAGCAGGTAAGCTAATGGTGTTTTTGCTACTGATTGGTGTTCCGAAGTTGAGTTTGAAAGCTACCAAGAAAGCATCCCTAATCATAGGCAGCCTACAGAAAAAAAATTAAAAATATTATTTAAACAGCTAAAATTGTTAAAATCTTACTCATTAATGGCAATTTCCAATAAAGGACTTTTTGTATTGTTATCCTGCAAATTCAGTTTCTGCATCAGACTTAAGAATGTCTCTTCTTGACTAAAATTAACATTTTTTTTTTAAGAATGTTATATATGTGCACAAAAAATTTAATATTTACTTGTTGTAGAATATCCAGGTATTGAATAATTGAGTTATCAGAGATCGGTCTTCTATTCTAATACAGGATATCAAATTCATGGCAGCGCGATGGCACTGCCACTGATGATCCGAGTCTAGATTTTCACTTTTCGTAGCAATGTTGAGCAGATCTGCTGATAGGTGAATTTCAGTCCTCGAAAACCAGTGGTCAAAGCCGGGACATCCATTTATGGCTATTTTATTAATGTAACTTTGCACTCCTTTGCTCTTCAAGAGGGCATCAAAAATCGCCTAAAATTAAATTCCAATGAAGTTAAAAATTGATATTAATAACAGCAACTTTACCTGCTTGTACATTGGAAATTTATCTACTGTAAAATTCAGAAACGCAATGATCGATTGCACTGCAAAAGAAGGAGAGCCAGGCTGAAGGATTGAGGTAATTCTCTGTCCGTAAGTGACAGAACCTGTTGACGGAAGTCCCTTGGGATCCCGTTTACGTCCAGATGTGGATTCAGAATCCAGAAGGCTTGAATGTTCCCTAGAAAAATTCATTTAAAAAACTTGTTAGTGTTTCTTTTCTTTTTCACTTACAACATAGAGTTTGTCCACGACTCAAAAGTTTTTGAGGAAATGAAGGGAATTACTGAGGAGTTTGTGACATTCTGAACCAAGCTCATCCATGACATTGTGTCGACACCATCCTGGTATAAAAAAAAGTTTTTTTTATGACTTGTTTCTATTTTAAATTACTTATATTATTAATTTTATTTACCCAGTATTGCAAAACGAGGAAAAGCTGCTTTGACACACTTAAGGCTGCTCCGACTAGCTTGCAGTCTGAAAACTAAAAAGCGACTTCAATAAAAAAAGGAAAAAATGTATCGTTAAAAAAATTTACATTCATTGGAAGGTTCTCTGCTGCCTGTGTGATCCAAGATGCTGTCGTTTTAACGATTGGAGGCCCCACTTGGATCAAAAGTTCTCTTGGTAATTTATCATGATGCATCCTGTTCACATTTAGTGCTGCACTCAACAGAGTTAGAATGGCAGTGGCATGTTCTTGGTAAAACGAGCCCTCCGTTCGCAAGTTCGTGTTTGTCAAGTGGAAAGACAAAAGTTGCCCATAGACCGGCGAAAATGAGCTGAAGCCAAAAATTAAATAAATTGTTGGTAACTAATAAAATAACCAACCTGAATTCATTGATTCCCAAGTCATAGGCAAGAAAGGTTTGCCAAAGATAAAACGACTCGATGAGAATGGCAGGTCCATCCGGAATTCCCGTCTCACCAGGCTCAGAGGCCAGATAAGCCATGATAGGTGTCATGATGTTGAACTTATTGATGAAATCCAAAGACATTGCTTTGCTTTGCGCTGAAATAATTCTAATCAGTCGAACTGCTCTTGCCAAGGGGACACCTCGGACAGACTCCATATCTGCTGGTTTCTTTGTAGTCGACTCTGGTGGATGGATAAGTTTTAAAAATAATTTTGAATAAAGTTAGAAATATCATACCCCAATTAAGTGGCAAAAACTGGGAAATTATTGTTTGCATCAGACCAGGACACCTTCCGATGGCTAAAGCAGATTCTCTCGAGTGCCTTGCGATTCTGATCAGAATTTCAATGAGGGAAAGAGTCGTCTTTGGACCAGGCTTAATGATCTCCAGCAGATATCTTAAAAGATTAACTAATAATTTTAATTTACATTTTCAAAAGTTTTTTTTACCTTATTCTAGGGACAAGATCAGTCCTCAAGGCGCCTTTGATTACGTCGAGCTGCAGCAATTCGTGGTCCCGCAGCTCTCCCTCCTCAATCGAAGTTTGCCCCTTTTCCTTTTCCTCCTCAGGCTCAGGAGGACAAGCCAAGATAGGCTGTTGAAGGCCAAAAGTCGTTCCCAGCATCAAACTAAGGCAGACTTCATCAGGTTCAGAGGCGAGCAGATAATTCAAGGCTTCGGCAGCGGCTTGGACGACCATCATCACAGCGTCGTCTAAGGAGAATCTCAAAACTGCAAATAATCCTGCACTAACGAGCTGTGGGATGATTGACTCTTCGAGGCAAAGGTCAAACCTTCCCTCCTTTGCCTAAATTCATAAGATTGAAGTATTTTAAAAAATGTATACATATAAAATAAAAATGATAATAACCAAACGCAAAATATTCGCTATCGTGGACACACCAATGGCCCTCTGCTGCATAACTGAACTCCTGGAGAAGAGCAGAAGTTCTTCGAGAGTGTAGCCAGCTCTCTCAGGTTCCTCTCCATGATGGTGGAGAGCTTTTGTCTCAGGCACATCAGCGTTGACAGGCATCAAATTGCCTAAAAATTTCAAGGAAACTTAGCGCAAAGAATACAATTTTTCACATCAACAACCTTCAAAATCAAAGCGAGCTGGGTGAGGGTCACCCGGAGCCAATGGCTTTGGAGCTGGCAATTTTTTCATCCACTTCAACTTTTCATTTTCAACTACATCCATGTGCAACCACTTCTTAGCCTCCTCAATCGGAATTGGTAAATCTTCTTCAGGAATAGGCTGGTCTTCCAACATTTTTTCCTCCTAAAAATAAATTTTTGTAAATTAATGTTGATTATAAAATAAAACAATTTTACCTTAGGTTGGGCTTGTGTGGGTTTCAAAGGCTCTTCACCGATGCCAGCACCTTTGCCTTTCTGTCTGTTTGTAAAAAACTTGAGAGTTTCCGGATTTAAAGACGCCAGAAGGCGTTTCCTTTCCTCTAATATCTGCTCTTCACTCAACTGAGAGAGTTTTTGCAAACTTTCTTCGTGAATTTTCTGAGCCTCTGATGGTCCAAACACATTTTTTATTGCTGTTTGAGCTCCCAAGTTGATTTCCTCACTAGCAGATAATGACACTCCCTGCTGAGATTTTCGCTGATGCATTTTTGCAAAAATACTCAATTTTTTAGTGTCACCTTGGGAGAGCTGTTGGACCGAACACCGAACAAATGAATTTTGTAAAATATTAATAATTTATTTTTATAATATATAATTTATACCAATTTGTCTCTTTTGAAAACTACAGGGAAACCACTCGTTGTTGCCACCGGAGGTCTGAAAGGCTTTGCTGAAGGAGTCCTTTCAACTATATCGCTTAGCATGATTCCAGGAACTCGAGCACTGTCTGTGTCAAAAATTAAAAGTTATTTTTTTAAGCTTTAATCGCTTTAATATTAAATTATTTTAGTTTAGGAAAATTGCCGTACTTAATATGACCTCTGGATCATTAAAAATACAATCAGTTCCACACTCCTGTGCCTTTTGTTTCTTCAAATCACCTGCAAAAGTGCAAAATGTTACATATAATTTTGAGGAGACAAAAGTGGACATTTTCGTCCTTTAAAAAATTTGCATCTCACCTTCCAAGGCAGCTTTGTCTGTCTCCTCTACCTTTCTTTTGACGTTTTTCAAAAACTCTGCATTTTGCCTAATAAGATCTTCATCGGTTTCACCCACTTTCGGACGAAAACTCATTTTCAAAATGATCGAAAACTGAAAAAAGCCGTCACTAAAAGCAGAATTATTGAAGTCAGGCTTGTTGTTGTTGATGTTTTTAAACTTTCATTCAATCTACAACCAATCGCAGCGCTGCGGTGACTGCCATGAGTATTTTTCGACCAATGAAAACGCTCCGTTTCTCCAATCTTCTACCACATGGGTTTGTTTACGTTTGCTGAGATCGCTGATTTATTATTAAATATTGTATTTTTTGCTGTTCAAAAATGAAAAATAAGGGCCAAGGAAAGGTTTTTCGGCCTAAGAAGGCTATCAATAAGAAGAACAAAGTTGAATTGGTATTCGATCACGAAAAGAGAAGGTTTGCTTTCCAATTTTAATCGAAAAAATATGATATAATTATTTTAACTTGAAAATTTCAGGGATTTTCTTAGTGGCTTCCACAAACGAAAAATGGCACGCAAGAAAAGGGCGCAGGAAGAACTGGAGGCCGAGATGAAGGCAGAAAAGAAGAGAATCAAGGACGAGGTATGTTTTTATAACTTATACATAATTGCAGAGATTAATAAAAAAAATTCTTAACTTTAGGCTAAAAATCTGCACAACACCATGGTTGTTTCCTACAGGCCCATTCCTGAAGTTGAGGAGCTTTTGGGAAAAGAGGAGACTTATGATCTTGAGCAACACTCTGTTAGTATTAAGGAGCTTTCCACGGCCAGTATGGCAGAGGACAATTTTTGGATTGGAGAAAATCGAGTAAGCTGAAGAATTTTACAATTCGTTTTATGCCTTATAATTCCTTTGTCCCTAAGACGAAATATGAGGAAGACGACGGTCAAGGGGAAGGATCTTCAGAAAAGCCCCGAAATAAGGACATCAAGAGTGGCAAGGATATTAAAAAGGCAGTGAAAAAGATGGCTACAAAGCAGATGCAGAAAAGCAAGGCATTCCAGAAAAAAGGAAAGCTTGAGCAGACGAAGCAAAAGAAAAAGGCAAGTGTTGTTCGCAAGCTGAAGGCAAGGAAGAATCTTCAGGCTAAGCAGAGAGGCAACCGTCATGGAGGCAGAAGCAAATGAATGAATGAATAAACAATTATTTTCTCTTTAAAAGAGTGGCATTTATTTTTTCATTTGTCTTATCTAATATATTGGCATTAATCTATTTTCTTTTGTACTGAAAAATACTTTTTGAAAGTATGAAAATGCAGGAGAGGTTCAAACATTTCAAGTTATTTTTTCGATGATCTGCTCCGAGTTACTCTTCCAGTCGGGGTGATTCCCTGCATCAAACAAAGAATTCTAATGAGAAAAATTTTTCGCAATTTAAACTTTAAAAATTAATCGAAAACACTTGAAATCATTTTAAATCTTAATAAAAAGGGTTCGCTTTCTTGAGTTCAAGAAATAATTTAAAACTAATTTTTAAGACTGAAGTTAAATTTAAAATAACCTCTGGCTCTTCTTTTTTGATGAGAATAGCTTCTATTTGAGGTGCTTCCAGAACAGGTTCTTGTTTAACAACTTTTTTTAGCTTTTTTATCTTCTTCAAATTTTCCTCAATGTCTCCTTCCACAGGCTCAGTTTTGATGTTGGCAAAATATTTGGAGGTCGTCGCTTCCCCGATCTTCTTCACTTTAGGCTTTGCCTCGGAGTTCTGAGATTCACCCTTTTTCTTAACTGGAGACTTTTTCACTTCTCTGCAATAAATTTAAAATAAATCACCACTAAATTTAATTATTTAAGGATTTACTTGAAGGCTGCTGGACAAGTGTCTTTGTTGAGGCATTCGCCACATCGAGGATTGACTGGCCTGCAAATTGTTTGTCCGAATCCAACAAGGAGGTGATTCACTTCATCCCACAGCTCCTGAGGTAACCAGTCTTCAAGCTGCTTCCTTGTGTCCTCTGGATTTTTGCTTTTCACCCAACCCAGGCGATTTGAGATTCGATGGACATGTGTGTCAACTCCTAAATTAAGAAAATGTTTATTTAATTTTTTCTTGAGAAAATTCAATTATATACCAATGCCAGTGACAATTCCCCATCCAATATTCATACACAGATGAGCCATTTTTGGGCCAACTCCAGGCAGTGAGCACAAATCCTTCACTGTATTCGGAATGTCTCCGTTGTACTTTTCGGCAAGGACAGCTGTCGTTGCTTTGATGTGCCGGACTTTTGTCTTCATTAAAAATACATAATTAAAAAATATAATTAACTATAGAAGACAACAAATAACAAACCTTCCAGAAGCTGACAGGGTAAATCAATTCCCCCAGGAGGGTGTCATGCGTGGCTAAAATGCTCTCAATGGTGCAGCCGTGGGCGCGCAGTTTAGTCATTGCGGCGTGAGTGACCTGGTCCTTGGTTTGACTGGACAACATCAACGACAGCAAAATTTGATACCTTTGAATCTAAAAAAAAAAAATTAAATATGTTAAAAGTTTTCTAAAATTTTATGTTATGTAATCAACCTCTGCAGGTTGCTCTTCATCCTGGCACTGGTCGCAACCCATGCTATCCACTGGTGCGACCTCGAGTTTTCGCATTTCCCTGATGTTTGTCAGCGTCTTCATCCATTCTTTTGGCATAAATTTTGGAGGCATTTTGTTAAAATTTTAACTCATGATATAAGTGATATGCTGAAAGCTGACACAATCTTGTTGTGCTGAAACCGAAACGTTTTAAGGTTTTTGTGGAAATTTTGGTAGAAATTTGTTGGTAGAAATATTTTCCCTCCGACAGTGGAGTAGGGTGTTAGCAGAGGAGCAAATTTTAATTGTTGATACCTAAACTATTCAACCTATTTAATACGAATTAAAGAACGATTTCAAATTTTCTTTGTGTCTTTATATATATAATTTTATGGGAATTTATAATATACTTGTGAAAAGTGTTACAAGCCGTAAAAATATAAAAGTAATGCACTTGACGTGCAAATTCTTGCAAATACACCCCTCAGAGACACGCCTTCTTCTTTTTGCAGTGTTGTCGTTTGTGCTGCCAGCTGGGACAAGTGAGTTTGTTGTCAGGCAGTTTGCAAAATCGCAAATCGTGTTCCCTTGTCGTCGTCTTACTCTTTCAAATAAGACGCACGTTGTTTTGTGCGCAATTTGCAAATCTTCGGATAAGGTGAGCCTTTCAGTTTTCATTCATCGGTGAGCTTGTGATATAAAACATATTTATTGTGATAAGAAATCCATACACTTCTCTTGACTAAAATCCAAACTCTTGCAGGCTCCAGCAAAATGGGTCGCATTTTCCTGGCCCACATCGGTGGCTCGAGGCTTTTCTCCTGCGCCTCGTGCGACACCATTCTGACAAACAGGTCGGAGCTAATAAGCACCAGGTTCACTGGAGCTACAGGAAGGGCCTTCCTCTTCAACAAGGTCGTCAACCTCAACTACAGGTTTGTTTAATTTGGAAATCCCAAAAGCTTTTCATTCAGTATTCATAATAAATTTCGACTTTTGAAAACAATTACACCAAAATTATACATAACATTTTAATATTTTTCCGATTTTTCCAGTGAGGTTCAAGACCGAGTGATGCTGACAGGTCGTCACATGGTTCGAGATGTGTTCTGCAAAAACTGTGACACCAAAGTTGGATGGATCTACGAATTCGCCACTGAGGAAAATCAGCGCTATAAAGAAGGTAGGGTCATCCTCGAAAGGGCGCTCGTCACAGAGACGGACGGCATTGATGAGCACATGGGCCGGGACGACTGACACGATCACTCGCCAAGAGGCTCAAGTGCATCATCCCTTTGAGACTGACGAATCTCAAGTGCACGAATTCATTTCAACCGCGCCCCATCTCAAAATCCATGTTTTGGCCGGACTAGATTTGAGTGAAATGATTACAAGAGAGTGAAATTCTGATAATATGCTCGATCATAAGCGTTATTTGGAAACATGGATGCATAAATTAAGTTCTATTCAAACCTTCTTTGATGATCTAAATTAATTATCCAGATTTGACTGTTGCATCCATCAAGTTTGCTTTTAATTTAGAGCATTCTAGTTTAAAGCTTCCTTCCATACCTATTTATAATTTCTCAATATGGTCCGAGGTTAAAGTTTCTTTTTATTTAATCATAAAGATTTGAATCAAATCAATATAATTTATTTATATATCTAGAGTTTTTGGGAAATATCAACCCATAATTAAGTGTGTCGATAGGCTAGTGATACTAAATATTGTAAATTTCAATAAGTGTTAATCAAAGTTGTGGGTTTATCGGAATACATTGAAACGTCCAACTTTCTTTTGATAATCATTGCACATGTAGTGAGAATATTTCAATAAACCATGCGTTGCACACGATTTTCTTAAACTTTTTTCTTTAAAAATAATTTTAATTTCAATCACAGTGTGATTGAGTTGCAAGTTTTGGATTCCCATTTCCAAATTACCCTCTGCGGAAGTTCAGCAAACGCTGATATGAGAATGTCCACTTTCTGCCTTAGAATTTTTTTCCTTTAAGTATGGAGTGTGTGGAGCCAAATTCAATTTAAAAGAAAATTCATAAAAAAAATCTTAGTTTAATACAAAATAAATAAAATACCCTAATGAATTGAGAATATTTGTGATTGGCAAAAGGGATGAGACACTTGTTATAAAACATGGAAACGATTTTGAGGTCAATTTTTTGGTCTAATAGTGTCTTGACTTCAGGCATTTTGGCCGCCAGTGGAAAATTGAGCAAAAAGGAATCCCACTTGGACCAGAGACGGCCCACAGTGGATTATTCCGAAGACATCGAACGACTCGAAAAAGTCTTTAATTTATTCCTTTGTGTTGATTTGCGTGTAGTGTGAAGCGATGCTGTTAGCACCGTCAAATCATTCAATAGAAGTGATAAAATCGCGGGAGATTTTACGAATTGCGTGTTTCTTTTGAGCACTGTGTGATGGTGTAATTATCAACTAATTCTATTTCTTTTGCCACGCAGAGTTTATGGGTACGCCATAGCAATGAGTTTTGTCAACAATGGATAGATTAACCGTTTATGATAAGAGAAATTGATAAACTCACGCCTAGAACGCTCTCTGCATTTGCATTATTTTTTTCCAGTGGCAAACACAAAACTTGAAGATACTTAGGAAGATAAAAAATATTTGTATATAGCATCAGATCAAAAATTTTCTTTTACTGAATCAATCAAAAGTTGATGTTGTTGGACTTGGAAAATAGCAAACATAATTTAGGGATTTCGTATAAAAACCTGGAAATTTATTTAACGATGGTTAAACATTTACAATTATTCAGCCTTCGCTTTCCCTTTCTTGTCTTTTTTTGAAGACATTGAAGTTCCAGCTTTACTTGTTGAGCTTCTCTTCTTTCGGCAGCAACACCATTTGATAAGATAATAATCAAAGAGTGCAACGACCAAGAGTACACCAATAATCGAGCCATACACGTCGATCAGGTGCACTTGACACCAAGACATGTTGGTCGCGGCCGTCCTGAGGTGCGGCGCGCCGTCATGTCGAAGGACGTACTCTGTCCAAAAGACGGCCCTTTCAAGCGGCGTCTCTGGTTGATCGCGAACAACCTTGCTAAGCTCTTTGGCTTTTTTGCTGAAGCTAAAAATTATTTGAAAATATTTTAATTTTGAAGTTGCAGTTGAAAAATTGAAATTTTCAGCTAAATAATTTGATTATGAACTTACGAAGGGAATCCTGTGACTGTTTTAATCGCGGCTAGAACGGACTGCTTGTCCAAGGTTTGGAAATCCAAGCCTACGGCATATCCAAGGCGCGACGACTTCGCTATGTTAAGTTTCTGGTCGCCGAAAAACGGAATTCCCACCAGCGGCACTCCGTGGTACGTCGCTTCTTGCGTGCTCAGCAATCCACCGTGTGTTATGAACGCTTTCAAGTTTGGATGAGCTATAAAAAAAATGTAATTTAAAAGATTTTAAATATTTTATTTAAAAACGGAGCACCTAAAATTGCTTGCTGGGGAAGCCACTTTCCGATTTTGACGTTGCTGGGTTTTCCAGGCATATTTTCCGTTTCCCACTTGAATATGATTCGTTGCGGCAACTCTTTGAACGCGTCCAAAATAACTTGCAATTTTTCCTTGGGAAATTCTGAGCCTTGGATTACAGAGCCCATGGAAAAGTAAATCACACCGTCTTTGGCCCCGTCCATGTATTCTTGCAAATCCTGCAAATATTACCAATTTTATTTCAATGAATTTGTTTATTTTTCTTTTTACTTTTGGAAGCGGTTCCTTATTTTGCTTGATGTGCATGCCGCCAGCGTCAACGCAACCAGGCACCATTGGTCTTGGACTATTCAGAGAAAAGTGATTGTTGTAAATGACCAGACTCAAACTTCGCTCCATTTCCTCTATAGACGGAATGTTGGGTCCAAAAAACTGTTTGGCCGATTCGTGCATGGAAGGTTTCAAGTAATACTTTGCCAGAAATCTAAAATATAATGAATTTTTAAAAAGGAAAAATATTTCTTTATTATGTAATCGCACTTAATTAGACCCGTCATCACCGTGTTGAGCAGTCTTTCGGGGAATGTCATTTTCGAAGTTAGAGGCAAAAACAAACTGGGGACGTAAGAGGGTGGCTCGGGGTTGGCCATGTCCATGCCCATTCCCAACGATCCAGCAGGACTGATTCCAATCATGGGCGCGTTGTTGAATTGACCAAACGGCAAGAAGCATTGGTTGAAAAATGTTGAAATAATCACCAGGTCAAATTCTTCATTCAAAAGAGGTTTTACCTTGAATTTTTAAAGCCAAAAAAATAATTATTTAAAAGGGTCGCAAAGAAATTTTATTGTTATACTTGCGGGGAACTTAAAACACTAGGGCACAATTGAAGAAACATGCTAAGCATGGATCCTAATTGATTTAGCATGCCCTCTGACACGTGCTTGAAAGGGCTGAAGTTAGCAGAGAACTTCTCCATAACATCAACGGATATTTCTCTGTAATTGGCCGACGACTTCTTTGTGGGAAAAGAGGTTAAAATGGTTAGATTGTGGCCTCTGTTGGCCAGCTCTAGGGTCAGGGCGCTGAAGAAGTTGTTGTGACTTTTTCCTGACACGCCGAAAAGTCCCAAAATGCGCGCACCTTGCGCCGCCGAAACGGCGAACATAAGAAAACAGGCCAACGAAATGACCCGCATGTTGAGAGAGCTCACAAAATACTAGGAGAAAATAAGAGTGATGTCCGCCTCTCACGGTAACCTTGACCATGATAAGCTGAACGCCGTCTCATCAAGTCATCATAAGTAATCATCTTGGCTCCATCTATAGAAGGCGCGAGATAATCCTCAATCACACGCAGGTGCTTTTTTTCATAAAAGATTAAAAAAAAGCTTTAATGGTTATTCTAAAAGGTGGCAGAAAAAATAATATTAATAATAATAAAAGCGGAGTTTATTACATTTTAAATTGAATTACGTGAAAACGAATGAAAAATTATTTTGTAGAAAGATTATTTTTTAAATATTTTTCTCCTATCATTTTTCAGAACTGCTATTTTTATCCATAACATTTTTTTAACTCTGCTTAATTTATTTACTCAGCCTTGTTTCCCCCCTTTCTCAAAGGGTTCAAAGTTCCAGCTTTTGAGTTCTTCTTTCGGCAGCAACACCATTTGATAAGATAATATTAAATATCAAAGAGAGCAACGACCAATAGGACACCAAAAATAAAGCCATATACGTCTACCAGATGCACCCATGACGTGTCGGCCGCGGCTGTCCTGAGGTGCGGTGCGCTTTTTCATGCCGAAGGATGTAAAAGTTTAAAAAGCGGCCCTCTCAAGTGGCATTTTAGGCTGGTCGTTCAGCTTCTTTAGCAAAATTAGCTCAACAAAATAAAAGATATACTTCTCGCAGGGAAAGACATCTTGATGTTTTTTTTACACATTAAAATAAGCAAAACGTTGGATGCTATTATTTAATTTTTAATGACGAAGAACTGTAATTTTTGATTGAAGAATTTGACACTCGAGGAGATGATCATGGAAATGAAGAAAGTCGGGCTTGTCCTCGTTGTATTAAATTATTTTTGAATAAAAAAATTATTTGTTTTTATTCAGAAAACAATTTTTTACTTAAGAGGTCAAGCCAGATTTTCTTCATTTCCAACAGTTATTTTCTTTATTAATTTTTTTAAAATTCTATAATTAAAAAATAATTTATTTCTGAAATAAAATAATTACTGTACTTTCTGTTATTTTTAAATTCATATTTTATTAAATGAGTTTAGAACAATTTTTTTAAAGCTTCTTATCTTTCTTTTCATTTGATTTTCTTGTAATAATAAAATAAACGATCATTATCTTCATTGTAAAGAGGAGTAAAATAACAGATGCTATTAGAAACGCTATCACGTCAAGGCAATGCCGCTGTACAAAGTTGAGCTCGAGACTGGCAGGACGTAAGTGTTTAGCACCCTTGTGACGGGCGACGTATTCGATCCAAAAGACCGCCGTTTCCAGTGGTGTACTCATCGTGTCTTGGGCAATTTCCGATTGCTTCTGTGCCTTTCGTTTGAATCTACACAAAATTATTGTTTAAATCGATTTGATTACAAATAAATTCCTTACTTTGGGTCGTCGAGAACTTTCCGAATTGCTGTTTCGAAGCGCTCGCGTGAAAATTCTAGGAAATTAATTGTAACTCCAATTTCTGATTTGGCCGCGACTTCTCCGTTTTTGTGTTGATCAATGTAGAAAGGAATTATTACCAAAGGCACACCGTGGTAAGCGGCTTCTTGAATACTCAGCCGACCACCGTGAGTTATAAAGAGGCGGCAATTTTTATGTCCTGGATGTATAAAAAAATTAATAAAATTAATTGTTATTAAATCTTAATAGCACCAATCACGTCCTGTTGCGAGAGCCATTTGTTAATCATCACATTAACTGGTTTTCCGGGCATGTCGTCATTTTCAAATTTCCACAAAACTTTTAATTTTAAATTATCGAAAGTTTTTAAAATGTCATTCATCACGTGTTTAGGTAAGAGGCTGCTTTTAATATTGGTACCTAGACTAAAGTAGACAAAACCATCTTTCGCGCCGTCTAAGAATTCCTTCACTTCCTAAAAATGTTAAATTTTATTAAATTTATAAATTTATGCATAAATGATTTATATATCAAAAATGCAGGAGAGAAAATAACCCTTTGCAACTTATTGCTGTCATTTGGTCTGCACTGAATGCAACCGACTTCTTTGTAGTTCGGAGGAAGCGATCTGGATAGGTCCAAGCCTGGCGGCCCCGAGTTAATTAAAAAGAGGTCGTACAAGTTCTTCGCGTCTTGAATTTTTCCAGCAGCTTCTCCGAAAACTTTGTCAGCGAGGGCTTGCTGCCTTAATAAGTACTGTTGGTAAATATACTTTTCGTAATACAAGGTGACGAAGTTCTGCATTCGTTCCAAGAAGTTCATGGGTGAACTATTCGTTTAATTTTAACGTTCATTATGATTTAATTTATTACAATTCTTTAATTATTTTTTTACCTGAACGACATCAAGGGATGCGTAAATACGGCGGGCGAGTTTTCCACTCCTAACAAGTCCCAATGCCAGAAACCGTCAGCAAATGCGTTCAAAATAACGATAGGCGCTTTGAATTTTGGCAGAATTGCGGCGAATTGCTCGCTGAAGTAATATTCAAATATGATCAGGTCATATTGTTCTTTGTTTTCAATTAAAAGTCGTTTTATTGCGTCCGATTTCATTTGCAGCTCACTTATTTCTGCGCCGCGCTGCCATATCATCTGTGTCTGCTTCCGAATGCCGAGTTTTGCCATTTTAAAAGTAACCTCGTCAGTAAAGCGTCCACCCAAATGATGGTAGCTAAAACGAAATACATTAATCACACAAATTGAAACTTTTAGTTAAAAATAAGAATTTCTTGGGTCACAAAAAATTTATGAAGGTAGATTTTTTATTTTTGTTACTATAGCAAGTTTCATTTCAAAGCAGAAATTTTGACTGAAAACGTTGTCTTAATATTTTATGTTTTTTGGCAGACAAATATATGATTGTTACTTGTACACATTCAAAAAGAGATTTTTAATTTTAGGCTTCCCAAAATAAATTTAATGGATTTTACTTACTCCTAAAGGTATAGAATAATATAAATATGGTTAAAAAAATGCGTGCGTCAGAATTATTTGATAAAAAATATGTGAGAAATTCAGTTGAACTTCTTCGTTATATTATGGGGAAAAAAGAGGCATCTTTTAAAATTGGCTTAAATTAGTAAAAGTAAAAGAAAAAATGTTTAAAGAAAATCAGACATAAAAAAAGGCAAATTGCTTAATAAAGTTGATTTAATTTTAGAAGTTTTAGCAAAAATTTGTATTATTTAAATTTTAATTTATCTTCAATTAAAAAAATATATCACGGATTTCTTATTTTTTTATTTACTTTTATATAAAATAAATTTGCTAAAATTTTATTTTTTAATGAATAAACATAAATATTTTACCTAATATTAGTCGCGTTTTCACCAAAGTACGCTGTAAGTGCAGTGACCTCGTGGCCTTTCTCAGCCAAAGCCTCCAGAAGACACCTGTTCCAAATTCCGTGGCTTGGCGACGGCATCGGGGTAATTGCAAGAATTTTGAAACACGCAGAACTTCCCATAAAAAACCCCAGGATTAACGTCACAGGAAAAAACGTGGGGATGCGCATGTTGCAACGAGCTTTAGTCCTCGCAGAGGTTAAGGAAATACTGCTGGAAGTTTTCCTTTTCTCTCACAGTGGAAAGCAGACCAAATCCTCACGTGACCTTCCAGCTTTATTCATGTTTATTTCTTTACTACAGTATTTTTTTTTCACTATCCCTTCATTTCTTGCCTTCAAGCGACAAAACAGATCGAGTCGCTGTTGATTTTAATTTACTACTCAATAAGCTGGAAAATTAAGAAGAGAGAGAAATTTTGTTTTTATATTGTTTTAGTTAATATTTCCTAAAGTTATTATAATTTTTTACGCAAATTTCTTTTTGTCTATTTTTCCTTTTCATTAATTTTTCTAGTTTCTGTAGTTAAAAAAATTTACAATCTTCTCGATAAAAATTGAAATTAATATCTCGGCCGCAAGTAATAATGCAGCGAAATAATGCGTTGCAGTTTGATAATATCCAGTTGAGGTGTTGGTTTATTTTTTTTCTCGTTTTTTGACAAAATTCATTGACACATGACACATTATAAACAAGTTTAAATTTTTTTATACATAATTTTATTAGAAAAGAAATACAAATTTTCTACAAAGTTTTCTGATCAAACATTTTCTGATTTAATTATTATTTTTTTTTTTAATATCTTAATTCTTCTTTAATTTACGTTTATCCTTCAAAAAAATCTTTTTAACAATCTTTTTGATCAAAAGTAAAATTAATAGCACAGGCGCAAGTAAAAACGCGATGACATCAATTGAATGCAGTTGGATCCAGTTGAGGTGTTGGCCGGCGGGTCGAAGGTGTTTGGCCCCTTTGTGGCGAATTACGTATTCGACCCAAAAGATTGCTTCCTCCAACGGCGTGTGCAAAGAATCCTTCGCAATTTCTGACCGTCTCGCGGCATTGCTTTTATAACTGAAATGCGAAATTTGTGAAAATACATCCAATTTATTAATTTTATATTATACCGAGGGTTATTCAAGACTTCTTTAATCGCAGCGTCAAATCGCTCTTTGGTGAAGTCGCTGTACTTCATTTTAACGCCAACTTCCGCGTTAATCACAGTCTCTGCATTTTTATGTTGATCGAAAAGGAAAGGCATGACAAACAAAGGTACACCATGGTAAGTGGCTTCTTGAGTACTCAGACGACCACCGTGAGATATGAAAAGGCGAGCATTTTTGTGGCCTGTTTAAAATTAAAATAATAATAAATGAAAATTACTTTTTAATTTTGTAATTCTCATAATTATTCCACATAACCAATCGTTTTCAAGCATAGAGATATTTTATATTCCATAATCAAGTTGTATGGTTATTAAGACGTCTGAACACAATTTATAGTTTTATAATTTAAAAATTAGATGGAAATTTATAATAAATATTGAAGAAAAGGAAATTTCTCTTTTAAATTTATTTCTTATGAGTAGCTTTCATAATATTATTTCTTTTACGTACCAAGAACGTCTTGCTGGGAGAGCCACTTGTTGATCATCACATTCTGTGGCTTTCCAGGTAAATCATCCTTCTCAAACTTCCAAAGCACTTTAATTTTTAGTCTGCTAAACACGTCTAAAATATCTGCAATGTTTTCCTTCGGAAGAAGGCTACTTTTTAAGTTACTGCCCAGACTAAAGTAAATGAAACCATCAGTGGCGCTGTCGAGAAAATCTTTCACATCCTTAAAGATTTTAGTTCAATGAATTCAATGAGTACAAATTTTTAAATTAAATAATACGTTTTGAAGTTTGCTAGGATCTGCAGGTCGGCATGGGAGGCAGCCGACCTCCTTCACATTTGGAGGCAACGATCTTCCAGGGTCAATACCTGGAGGTCCTGAATTAACTAGTAAGAATTCGAACGTTTGCTGGACATCTTCAATTTGGGCAATGTTTTTGCCAAACGTTTCATGTGCAACTTCTTGTTGGCGCTTCTTGTATTGCCTATACAAGTATCTGTCGTAACTGAGAGTGATGAAATTCAGAGTGCGTTCTAAAAAGCTCATGGGTGGCCTGAAAAATAATTAAACAGCATTTAAATACAATTTATTTTGATGTACATTTAAAAAGTAATGAAAATTTTTGAAGAAAAAAAATTGAAGAATGAGGAAGCCAAACTTTTAAGTACTTTTTGTACTCTAATTACTGATTATAGGGAAAAACATCATAAAATGAAAAAATTCATTTTAAAATTTTAATTAGTAAAAAGTAATTATCTTGGAAAAAACAAAGCATTAAATATAAAATCAATTAAAATTTTTTTTTAAATATTTAAAAAATATATAATTATTTAATTTGGGTTTAATGATTTTTTTTTAAAGTTATATTAAACATTTATTGTGCTGTTTCTTCAAAATTAATAATTAAATGATTGTTATGCACCTAAAGGTCATCAGAGGTTGCGCAAATGCGGATGGGTAGTTTTCCGCACCCATTTGGTCCCAGTGCCAAAAGCCATCGGAGTACGCATTTATAGCAAAAATCGGCGCATTAAAACTTGGAAGCAGGGTCGTCGCATACTCGCCGAAACAAAACTCAAATATTACCAAGTCATACTGGTTTTGACTCTCTTTCACCAGTTGCTTAGGCAAATCAGTTTGCGATTGCATTTTGTTGATGCTGTCACCATAAATCCACAGATTCTCTAACTGTTCCTTCAAATTTAAATCGGTCAATTCCATCACCTCTTCGTCAGAATAATATCCTCCAACTTCGTAGTAGCTGCGCAAATACATGTTAAAATACTTTAATATATCTGGTGTATTTATTTTTAGAAATTTTAACACATTCATAACGAATAAAATACAAACGAAATTGTTATATTAACATTAAATTTAAAACAAATCACTGATTAAGAGAAAGTCGTGAATTTTTTTTAGAATGATTTATTATTTTTATCATAAATCATGAAAAATAATTTTAAAGAAAGTGATGTTAATGATCATCTTTTTAATAGATTTAGTTTCACTTATATTAAAAAATCGTATAACTATATGATAATTTAATACGTGATTCCAGTCTTATTCTTGCCGACAAATGGCATGTACGATGTGACCTCATGTCCCTTTGCTGCCAGCGCCTCCAACAAAACCCGGTTCCAGATTCCGTGGCTTGGTGACGAAACTAACGTGATTGCCAAAATTTTTGCACCCCTAGAACCGGTCACAAAGAGCAATAACACGGTTAGCAATATATGGAAGCGGAGCATTTTGGCTACGCTCTCTTTTCAACCCAGCGAAATGAACTCAAGAAGAGTCGAAAGCGTAATCAGTCCAAATTGTTTGCTCGATGGACCCTCCTCTAAAAGCATTTAAATTATCAAGGCCGAATGCATGTGCCAACCAGTTGTTCACGTCAGCTCTGCGCCTTTTTCACTATCAACAATATCGGCCACTTTTTGACCCTAAAGTCTTTTTTTTCTTAACTTTAAACTTGCTGCTTTCCTGATTTAATATTATTTATTTTAATATTTTAGGCTTCAGCAAACATTTTATAATCTGATTTTAAAAGCTATAATGATCGTAAAAATGCTCAGATTTTACAAGTTAAAATACTTTTGTTTTATAAAATTACAATTTTATTCAACTTCTTTTCACTTTATTTTTCTTTGAGAAAAATCCCATCAACATTTTTAAAGCAAAAATTACAAAAACAACTGGCAGCAGCAAAAATGCAATAACATCAATTGAATAAAGTTGGATCCAGTTGAGGTGTTGGCCGGCGGGTCGAAGGTGTTTGGCCCCTTTGTGGCGAATTACGTATTCGACCCAAAAGACTGCTTCCTCCAACGGTGTGTGCAGAGAATCCCTCGCAATTTCTGACCGTCTCAATGCGTTGCTTTTATATCTATGAATACATAGATAGTTTCTATAATTCGTGAAAAATTTATTAATTTTTTTTACCGAGGGTTGTTCAAGACTTCTTTAATCGCAGCCTCAAATCGCTCCTTTGAGAAATCTTTGTATTTCATTTTGACGCCAACATCTGCACTGATCACGGTCTCTGCATTTTTATGCTGATCCAGAAGAAAAGGCATCACAAACAAAGGCACCCCATGGTATGTGGCCTCTTGAGTACTCAGAAGACCATCGTGAGATATAAATAGGCGAGCATTTTTGTGGCCTATTAAAAATGTAATAAAAAATTATTCATATTTATAATTTTATTGCTGCAATAAATTGAAAAATTTTTTGTGTCTAAAAATAATTTTTTAATATAATTTTACTATTAAAATTTGTACATTATTATTTTAGTAATCGCGCAAAGTGTAATATTATTGCTTTTTTTTAATTCTGTTTATATTTTTTTTTTTTTAAATTATGAGTTAATGCAAGCAGTTTAAAAAAAAATAAATAATATGCCTGGTAGCGTATGAGCGTAGCTGTTAGATTAAAAGTAATTAATATTGCTGTCTTTCTGTAGGAGGAATTTTGAGAATTTCGAGGCATTAAAAGTTATAGGATTTATGGAATCAAAAAACTTACTGATTATCGCTCAGATTTCAAATTTAACTTTCAGTTGCTTTTATCTTATTCCATAAATTTTATTTACCAAGAACGTCTTGCTGTGAGAGCCACTTGTTGATCATGACGTTTTGTGTCTTTCCAGGTAAATCATCCTTTTCAAATTTCCACAGAACTTTTACCTTCAGTTTACCAAACACCTCTAAAATATCCGCAATGACTTGTTTAGGGAGAATGCTGCTTTTTATATTTGTGCCCAGACTAAAGAAAATGAAGCCGTCAGTGGCGCTGTCAAGAAATTCTTTTACATCCTAAATTTTAGAAATTAATTTATTCAAATTAGAGCAGAATAGCAGAGTAAGAGGAAATTTTGAAATAAAATATACCTTTTGAAGTCTGCCGAGATCAGCAGGTCGGCATTGAAGGCAGCCAACCTCCTTGACATTCGGGGGCAACGACCTTCCGGGGTTGATGCCCGGGGGCCCGGAGTTGACCAGTAAGAAGTCATAGGTTTTCTGGACTTCTTCAATTTGCGCAATATTTTTGCCAAATGTTTCATGAGCTACATGTTGTTGACGTTTTAAATATTGGCTGTACAAAAATCTGTCATAACTGAGCGTGACGAAATTCACAGTGCGTTCCAAAAAGCTCATGGGAGGCCTGGAAGTGGACCATTAAATTAATTATTTAGTATGCATAATTTTAATCAAATCTTTATCTGACTTCAAGTTAATAAAATAAATTATCTTTTACACCAAAACCAATCAAGAAACATTTTATATTTATTGGTTTTAAAATGATTTTCATATAATTTATAAGCAATATTTAAAAAAAAAATTAATTTTAAATAATGATTTTACTACAAAATTTGCACCTGAAAGTCATCAGGGGTTGCGCAAATGCGGACGGGTAGTTTTCGACACCCATTTGGTCCCAGTGCCAAAATCCATCGGCGTACGCATTTATTGCAACAATTGGCGCATTAAAACTTGGAAGCAGGGTCGCCGCGTACTCGCCGTAACACAATTCAAATATTACCAAGTCGTACTGGTTTTGACTTTCTTTCACCAGCTTATTTTTTAGCGAGTCGGCTTTCTTTTGAATTTCGCTGATGCCATCACCGTACATCCATAAAATCTCCAAGTGTTCCTTTATACTTAAATCGGCAAAATCGAGGATATCTTCGTCGGGAAAATATCCTTCAATTTCGTGATAGCTGCAAAAATATGAATGCACATGTATATCAATATAATATTATTTATTTTGTCTTTTAGCAATAGACATCTTTTGTCTCACCAGGGTATTTTGAATTATTTAAACCAAATGTATTTAAAAATAGAAAAATTGTTTAATATAAATTAATTTATATTTACAATTAGATAACAAAAATTGCTTTTAGGAATGAACACCTAATTCGTGATCTAAAAGCAATATTATCTTTATCACTTCTCAAGATATGAGACACTTAAATAAGAAAAATAAACTTTATAAAATAATTACCAAACTATAAAAATATTTTATAAAATAAAAAATGTTATTAAAAATTTTAGAATTTATATAAACTCTATAGTGCAATGATGCGATAAGATAGTCAAAACAGCCCATTCATATTAATTTCAATGGTAAAAATAAGAAAATTTAAATATTATATCTTATAAAAAAATCATATCTAGATATAAATAAGTGGATCTTGCTGAAAAACAGTCGAGCCATTATAAATGAAAAGTATTTTTATATATATGTTTGATACTTCCCCCAATATTAATTTCGATCACATATTTGTAATTAGTTTATAAAATTAATATATTACGTGATTTCATGAGTCTTATTCTTTCCCACAAACGGCAAGTATGCAGTGACTTGATGTCCCTTGGCTGCCAGCGCCTCCAGTAAAACCCGGTTCCAAATTCCATGGCTTGGCGATGGAAGCAAAGTGATTGCCAAAATTTTTGCACCCTTTGAGTCGTTCACAACGAGCATAAGCACGGCCGCAAAAGACGCTAACAATATATTGAAGCGGATCGTCATTTTGGCTACAGCGCTCTTCAACGCAGCGAAGTCGACTCAAGAGAGACTCGTCGAAAGTGTAATCAGTCTGAATTATTTGTTCAGTTCTCCGAAGCCAAATCAAGGCCACACGCGAGACTTTCGTTCATAACAGCGCTCTGCTTTATTTCATAATCAATTTTACTTCTATGTGAAAATTAACTTAAAAAATTGATATCTTCCATTGAAAAAGGGTGGTTAAAATATATATATTATAAAAAGTTACATCTCTAGATAATTATTATTTTATTTTATACGAAAATTATATTTTTCTTTTCATTTTAGTTTTTACTTTAATTATTTCGATAAAATTCCTCTGTTAAAAAAAAAAATAATAATAAAAAAAGTTTAAATATGTACGTTTTTATTGAGATTTTAGGAACATTAGAAAGGAATTAACTCCTCTTTACTTTATCCTTCTTTGAGAAGGAGCCAATCAACTTTTTTAAAACAAAAAGTACAAAAACAACTGGCAGCAGTAAAAATGCGATAACATCAATTGAATGCAGTTGGATCCAGTTAAGGTGTTGGCCGGCGGGCCGAAGGTGTTTGGCCCCTTTGTGGCGAATAACGTACTCGACCCAAAAGACCGCTTCCTCCAACGGCGTGTGCATTGTGTCGCGGGCGATTGCCGAATATTTTTGGGCGTTTTTCAAATATCTGAAGTTAAAGAAAAAAAAATAAATTAAAATAATTATTCATTTAAGTTCAGCTCATACACAGGATTTTTCAGCACTTCTTGAATGCACTTCGCAAATTTCCCTTTCTCAAATTTCAGAAATTCCAGTTTCACACCAACGCCCGTGGTTACTGCGTGTTCTCCGTTTTTATGCTGATCGGCAAAAACGGGCACCACCACCAGAGGCACGCCGTGGTAATTAGCCTCTTGTGTGCTCAGGCGGCCACCGTGAGTGATGAAAATCTTAATATTTTTGTGGCCTGATTAAATTAATCATATTTGAAGAGTTTTAATTGTGAATACAAATATATTGATAAATAATTGCCTAGGACATCTTGTTGTGAGAGCCACTTGTTGATCATGACGTTTTTTGGTTTGCCAGGCAAATCGTCAACTTCAAATTTCCACAAAACCCTCAATTTCAGAGAGCCAAACACCTCCAATATTCCCTTTTTCATCTCGTCTGGCAGTGAACTACTTTTAACATTTGAACCAAGACTGAAGAAAATGAAACCCTCTGTGGCACCATCCAAAAATTCTTTAACTTCCTAAATTTAATATTTTAAACAAATATAAATAATTATGAATTTAAAAATAAACCTTTTGCAGTTTGCTCGGGTCGGCAGGTCGGCACTGCAAACATCCAACTTCTTTGAAATTTGGTGGCAAAGCCCTTCCCAAATCCACTCCTGGGGGTCCGTTGTTGACCAAGAAAAAGTCATAATTTTGCTCGACCTCGTCGATTTGGGCGGCTTGTTTGCCGAAAACAGTTTTTGCGAGACCTTGTTGGGCTCTGATATAATTTTTCCTGCAGTATTTGTCGTAGTAATTTGTCAAGAAATTCGCCACTCGCTGCATAAAAGTCATGGGATACCTATTGAACTAATTGTGATCAAAGATTTAAAATAAAAGATATTAGTCAAACTTGTAAGGGAAAATTGGTCCTGGGAAGATGGACGGTCTGTTATCAACACCCATTAATTCCCAATTCCACCATCCATCAGCATAAGCATTTATAGCGACGACGGGTGCGTTGAATTTAGGCAGAATTGCAGCGAAAACTTCACTCATGCAAGTTTCAAAAATGACAAGGTCATATTTTTCATTATTGTCGGTCAACATTCTCTTCGCAGTTTCAGAGTGAGCTTGCTCTGGATTAATTGCGTCGGCAAAGGCCCAGAAGGCTTCAACGTTTTCCTTGGTGCTCATTTTGGCAAAATCCATAAAATCGTCCTCTTCGTAAAGTCCTCCAAGATCATGATAGCTGAAGAAAAACGCACATTTAATTTTAAAATTTAATGATCTACATCTTAATTAGTGATCCTGATCCTTTTTAAATCTTGAAAATTATTATAAGGTCAAATGGAAATCTATTACCTTAGATTAGGATTACAAATATTTCACTTACTTTTATAGAAATATAATTATCTAAAAAATTTTTAATATAAAATTAAAATTTATCTGGGACAGCATTTTTAAGCAAATAACTTATTGAGAAAAGTTTTTTTACGCTTAATACACATTTTTCAACTTAATTTATATTTTAGAAATAAAAACTCAGAAGTCAAAATTAACTCTTTTCATTCATTTATTTTCTGTTTTAATTTTGTAAGCTTCCTAGCATTGTTTTGTATGCTCAATTTTAAAATTAAAAAGTTGGTTTTCATTCATCATTATATAGCTTTTTAATTAAGAACTTTTAAAAATATTTAAATGATTCTAACTTATTACTTATGAATTAAAAAGTCTTCAAACTTTTAACTGTGTTGATTTATGTTTTAATTATGAATACCTAACGCCTGTTCTGTTTTTCATTGGGAATGGAGTGAGCATCGTCACGTCGTGCCCTTTGTCTGCGAGAGCTTCGACAAGGGCTCGGTTCCATATTCCGTGACTCGGCGATGCAATCGCCGTGATGGTCAGGATTTTGGCGCTTTGCACGTCCGCGCAGCCAAAAAGCAGCAGGGCAAACAAGAGAGCTGATAACCTAGGAAGCATCTCGCTTTTTTAGCTACGCCGATGAGCTCAGAAGCGCGACTGCGAGTCATTATCAGACACCGCAAAGTCAAATTATTTGAAAGGGCCTTTGGCTCCTCCCAAACATGAGCAAGTGTGTTAACCAGCCAAGGTCGCAGGCACCACTTGATGCAGTGCAAAAAATTTGCCTAGAGACCATCGCACAAGAGCAGTGCTTAGAAATATAAGATTTTGGAATATTGAATGGAAGGCTAAATTTTAAACGCTTTATATTTTATGATTATTGATATCATACTAGAGATTGCGTCTAGATTGGCCTTGAATTTATCTATTAAAACTCTGAGGTTTTAATTTTATTCACTTTTGTTGTTTTATGGTTTGTTTGAATTGATATTTTATTGTTTTTTTTTCAACGTCAGTCTTCTTTTTAATATTTTTATTCGTTATATATCTTTTCATTTTTTTTTTTGTATTCACGCCATCCCTGCGATTTTTCATACCACGTTCCTATTTTACTGCTACAAAATATGCATATCATATTATATTTTATATTACTTCAACTTCAGTATATGATTCCCACATTTTTATTTCAAGCGAATTTAGGCTTCTTACTTAATATGCGTTGGATTAAAAGAGTAAATTGAGGCAAAAAATTGTTGAATACTAAGTATAGATTTATGTATATACAGTTCAATGACAGAATTTTTAGAATCTATTAATAATTTTAACGTTTATTTATTATTCAATTCCTTTTAATTTTATCTTTCTTTGAGAAACAGCTTAGAAACGTTTTTAAGACGTAAAGGGTGAATAAAATTGGCAGCAGTAAAAATGCAATAACATCAATTGAATGCAGTTGGATCCAGTTAAGGTGTTGGCCGGCGGGCCGAAGGTGTTTGGCCCCTTTGTGACGAATAACGTACTCGACCCAAAAGACCGCTTCCTCCAACGGCGTGTGCATTGTGTCGCGGGCGATTGCTGAATTTCTCTGGGCGTTTTTCAAATATCTGGTTTTAGGATCAAAATTAAATTAAAATAATTATATTCATCTAATTTCAGTTCATACGCAGGATTTTCCAGCACTTCTTGAATGCACTCCGCAAATTTTTCTTTATCAAAGTCCAGAAAATTAAGTTTCACACCAACACCCGCGTTCACGGCGTGTTCTCCGTTTTTGTGCTGATCGGCAAAAACAGGCACCACCACCAGGGGCACGCCGTGATAATTAGCCTCTTGCGTACTCAGGCGGCCACCGTGAGTGATGAAAATCTTCAAATTTTTGTGGCCTGAATCATAAATTGTCGCAATGTATTTTATTTGCATAGAGAGTATTTATTTTATAATAATGAAAAAATCCAAGCTATTTAAAAAAAAAGTACAAATAAAATGACCCAAGATATCTTGTTGTGAGAGCCACTTGTTGATCATGACGTTTTTCGGTTTGCCAGGCAAATCATCATCTTCAAATTTCCATAAAATCTTCAATTTGAGAGAACCGAACACCTCCAATATTCCCTTTTTCACCTCATCTGGGAGCAGACGACTTTTTATATTAGACCCAAGACTGAAGAAAATGAATCCTTCAGTTGCGCTGTCTAGAAACTCTTTTACTTCCTAAATTATTAATGTTTTTCTTCAGCTGATAAAATTATTTTAACCTTTTGAAGTTTGTTTGGGTCAGTAGGTCTGCAATGCAAACATCCGACTTCTTTGAAATTCGGAGGCAAAGCCCTTCCTAAGTCCACTCCTGGAGGTCCGTTGTTGACCAAGAAAAAATCATAGTTTTGCTCGACCTCTTTGATTTGAGCAGCTTGGTTTCCGAAAACAGCTTCTGCGAGATTTTGTTGGCCTCGGAGATATTTTTTCCTGCAGTATTTTTCGTAGCAGTTTGCCAAAAAATTGGTCACTCGCTGCAAAAAAGTCATGGGGTATCTTTTCAACTAATTAATAAGGCTAAAAAAAAAAAAAACAAAGATTTATACTTGTAAGGAAGAGTTGGTCCTGGGAAAATAGCTGGACTGTTGTCAACACCCATTAACTCCCAATCCCACCAACCGTCGGCATACGCATCTATTGCTACAATGGGTGCTTCGAATTTGGGCAGGATTGCTGCAAAGACGTCACTCAAGCATGTTTCAAAAATTACCAAATCGTATTTTTCATTATTGTCGGTCAATATTCGTTTCACGGTTTCGGACTGGGCTTGCTGAGGTCGGACGATCTCGGAAACGTCCCAGAAGGACTTGATACGTGCCATGATTCCTATTTTGGCAAATTCCATAACATCGTCTTCTTCGTAAAGCACTCCAACATCATGATAACTGAAGGAAACGTTTTTTTTTTTAAATATCAACAACATTCTCAATTTGTTATTTGTTTGTGTAAATATTTTTTTTCATAGACAGTATAATTTATTCTGATTCATTCAATTTTGGAAATGAAGATTCGGGCTTTTCCTCGTTGCAAAAAATTGTTTTTATTCAAAAACAAAATTCAATTTTGTTGTCAATAAATGCTTTTCAAATACTTATTAACAAAATTGTCCAACTTTTGGTGTTTATTAGTTAATTGTCTTTTTAATTTTTTTTTATATGTTTATACTTTATGCCTGTTTTGTTATTTGCTGGAAACGGAGTGAGATTTGTCACGTCGTGCCCTTTGTCTGCCAGAGCTTCAAGAAGGGCTCGGTTCCAAATTCCATGGCTTGGCGAGAGAACTGTTGTGATGGCCAGGATTTTTGCTCCTCGCACGTCCCCGCAGCCAAAAAGCAGCAGAGTAAACAAGAGAGTTGATAATCGAAGGAGCATCTTGTATTTCTAGCTATGCCAATGAGCTCGGAAGAGCGACTGCGAGTCTTATCGTACACTAGAGTCAAATTGTTTGATAAAGGCCTTTGGCCCCTCCGGAGCAAGCGAGGTGGTAAATTCACTACAATTACTACTAACATGGTAATGAGAAATAATGAGAAATAAAATTGCAGAGAATGGTGGCTGTTCTGCTTGCTATATTGTGTATTGTAATGAATGACAATCCGTGAAAATATATAAAAAACTATATTAATTTAATTTAAAATTAAATAACTCTAGCATTGATACTACTAAATGCGAGTTTGATCCAGAATAATGAGATATTATAGGCTAGAATTTAAACTATTTATAAAAATTAAATATTTTTAATTTATCAACTTGCTTAATCACTTATAGTTAAAAAAAAACATATTTGATAAATATATTTTCATAAATACTTAAAACTTAACTTACAAAATACAAATTTCAAAATTTTGTCAAAGTTTTAATGTCTAAACCAAACTGTAAATTCCGGAGTAATAAAAAAGAATAAAAACATAATCACTTTTACTTACGTTAAATAATCTTTTCTGCTACGTTGTGTGCATAATTTAGCAACACGCGCCGATTTAAAGAAAATATAATATAAAATTAACCTTTACATTGTTTTGTAACAATTTATTTAATTCAAAATTTTACCGCTATTTTTTCATTTTAATCTAAAATAAAAAGGTCAATTTGATTTTTAAATACTATCAAATTAGAAGGTAAAAAAGTTAGTTCTATTATGTCTTTTGGAATGATCAAAATTCTCATATTTTTGTGTGTTCAGATTCATATTTATTCTGACTTCACTTTTGCTCTTGAACAAGCACGTATTAGCTTTTGGAGACAAAACCGCAGCAGGAAAGCGAACGAGAGCAGAACACTTGCAATGAATACATAGACGTCGAGCAGATTCAATTGATACCACTCTAGGGAAACGGCCGCCGACTGCAAATGAGGTGCCCCTTTGTGTCGGAGGACGTATTCCGTCCAGAAGACCGCTCTCTCCAGGGGCGTTTGCGGTTGGTCTCGAACCACCCTTGCCCGCCTCTTTGCCTCGGTTTGAATTCTGCAAGATTTCGTTACATCTTCATTAATTATTTTCAATTATTCATATTGATGAATCTTTAAAATTTAAAATTCAAGTATTTAAATTTTAAAATATTTTTCAAAAATAATTTGCTTTTGTATAAAATTATGTCATTGATAAAGTAAATCCTAAATAGAAAAAAAAGTAAATGTTATATACAAATACATCGTGAAAGGATTAAAAAGAATCTGCATTTTATTAATATTTAGAAAGAAGATCCAGACTAAAGGGATGAATTCGGAAATTATTTGCCTTTCATCGTGAAGAGCTCTCTCTATGGCCCACGAGAATGCTTCCTGTGAGATGTTCTGGTAATTTACGACTACGGCGTATCCCGCCCTCTCCGCCTGCTTAACGTTAAGCATTTGATCTCCGAAAATTGGAATTCCGATCAGGGCCACTCCATGAAACGCCGCCTCCTGGGCACTCAGCAACCCTCCGTGCGTTATAAAAACGCGTACGTTTGGATGGGCTGAGAATTCCAAATTATTATATTTATTTTTTTCGTCCGGGAGCTTGTTAATTTTCCTCACCGAGAATATCTTGCTGAGGCATCCACTTGCCGATTTTCACGTTGGGCGGCTGATTTGGCAAGTTTTCCGATTCCCACTTCCACAACACCCGCTGCGGGATTTTGGCGAACGCGGCCAGGATTTGCTGAATTTTTTCGGCGGGCATCAAATCACTGCGCAAATTCGAACCCATTGAAAAGTAAATCGCGCCTTCCGTGGCGCCGTCCAAAAATTGCTGCATGTCTTCAGGCAGCTTTTTGTTTTTTGGACTGACGTGCATCCCGCCGACTTCGACGATTGCCGGAACGAGTGGTCGCGGAAAAGTCATGGTGAAATGCGCGTTCAGCAAAATGAGACTCACTGAGTTTTGAATTTCACGCACGTCCGGATATCCAGATCCAAAATACTGATCAATAATTTAATTTTGAATTAAATTATATCGTCTTTAATGTAGTACCTTTTGTTGAAGCTGGTTTTGTTTTGGGAAATAATGAAGTTGATTTCCTAAATCCCAGGCGGCTGAAAATAAAAAGTTCCTGAGGCGTTCTGAGAAATCCATGCGGTCTATGTAAGTTAACATTGGGTTTGGATAATACGACCACGGTGTCGGGTTGCCTACAGCGTAGTTGATCCAATGAAGGCCGTTCATTGAAGAGATCAATATGAGAGGAGCCTTTAAATAATATAGTTTAATCGAAATATCTTGAAAATTCAATTTAAATACTTTGAAATGTTGTGCAAATGTGTAAACAGCCTCATCAATAAAAGCTTCAGCAATCACTAGATCAAAGCCCCGTTTGTCTTTTAAAAGATTTTGAACCTGGAATAAATTTTACCAAAAATAACAATTTCATAAACAGAAAATTGATTCTGAGATTGTGTCACGTATTTATTTGCAAGGAACAAAGCATACAATCTATTAAATAAAAAAATTTCAATTTTATTTTCAATATTTCTTAGTAATTTGAGTTATTTTATCTCAAAATGTAAACAAACTTAAATTAAAATAAATAATTTTAATGCAAATGAGATCATTATGTAGTAGACTTTTTTCTATTTATATTTAAAAAAAATTTATTTACAAATTTTATTAAAATTTAGTTTGACTTACAATGAAATGTTACCTTTTCATATTGCAAAAATGCATCAGTGACCATTAACCCTTCGTCCCAGAACGAGGTCAAAATGAAATGAAGCGGAAAATCGGCAAACTCGTAAACATCGGCCGAGAACACAGCGTCGTGGAAGGCCTTGACCGCAGGCATGGTGTCCACGTCTGTGTAGTTGGACGGCGGGTTTGCCAGCGGGTAGGGACTGACCACGACCAGCTCGTGGCCCCTCGCCGCAAGGGCCTTTGTCAACGTTGAGTAAACGCTCAGGTGACTGCGGCTCGGGTACGGAAAAAGACCCAAAATCCGATCACACTCGGCGTGACCGGCGAATACGAGCAGAAAACAAATTGCAAAGTTTACCAGCATCTTGCTTTATTAACCCTATAAAAAATTTAATTTTAGTTGTCATATTTTTGCAATCAAATTTTGATGTTGCAAAATTCTGACATGAGCGATGCCCTGCCTTTTACCTTGCTGTTGAGAGCTGTTATCTCTTCTAATGGCTCCATCAATCGACGGTTTGATAGAACTGTCGGCTTAAAGCTCCATTGAGTGCTTTACTCGGCCTTGCCAATCTTGGTCAATTAGAGCACATGAAGCCAAAACTCTGGCCCCTTTTGCGCTGCTCGAGAATTGCTTTTATCATCTTCGTGAAGTCCACTTTGTTTTTAAAATGGTCCATTGATTACATTAAAATGCTACTTGTGATGCGAGCGATCCCATAAGTATGATAAGCAACCAAATTGATAAGATAAAACCAGAGATGCACGTGAGGTATAGTGTGATCTCAAAAAAAGCAGAATCACGAAAAGATAAAGAATTATTTTAAATGGCACAATGTGGCACAATTAATCTATTATTTGAGAATAACATTTTGACCTAAAAGTAAATAATTATATTTTTGTGCTTAAAAATTTGTAATAATGATTTATTTTTTCCAATCAAAATTTTTGGTCCAGATTTTAGATTAAAATTGATAAGTTGACAATATCATATCACGTTTCATGATTGATTGGTGTTCTCTAAAATTTTAAACATACTCAGCTTTCACTTGCGCGAGAGCAAAGATCACTAATTTTAAAATGAAGTTTTATTTGATTTTAGCTCTTTCCACATTCATAGTTGTGAATGGTAACTAATTATGATTTTGTATTTTATCAATGAGAGAATTTGCTCGTCTTTTAGGTCAGGTGTTGGAACCTTTTCGTTTATCAAACTACTACACAAATGGAATGGTCCTTCAAAGGGAACCAAAAAGTGCCGTGATTTGGGGATATGGAGAGCCAGGGGCTGAAGCTGTAGTTTCGTACGAAAGCAATCGACTCTCAACAATTATTGACGGTATATTTAATTTATGCAGATTTTAAAATTAGTTCAATAATTATAATAAAGGCAATGGGAAATGGAACATAACTTTGCTACCCCATGCAGCGAGTGGGTCCATTGACTTTGCAGTACAGCAGGTTTATTTAAAAAAAATCACCATGTTTTGAAAATTAATTACAAAATTCCTCTTTCGTAGATTGGTACTTTCGGATTGGTTACAATTCCATTCAAAGCAATGTTCGGTGACGTTTGGGTATGCAGTGGTCAGAGCAACATGGCCATGCCTCTCAGATTCGTAAGTTACTATTATTTATTTTAAATAAATCCTTATTTAAAAATTTGATAAAAATCGCAGATTTTTAACGGATCGGAGGAAGCGAATAGAACTATTTCCGATTATCAGCACTTTCAGCTGAGAAAAGTGACAGACAATTACACTCTTGACGAAGGGGAATTTGAAGAGACCTCTTTCAATTATGACTGGACTTCTCCTAATTCAGGTTATTAAAATTTTTTTGTATCTTAATATTAAAAAAAAACTCATCATCGCTCTATCATAGACGTGACTCCAAATTTCTCTGCTCTCTGCGTTCTCTTTGTTCAACGCCTCTCAGATGCGTTGAATGCGTCCATTCCATTTGGTCTGATTGACACTACCTGGCCAGGGACAAGGATTGAGGCCTGGTCATCACCTAGGGTCATCGAAACTTGCAATGCGCCGAGTGATAATGCGTGAGATAAAATCAATTCCAACTAATTTTAAATTTATGCAACCGGCTCAGCATCGTTGTTTGGCGTTACAGTATAAATTTGCAAATTATTTTTAGGACGAACCAAAATGCTAATTCAGCATTGTGGAAGGCAATGGTCGCCCCTTTAACAAAAACTTCAGTTAGGGGTGTTTTATGGTACCAAGGTAAAATGTGCAGATATAAATATCTTTTAATTAAGGTCTAATTAATATTATTTTAAGGGGAAAACAATATAGATTACAATGAAGACTACTACGCGTGCCATATCCTTGAACTGATTAATGACTGGAAGAGATCTTTCTTCCAAGGTGACGTAGCGGCTGAAAATGGTGTTGCTTTTCCTTTTGGAGTTGTTCAAGTACAAAAGAATCAAACAATATGAGGAGAACAAATTAAATACTCAAGGTTTTAATTAGAATGGCCCGCTTTTCATAAATCACAACTACAAATGGGGAGACAGCCGTTGGCACCAAACTCTTGACGTCGGAATTTTGCCCAACGCCTTGGCTCCAGAAGCTTTCACGGGAGCGGTTTATGATCTGACCGATCACTTCTCACCTACCGGAAGGCAAGATAATTATTATAAATTTAAAAAAAAGAATCAGAAATTAAAAAAAAAAAAAAACAGCATTCATCCTCGAGACAAGCAAACTGTTGCAGACCGATTGGCAAACGCAGCGAAGAAACTTTTGTACAACCAAAACTTTAGTTTATACGGACCAGTTGTAAGTAAAATATTTTCAAAAGGACACACAAATTTAATTTGATGTTGAACGCAAGCCAACAAACTTGGTTGGAGACGCTTCTGGCACGTGGACTATTGAGTATGACAGGAATATTAAATTAGTTGGCACGTTGGGATTCGCAGTAGGTTTTATGCTAAATGTGTATATTAATCCGGGTATGAATATAATTAATTTTCAGTTTCAACTTCCCGACGGGAGTTACGAGCTCACTGACGTGATCTCTACTACATCTAATTCGGTTACCGTCACCGTGAGTACAAATGCGACACAGCTGGTTTATGCCTACAGCTCGTACGTCTGCGAGTACAAAGATTGCGCTGTTTACAGCGACGACGCTGAAAATTTGCCAGCGCAAGTGTGGAAGTGGCAACTTTCTTAATTCAGTACGAAATAAATAATTCCGTTTCAATTCGAATAACTTCAGTTTTAATTTTTCCAAATGGTTGATCCTCTTTTTAAATACACGTTGGTGAGCAGGGCAAGGGTGACAATTCCTGAAATATATCGGATAATTTGTGAACATTAGGAAACTGAAATTATTAGATACGGCGGTGGAATTTCCATCAATGAGAGAAATGAACGTGGGGAAATCCGCGTAATCCATGGCGCACTTAAACAACAAGTACGCAGTTTCGCATGCATCTCCGTTAGGGTCGCCTGGAAATAATAAATCAGTAACTTGCTAATAGGATTTTCTTTTCAATACTTTCTGCGTAGCACGAAGTGAAAGAATCATACATATCTAGCAATCCGGCTTCATCGATTTGGAAAACTTCTTCAATGAGTCTTAAAATTGCTGCATCTTTAAGTAAACCATCTTCATACTGGATAAAAATTAACAAATTATATTGAAAAAAAAAATGTAAAATCTTTAAATCTTACTATTCCCAACTCCTCTCCAACACATTTTAAAAAGCACTATGATCATGGCAGTGAATTTTATGTTCATAAAATAATTGACTTTGAGATACTTTTGTGTTCTTTGGCATTGTTGCTGACACGTTTATCGCCGAAATAAAACTTTGTTCGCCTATGGAGAAATTAATAATTTGAGAAAATAAAAATAAAATATAGAACTGCGAGAGGATAATAATTTAAGTTTTACTGTGTTACAATTACATTAGAATTTTATATGATAAAGCACGAACTACAAATCTATATGTTTGTGAAAAAAAAGATCTAACTTGAATTTTTTATTTAATTTAACAGTTGGTGATGATTTAAGCCTTTTTCAATGAATTTTTATTTAAATATTTTGTAAAATATGTAGCGATTTTAAATTCAAATTAGCTAATCATCTGAACTTAAAAATGATTGTGATGTATAATAAATTAAGTTAAAGAAATAATATTTTCTGCTTCTAGCATTTAAGTTTTCAAAATTTCTATCATGACATCAAATCAATATTTTTCCAATCCTTATCAAGAAATGAATTAAAAAATAAATGGCACATACTTGAGGTTAATGCGTTCTTCTGAATGCATTCCTGCATAATGGCCTGCCCAGGTTTGTACGTTTTTGTGCTTCGAGCCTAAATTCCTTAATTGCAGATTTACTTATAAAAATATTAATTTTTTATCACTTCGCAAATGTAAGGCAGCGCTTTAGTGCACGTCTCATCAGCGAGTGTGACGTTGGCGCTACCTGAGGTCAGCGTGGCCGCGGCGCAGTGGTAACCAGCGGTGGCACCGCGAGGCATATTCGCTGCCCACGTGATTTCCGCGTCCACGAAAATCTTACCAGAGCCGCACCAACCAAAATAGTCGTCACACCCCGTGTCGGTGCCCGAGCTCCAGTAAGTCCCCTTCAGAGTCGATTTTGCTGAATCGCGACGTATTTAAAATTTAAAATAAAATTTTTAATAAAACAATTTTTATACATGTGAGTATTCCGGCTAAATTTTTAGCTTCACTGAACGTTTCCAAGCTCAACAGTCGCATTCCCAGTTTGCAACAAGTGTTATAAGCTTCCTGCCATGCTAGCTGCAAATTTCATTGTTATTTCATTAAACGACGTAGTAAATTATCACATGAAAATTTATTTATACTGTTCCTGTGCTGAATAAATAAAGGCGGCCTTTGGTTTCAGCCCAGTTGCCATACGATGCTTGGTCTGTCAATATTTCAAAATGCTTTATATTTGTTAACCTGATTTTAGAAACTTATACTATTTAATTTAATATCCGGAGAAGTTTGGAAAAGTGTCATCTTTTGTATTTGAATTAATTACTTTCTCTTTGAAGCTTACAAAAATTATTTTTACATCCTTGTTGCAAGTTGACGGACACGTCGGCTGATCACAAGCATACGTGCGTACGGTTGTGTCCTGACAATGAGATTTTTAATACAGCCCCGAATAATTTTGAGCTGAAAGTACCTCACACGCTAATGGATACAAATCGGTGCAGTTTCTGTCGGTCAGAGTGATTGTTTTTGTTTTAGAATTGATCCTTAAGTGGGCGCACGTCTGTTGACCACCCATGTTGTCCGGTTGGCCCTGGTCCCACAATATAGAGTTGCTGACCGCCACCCCAGACGGACACCATGTAAAGGATGAACCGGCGGCGCAACCGGTTCGCGTGCCAGAACTCCAGTGATTAAAGTTACCGAGCCAATTCGCTTTAAAAAAAATTATAAATGACTATCATAATCATTAAAATTTAAATATTACTTTTAGCAAAATCTCCCAAACAAGTTTGTTGCGTCGAAGAATCGATCGTCAGGGGTTTCATTCCTAGAGAGCAGCATTTCGCCATGTTATCTTGCCAGTTTAGCTTCAGGTTAAAAAATAATTAAAATTTGAAAATGTGGTTAGAAAAATTCTACCAATTCCGATCCAAACAAATACGTTTTTCCACACTTAGTTACCCACGTTCCATAAAGAGAAGCATCTACAATTTTGGTAATTAATGATAAGCAGCTAAAAATTAATATTTGTTCTTTGATAAAATATATTGTCACCATTTAAAACATTTGCCGTAAACAGGGTGTTCTAAAATTTTTAGGCAGCAAACATTTTTTATTAATTTCAACAGATCCTTGAAAATGTTCTTACGTTTTTTGCACAAGCTTGTGTACACTTGGCAAGGCAAGGCTAGAAAATTTGATTTTTGTACCTTATAATTTAAATTCTAATAAATTGATTATATGAATAAACCTTTGGAGTGGTTGTAGCAGCAGCTGCAGTTGTAGCGGCAGCTGCATTATTGGGTGCAGCTGCAGTCGTAGGGGCGGCTGCATTTGTGATGGCTGCAGCCGTATTTCCAGCCGCAACCGTAGTTGCCCCGTTAGCCACGTTTCCTGAATTAGGAGGGGCTGCATTTGCAGCAGCCGTTGTAGCGCCAGGGATGGTTGTCTGCACATCTCCTGGATTTTGGGCAGCTGCAGTTGACCCTGCAGCGCCTGCCTGGCTGTCGGAAGGTGGCGCTGTTGTCAGTGGAGGGTTAGCTGGCAGGTCAGCCCCTCCGACAGGAGCTGCGGTCGAGGTGTCCGACGAGCCTCCCGAAACTGGAGCCACCACAGGGTTGCTTCCGGCGTCTGCAGGTGGCTGCTGGGCAGGAGAACCTGCATCAAATACCCCTCCTCCCCCTCCACTTGTGTCAGCAGGGGGCGGAGCAACCACATTGCCTCCGGTGCCACCAGCAGCGGGATCTCCTGCCGTCCCTCCTGAACCTGCGGCGCCAGGGTTGGAGGGATCAACTGGAGGTGGATTTCCCCCTCCAGCTGCGTTAGGGTCTGCAGCAGCAGGGTCACCACCTGCAGCCGGATCAGTTACTGCACCTCCGGCAGCTGCTCCTCCACCTAAGGACTGATCTCCAGGACCACTCCCGGAATTTGCTCCACTGCCAGGTTCGCCTTTCAAAATTCCATTCTATTTCGCAGGGAGAATTTTATTTTCATTATTTTTCACGATCGTTTCCTGTTTATTAAAATTTCACCATAACGGTCGATGAAACTGAACGTCCAGTACCGTGGCCTATTGTTTTGGACTTGTTTTTTCCACTGACGTTATGTTCTTTGGAGCATGAATTACTTCCACAGCAATGGATTAACATTTTGCGTTTTTTAGCCTTTGAAGATGCAGTACTTCCCTTTCGTCTTGAGGCGGATGCTAACATTTTAATTTAAATGTTACTCAACAATAGCTAAATTGAATTAAAGTTTATTTTATTTATTTATTTAAGTTAAAGCCAGAACAATTTGCAGGCAACTGTTGAACAATAAATATTGTTTTATGATTTTGTAATATTTTTTCTCTAATTCATTTTCTTGACAAATATTGAAATTCTCTTATTTGAAAAAAGAATTGAAAATTCAAAGAAAAAAATATGTCTCGAAAAAAATACCAACCTTTTGCACCTGATGAACCTTTCCTTCGTAGTGCCCTGAGTTCAACTACTTCCTCTGTTGTTGATTCCACATACTAAAATTTTCTAATTATTATGTTGATTGTCACCAAAGAAGTTTTCACCAAAATCAAAATGAGCAGTGCCCCCAGAAGGGAGCACCAAATAAATTTGCTCATAAATTAAATTTTCATAGAGCTGATTTATTGAAGAGTGAAGCACAACAAGTTGAAATTTAGGAAAACTGAACTGAAAATCTGTAAAACAGTGGCTCCGATTTCATACTTTCAAACTAGAGCGCTGGCGGAAGTTGAAGCTAACAACATGACGTGAACGGCCTTTGGAAAGCAGGAAGTGAATTTTGAAATCGAGTACGCACATCTCTGCTCCACAGAGGCATTTCGGAGTAATCATTATGGACGTACGTAGGAATTAACGTAAACAATTAGTGAGTTCCGCATAATGAGGCAATTTAAATTATTATGTATCTGGTATCTGATCATTAAAAGATTGCAATCATTTAGGTTAATTTCCATCATTGCATTTCACATGGTGTTTGGGAAAAATTAAAACTGAAAGAATCTAGCATTTCAAGATACAATCAAGTTATCTAAATTCTTCACTTTTATTATCTCAAAAGCTAAACAATAGACAATTGCAAACACTTAAATAAAATAAAATACATCAGATAAACAAAACAAATAAATTTCAAGTATTAAGTAATTTATATTAAAATTTTATTTTTATTTATTAAATATAGATAATTATAATATTGTAATTGATTAATATCCACATGTAAGTTTTATAGCAATAGTTTTATTTTTTTAATAATAATTTAATAAATTTTTAGTTATAAATATGTAGAGTTTATTTTTCCAAGAATTGGAAGATTATTTTTATCCTAAAATGATGAGAATAGGTACTTGATAGTCAAAGAAAGTGTTTCTTTTAGTAATAGTAAGGTTTGGCCCTCTATGGATAATGTCATTAAATACACAATTAATGCCTATAAATAGCTGCATATTAATGCGCCCAGCATAGAAATTCCGTTTGAATAAAGCGTCTTTCGTCGGCGGCCCTCGACTCTCTTGTATGACCGCCCAAAGTCAAGGCCGAAGGTCACTGCATTCAAAGCAGCATCTTCCAGAAAGAATGCACTCAGAAGAGATCAAGACACCAACGAGATGACGACTCCTCATCCAAAGTTCTTTTTAATATTTTTTATCGCTTCAACTCTACTTTGCGCTTCTCATTCATTCAAAGGTACAATCTAAATTTTACTAAAAGTAGGTCAACCTAAATTATATAATTTAAACAAAATTGCAGCGGACCATAAATTTCCTCCCGATGCTCCAACTCCCGAGTATCAATTTCGGTTCGGACATGTCTTTACAAAAGGAGCTGTTTTGCAAATGGCACCGAAGAGGGCCCAAATTTGGGGCTTCGGCAGACCATTTTCCGAAATTGTGCTTGCGATGAATAATGGGAAAAAGCACTTCACTACGGTCCATCGTAATATTTAAAATTACGATATTATTAATTTAATTGTTAATACAAAAATTATCCAATTACAGAAAACGGCCTTTGGAGCATTTTACTAGAACCACAGGCAGTTGGTGGTCCTCATATCATTCGGGCCATGCAGTTCTCACTGACGGTATGAAATAAAATTCGAATTTTTACAAAAATTTAAAATGACGTGCACTCAATTTTCCCATTTGCTATGTGTAGGTGAATACGCAGCCCGACACGATTCAGCTGGAAAACGTTATGTTCGGTGACGTGTGGTTGTGCGCCGGCGGCAGCAACATGGCCCAAGAGCTGAACGACGTAATAAACGCAATGAATTAAAAGTGCTTCAAAATAAATAAACACGCCATTTCACAGACAATGAACGCCGACAAAATAATGAGCTCCATTCACGCCGCCCGCAACTCCAACGTGCGAATGCTGCAAATTAGCAGAGAGTTTTCGGAACACGAGCAGGACGACGTCAAAGTGTCCAGAGAATGGGCCCACGCAGGCCCGGACGGTCCGTTTTATTATTGCAATTTTGCTGATTTAATTTTTTATTTTTTAAAAGATAATGACAGCGATTCATTGAGTCTTTTGGCTTACCTGCCGGCGTTGTGTCTTTTGTATGGTATGAAAATGGCAGAATTTCACCCTGGCCGCCCCATCGGCATGGTCGAGGCCGCCTGGGGAGGCACGCCTATAGAAGCGTGGGGCTCGCAAAGAGTCACTGAAGTGTGTCACACAAAAAAGTCTAAAGGGCAAGTATTGTTATTGAAATTTAATTAAACTAAGTAAAAAGAAGCTTTTCATTTTTGATGAAATTGTTTTTAATTATAAAACAAATAACAAGATAAAAAATTTCATTGAGACTTTGTTTTTCATTTCTTTAATATAAACTTAAATATTTAGACATTTAAATCAATATTCAAATCACGTCCTTTGGAATGGAATGATTCATCCCCTGACTAAGATGACAATTCGAGGAGTTATTTGGCACCAAGGTAAATTTGATTTTAATATTTTGAAGCTACTCTCACATAAATATTTCTCGGTTTTTTTATAACGATTTTAATTAACTCTTGCAAAAAAAAATAAAATGACTGACAATTTCTCAAATTTATGTTAATTTAGTAAAACGGTGATTAAAATTTTTTCTCAATGAACAAGAAGTTAATTAAAATATTAGGTTATCAAAAATATTTTTTTAGAATTTTATTTACAGTGAATTTTAATATACATATAAATGAATCCATCTCCTGAATTAATCAAAAATAAAATAACATTATTGAAGAAATTAAGTTTCATATTGATTTTTTGCTGATTAAAAACATGATGGTTTGTTAATTAGGTGAAAACGTATACTTTTCCATATTAAATTTTAATAAAAAAAAAGAATGTGTTATTTCCCTAGTTTGAAATTGCAGGTGAAGCAAATACCGAGTACAACCGGGAAAAGTACGCTTGCCACTTGACCAAACTTGTGACAGATTGGCGGAACAGATTCTCAGAAGGAAGTGTGAGGGTCCCGCTCGAAAACGATATCGCTTTTCCTTTCGGCGTCGTCCAGGTCAGTTACACGATAAAATTCGCAGAAATAATGTTACATTTTCCCCACGCAAATTTCCTTTTGTTGTTCGAGGAAGTCGTTTTCGGCACATTTTGAGCAATTAGTTTAATTAAAACACAAAACGCATAGTTGGGACCGTCGCTGAGCGAGCGACACGCATCTTGGAGCGAATTGAGGCTGGGCCAAATGGGCGGCTGGTTGCACGACAAGGCGCACCAAATCTACCTGCCCAACTCTCGCATCCCCGAGGGCTTCATGGCCGCGGCCTACGACCTCGCCGACCCCCCAGAGCTCACCACGCAGACCAGGTATTAAAACTTTGTAATTGTAATGGCACCCGAGCTGAGTGGAAAGTTGACTGTTTAATTGTGACGCGACTGCAGCTTCGGCGTTCACTACAGAGACAAGGCGACCGTCGCTGAGAGACTGGCCCTGGCCTCGCAAGCACTCCTGCACAACGAGTCCCTCCCGCACTACGGACCCCACATAATTGTAACGATTATTTTAAATTTAAATTATGTTGTGTCACAAATTATTGTCTAGAGAATCGAGTACGACAACGAGAACTGGACGGCGAATTTGACCTTTGATAGGCCGATTAGAGTTGACGGGAACACAGGTTTTTTGGTTAGTTTAATTATCTGAAACTGAATATATTTGTAGATAATTTAATGTAATATATTATATTATTTTTTTCAAAAGTTACTATTTTCCATTCTCTGATTAAAACGAAGCATCAATAGAGATATGAAGTAAATTATTATATAATTATTTTATTTAATATTGAAACAATTAAATGACGCGCGATAAAAGAAAAGGAAGTAAAAATTTATATTGACATTCTGAAAAATATAATCCAATTTCACCAATTTATATTATTATTTTTGTTGTTTACTTGTCTTCATTGTTACAAATTTTTTTTTACATTGAATTGTCAAAAACAATTATTGTATGAATTCTAAAAGATAATTTTTAAAAAAAAGTTTTATTAAATAATAATTATATAATTTTAAACATGTGTTTATTAGAGAATATTAATGTTAAAAGTTTTACCTGTAGATACAATATTTTTTTTGTATTTTAATCAACTTGCTTATACAAAAATTGTTGTTTTACAGAAGCAACTTGCCACTGGTGAGTGGGTAGAAACACCGATTTTAATTACTTGGGCTCGAGGAGTGGTTTTGGCTCTGAGCGAAGGCCAGGGACTCTCTTATGGGCAGAAAACGGAGCCGTGCCCATACAAGAAATGCTCCATATACAGCGACGATATCTACAGACTGCCCGCCCTTTTGTTCAAAGATTATTTCAACGTGAATATTTAACCCTGTAAAAATCAAAGTTTAAAATCTTTACGATTAAAATTGTATGTACAATTTTCTCATTAAAAGTGGAACAAAAAATGTTAATTTTTTTTACTCTAATTTAGATAATTAAAAAGTCCTTAAAAAGAAAATTCGACTGTTTTTTTTAGATTCCTGCCAAAAAGACTGTTCGCATTATTATTATTATTATCATTATTATTTATTTAATTAAGTAATTCATAAGAAAAGTACAAAAATATGGTGTGATTTAGTGGAAAAAGCGACTCTTTTGCAGAGTGACTATCGAATTATTTGATTGATCATCAATAAACTCCAGACCAACTATGCAATGGCCTTTCAGGTGTTGGCCTTTTTTTCGAATTATATTATAACCTACTATTGAAGTTAATTGTAAAAACCTTTGACAGTTGACGTTCTTTAAATTTTTTTGAGCTTTTTTTGTTTGACGTCTTTGCTGACGCAAGTCAAGGCATAATAAAGCAATAAAAAGTAATTAATTATGTGACAAAACGACCCTTTAATGTTGCATGGAAGTGAGCAATTTGGAAAAGAGTGGCCACGGCATTTGGAGCCATAAAACATTATCATTCGGACGACGATTTTATTGCCTCACTCGCATGCAACAACGTGTGTGTGTATCTGTCTTTCTTTCTTACTTTCGCAGTAGTGCGCACTCAAAATTAGATTGTCCGCCTTTCATGAGGGCATTTTAATTATTAGTCATAAAATCTGATGTGACGCCTCTTCTGGGAAGGCGCATTTTTATTGCCGCGGCCCATTTTCGCCAGACCGATAATTAGAGCTCATTTCCAGTTGAGATAAGGGACTAAAATCTGGACTTGCACACCTTTGACGGCTGACACGTCACTCAGGTTGGCCCCTTTCCCGTTTATAAAAAGGATGGTCGCCAGGGTCCCAGTGTCAAAAGTGCAAAATGAGATTGAAGAGAACGGTCGTCGTCGTAGCAATTCTCCTTTTGGGGTTGGCAAGTTTTTCACAGGCCAAAGGTAATTTCTTATTTAATTTAAAAGAAAATTTAAAAAATTGAATATTAAAACCAATAAAAAGTGGTATTTTCATGAAGTGATAATTTGAATCGGTGGCTTCACATTTTTTAGAAATTATTTTAAGTGTTGCAAAAAAGTTTTTTTTAGAAAGACTAAACTAATTGACAGCTCCCGTTAAAATGACAACAATTTAATTGTCTCTTTGTGTCACGACGTTTTCTGAGGTTGAAATTTAATATCGGCGCGACATCGTGAAATGAGCTGAGCAAATATTATGATTCGCCTTGTTTTGAGTTTATCTTGTTCGCAGAAAAGGTCGCCGCCGGGAAAGTCAACAAAAACCGTCTGTCGAAGAAAAACAAAAAAGCGAGCTACGCTTCTGGGACAGAAATCAAGAGGCAGGCGTACCTCGGCGAGTATCCTTACATCGTGAGTGAATGCGGGTCTTGCACTTGAGAAAAAAACGCTGACTTTGAATATTGCAGGTGTCTGTTCAGACCAACAACGTTCACGTTGCGCCCGGAGCGATCGTCAACAAGTTCTTCGTTTTCGTTGAAGGATATTTTATCGACATGTAAGATTTTGTGAAACTTTTCCAATTTTGAAAAATTAAATACTGAAAATTGAAAGATTCAAACCAAAAACCTCAACTGTGGTTGCGGGAAAAACCGATTTAAACGGTCCCGGCGGAAGTGTTCACCAAATTACCAAACTGATCAAACACGAAAACATGTCTTGGCCCCACAACAACGTCGGGCTACTCAGAGTAGGCAGAATTTTTGTTTTAAATAAATTAAATTTAATGAAATTGTTTTCGAAGGTCTGCCCACCATTTACTAAAAATTTTAAAAGCGTGGTTCTGCCGATCAATAATCACCAGTGGAAGACGAATGACGCTGCAAAATTCATCTACTACGACTCGCAAGGGGTAATTTTTTCCATCCGAACTGTCAGCGCAAAATCAATTAAAAATTTCCTAGAAATTAACTTCAATCGAGGCGGCTACTTTGGCAGACAAGGAATGCAATGCTCTGAATTTGCCCAACAACTGGAAGGCAGAAACTGAAGTCTGCACCGTTCACAGACAAGGAAACACATGTGTAAGCGAATTTCTTTATATTTTGGTTAAAATTGTATAAGTTGGAGGAACTTTGAAGGAAAATTCTTTTTTTTTTTGGTACATCCAGAATCCTAAAATCACAAAGATGATTTTAAAGTCGTGCTAAGCTGTTTCAGTTTTTATTTCCAGGATTTTAAATAAACAAAAACGAACCAAAACTATCAATATTTAATGATTATCTCACAATCAATTTGCAGTAAAAGTTTAAGAAAGTCTGATCTTTATGAAGGAAGAAAAGATAATTTGAAAAGAATAAATAAAAATTAAAAAATGACACATAGTGGGGAAAATTTCTTTATAATAGTTTATGATATTACATACCAAAGATAAATAATTCTTCATTAAACTGATGATATGTGCCGTCCCGCATTACACTGATGACGCGCAGGTTGCATAAATCTGGGCGTTTGCGACGTAACGGGCAATTTTCGCCTTATAGTAACGGCGCTGCTTCGTCATGTCCAACTTGATCTCTTTAATCTGGTCTTGCAGATTTTCCCGTATTACCCGCTGCTGTTGGCGAAAGGGCAATTGGCCGGCGCTCAAACTTGGGGTGTTTGCGACGAAAGCAAGACGGTCAGCCTGACAAGCGAGCAATTCGTCGACGTCGCCATGTACACCAAGTGGATTAGGAAAAACTCCAAGATTAAAATGAACAAGTGCTTGCTTTGATTGCAATATTGACTCATTTAATATTAAAGGCCCTTTTACGTAAAGATTTGTATTATTCCATTTGAAATAATACAAAAATTTATATTTGAAAAAATATATTGCAAAAAAATTCACTCTTTCTTTTGATACAGAGTCACCTATTCCCGCCAAAATCAATCGCTCTTGATGACTTGTAATTTTCTAATGTGGTTGAATTAAGTGATTAAGCAATCAAAACTTTTATGGTTTAAAAGGGAACGATAATTGATTAACTGAAAATGATTCTTGTTTGATGAACCCATGGGAATAATTTACATCAAGCAAGTAAATTTTCATTAACTTTTTATATTAAATAATTAATACTGGAGAGGTCCATTTATCAATTCATTTATTGTTTAAATGTAAATTTTGTTTTGTAAATTACTATTAAATTGCGGTTGCTTTGTGTGTTATTAATGTCATAAGATAAAAATTGAATAAAATCTTCTATGAAAACTATGCTGTTGTGGTGTAATGTTTTGACATTCAATTTTTCTTCAGAAATTATCTGTGCCTTAAATCAGCAAAACAAACGCTCAAAATAATAAAGCACCTATGGAAAAATAATAATTATCAACAGTTTCGTGTAATAAATCTGGTCATTTTCCGGCGCGTTAACTTTTCAGTTGGCAGTGTAGATGGCAGGGCGATTATTTTCTAGGCCGTCGCTGCTGGCCGGAAGTCCCGTGATAATTTGCATAATTCATGAACACACTCACTTTCTCGTTTGGTGCCATAATTTTTATGCATACATTTTTTATACATTGCATGTCGCACAAATATACTGCAGCCGTGCGAGCAAAATAAAACATTGCACGTCCGCCGCTTTGAACTGCAACCCTCGTCGTCGGAAAGAAAAGGGTCGCTACTTTTTATGAATAACAAAAACTTTGCGCGAGCGGAGAGTAGATAACGGAGAGAACTTTTTATCTGGCGGAATATTTGTGGCTCGCATTCGCATCTCAACAATAAGCTTCTGAGATTGCAAAGGGAAAAGGAAAGAACGAAAATCTGCACGCCCAATCTGAGAGACACAAAAGTTTTGTTGAATTTGATGAAACTTCATATCAAAAAATTATCTCTTCAAATTTAACCAGTAAATTTTTAACTAAACACGTCCAGGATATTTTCATCAAGCACAATTTTACTTTAAATGAGTTTTAGGAAAATTCAATCTGCAAATATTTTTTTTTAATTTGTCCAGAGTAAATTACATCGTCATTGCAAATTTATTTTCATTTTCATGTTGTAAAAATTTGAATTTATTGTACAATAATAAAATTAAACTACAAAAAGTTAACTAATTAGAAATTCAAAATTAATTCTGTATTAAAATCGATTGTATTATTATCTACAAACTGTATTTTATAAAATGAAATTCTGACGTGATAAAAAGGAAATTCTTATTTATTTTTCTAGATTATTAAAATTGTTGTTGATATTATTAAATTTATTTATTTATTATAATATACAAATTTGCATTATTTTATTTAAATCAGAACTCGCTTTCAGTAAGGCAAGGACATAGAATAATTTAAAGACAAGAAATCCTAAATCTTAATTTTTAAAATAAAATTGATTTGCAATATTAAAGTAGAAATTTATTTAGTAGATTAATAAATTAATTATAATTCCATAACGAGTACATAAAAATACCTATTATTATTTCCATAAATTTCGGACTGCCTAAAAGAATAATTATTCATCATAATAGCATTAAATATAGTGAGATTAAAACATTTTCGCACCACAATTTAATCCCGGCCGGCTTTACATTTGAGGTCGTGATACATTTTGACGTATGTATAAATAATTGAAGGCAGATATGTAAAGGCAGAATAGGGAAAACATATCACTGTTGTGTGGCGAAATTGGATGAATCAGGGTGAGATTTTGTGGCCAAGTGGACGGGTGGTCGGACGGGTGTCGGGGGGTGCGCGCGTTTTGCGCATAATCTGGGGTCGGCGCTGGCGCCGTGCTGCCTCTCGCGAGCAACACAAGGGCTTCGCTGCCCTTGGCCCATACGACTCTAGTCCGCGCACTGAGTCTCTCGGGGGTGAGGCCGCTGCCGCCGCGTCGCTTCCTCGTGCCATTTGCAACTCACTATACCAACCCAGCCTGCCGGAAATTCTCCGCTTCAACACTTTCGGTGAGTCTCAGTTTTATACTCGCATCCCTTCTCACGCAATTCAGACCAAATGCCTTCCTCTCGGCAAATATTTACTTGCGGAAAAACTTTTCCCAGCGTGTTATATAAATTTATTCTGAATTGAGATTTTCTCTAAATTGATCTTACTCTAAATTAATTTCGTGCAATCAACATAATTTATTTAATAACTTTAAGCAAAATATTATAGTTTAGACAAATTTTTTGGCGTTTGCAAGTAGAAAAATTTCAAACATGCACTTTACTTGGTAAGATTCTCTTAAAAAATCCGTTTTGCGAAAAATTGGTCTCACGTTTTTATGATTTTAAGGTAGCTGAAAATTTTCAATTTAAATTGAAATGGAGGTTCAAAAATTTTTGATTGAGATATAAGTTTAATTTTTCTTACATTAGATAAACTTTTCCAAATTATAAAAATTACAAAAGGGACTTCATGTAATTTATTGTGAGTAAAATAATTATTTTTTATTTTAAAAATTTATTTTCATCAAGTTTAGTTGGATTTGCAATTATCTGATATTGAAATTTCAAAGTATAGAAAATAAATTGCAAAATTATTGCAATTTCTTCTAACTAAGTACGTCTTTTAAAGCTTCATTATCAAGATTATTTAATTTTCCATCTCATTTCTAAAAAAATTAAAAAACGTTTTTTGGAGAAAATTTGGTCAAAATAATATGATATGAAAAATGCAACAGACTCTATTTTTAGTGACGTTCTTCAAAATTGAATTTAAAATGGGGGTTCTTGTATAAACCTTTCATGATTTGTTCCCATTTAATTATTTGGAAAGTTGAAGAAAAATCATGAATTTATGTCTGATATAAATAATATTACTCAACGCTCAATTTTCAATTTTTTCAAATAAATTTACACTCAAAGCGATTTCAAACAAGTAGCTTTGAGAATGAAAATCAATTTTCCGCACCGAATCGAAAAGGAATCGTCTGGAAAAAGGAAATCTGTTGCTTTGACATAAAACCGAGTCGCGTTTTGTTTGTTGTTGGCAAAAGTCTCTTTTCATGTTTTGCGACACGAACAAGTAAGCAACTTTAGCAAAGGTCAAACACGACGCACACGTATAATAAGTTGGTGCCCAAGTTTTGCATCCAAAGTTTGGCAAAACAGAGCGGGAAGGAGTGACTGCTGCTCGTGGTTAATGTAGTGCGGGTCGTATTACTGCGAATGGGGTGAGTCACTCGGATGACCACTTGCTATCGATTAGCGGGCCCAGGTTAAGCCGACACACACACATGCACGCCACATCCTTTATTCATGCCGTGCAAGACAAATAAGAGTGGAAAGATGGCCAACTGCCTATTTACTTTCCCTCGCATTCATTTCTCGCCCTAAAGACATATTTTATCATGTTACTCGGAGCTACGACGTGATTTTCCATAACCAATAGTTTGTCTGGCTTAATTTGTATGTTGAATGTTTGCACGAAGTGTCAGCGTTTAATTCAATCTATAAATTTTTAATCATAACACATATTTTACTTGTTGTTTATTTAATTAAAAATTAGGAAACCTATATTATTTATTGATTGTTCTGCAAAACGTTTTTCTGGTTTAATTTTAATTTTGATAATTTTACTACAATAACCAACGAGAAAGAAAGTTCATATCATTCTTTATTCTTTTATTATATAGTTTTTTTAAACTAATTTAAACTTTATATTTATTCAATATTTATTAGCCCTTTTAATTTATTAAAATTGTTAAGTCTTAAAAACAAGGGAATAGTAACAAAATAAATAAAATAATAATCGTACCTTGTGTGCGAAACCTCTGCCTAGTGACCTTCGGAGTTTTCTGCTTCCGCCTGTAAATAAGCAGAAAGTTGAGCTGTGGAAATTTCCACCTCATTGATATTCTAAATTATTTACAATTACGAGTAATAAAGTACATATTTCATCTTATTCCAAGTTGAACTGCCAACTTTGCATTTCGCTCAAGACAAACCGCAGAACTGCTGCAACTGATGGCGCTTTATGCACTTTCTTCGCACAAACTAATACACTGCACTTGCATATACACATCACCGACTCATGCATTTTGCATCACGAATCTTTTATGCAGAAAACTATATTCTGCTCGAGAGTAACTTGCTCCACTTTCCAAAAGTGGAAAATAGTTAATAAAAATCAACGCGTGGAATGTTTGCAAAGAAAATACGAAGCGACGCGCACTTAAAAAGTTGCAACTCACGCAGCAAGCACGAACTCACTGAACTGAATGAATCTAATTTGAATTGTCTTTATTAACATCAATAAAAGAAAAAGGTGAAAACATATATATTATGTATTCACTGGGAAGGGTTGACGAGAAATTTTTGAGTCGGAAATAATTTGATTTCAGCTTGGGGTCTTTTCTTTTAGTGCAAATGTGGAAATAATAATTTTAAGTGGAAAATCCTTTGATTAAAAATAAATTCATTTCGCCTTTTAGAACTATACATTATTTGAGAAATCTAAAAACGTTTGATAAAACAAAGAACCTCTGAATAAATTTCGATATCCACATTCTGGTTCTCGTTGCTGTCAGAGGAAAGTCCGGAATATTTTGTCGGTGTTTGTTGGAGTAAAAGGGAGATTTGCAATGCAAAGTATTTGACACGCACCCCTCTCCATTGCACGAATTTATCGCAGAGCAGTAAAAGGTCCCAAATCCAAAGAAATTAATCAGTAGCACTTTTGACTCTGCTGCCGAATCTTTAACTTTGGAAATCGATTTATAGATTTCTCGTTTTCGAAAGCCTCGGTTCAGGGAAAATGATCGCCGATTAACGCACATGTCAGTGCAAAAATGATCCATCAATGCTGCAGATTAAGACTCAACTTTGACATTTTTCATCTAACGCGTGAGGATGTGGGTTGTTGAGCTATAAAGACATTTTTTGTTCAATTTATGGATTTATGTGATACGTTCAGTTTGCATTAAAATCTATTTTTTTCTTCTTGTAAACGTACTAAAAAAATCTTTCAATGGTCTAACTTTGAATCTGCTATGAATTATTTAGATTACTAATTTTAATTTTTTTTTATTACAACATTTAATCAAAGTACCTCATAAATCTTGAGATTTTTACACTTATTTTTCCCTCCTGATGCTGTTATATCCACAATTTTACTGAGGCTTTTGACATAATTAAAATCATGACAATGATTTTCAAGACAATTCTCAATACCTGCTCGATACAAATAAAAAAAGGTGCTTTTCATTTCTCTAGGGACTGAATTTCGTCGCGGGAAAGGCAAAACAAATAATAAAAATTACTCTCTCCGGCTCACAATAAATAAATCAGATGGAAAAATTTGGAATCATTTTAACTCTGCAGACGGTGATGTGTTATTTAAAAAGTTTGGCAAAAAAAAATGCACTCAGGAAATGAATGCGCGAACGGGTTATAAATATATAAATCTGAGAGGGCAAAAATCCAATCACGCGTCCTCGATCGAAGATTTTCCAATCTGATTGAGATGCATGCAAAATGCAAACCGCGGCAAAAATGCACTGCTGGCTTTAAGCACTGGCGAGAGGCAAAAAGCTCTTTTCGAAATGCATGAGAGATCCGCTGACTGGAAAATCGAGCCGCGCGCACGGAAAAAGCAGCTCGTCCCTCGGTGCAAAACCAAGCGAAAATTAGATTAACCGAGAAAGCTTACTTGCATATTGACAAAGTCATCTGCCGTCGTTCTGGAACAAACATCAAGCGGCACATAAGCCGAAGGGAGCTGCGGGTTGGTCGGGACGCTTTTGTTCCGCGCTCCACCGCCTGTGTATGCACCGGGCCTGCAACTTTTCAGCTTCAAGAAACTAGGCGAGCTAATTCATCTCCGCTGTTGACACACTCTAAATAATTGATTCGGCCTGTAATAAATTTATGGTTTTGCTCTCGTGCCATTTATCTTGTGTTGCGGAACGCAAATTGAGTCGTCAACCAGCAGACGCGCGTATTGTGCAACCGCGCTTGTTTGTGTTCTCAGCCCCAATACTTTTATCTTGACACAACAAATTACACGCAAAGTCGAGCTCGATTATTACCAAGCTTACGCTAATATTAGCTGAAAACAATGGAGCGCTCTGAAATTATTAATGGCTGCAGTGAAAAATCTATTTTGAAAACAAAATGAGTAATTTTATGATGCTTTGTGACTCGAAATTCCAAACAGTCAGTCATATTTTAGACTAGATTCATCATCGTCATTATTAAAAATGTAATTTGTTGACAAATTAATAGTAAAATAAATTATTATAATTTTTCAAACTATCTAATAAAATCGATTCAATTTGTTCATTTTTACCTCATAAATAAAACAAATCGTCGATTTTCTCAGACAAATTAAATAACTAATAATTGAATAACCATCCAGGATACAGTGTGTGTGAATGATTTAATGCAAAGTGAAAATATAAAGAATGTTTAAGCATTTATTTTAAATTTTGATGGCTTTAAATATTCATATTTATTCTCATCATGAGAGTAACTAGCATTTTGACGTTGGTTGCTTTTATCATTCTAGTCTTTTGTCTCTTCGCACTAGAAACCGCAAATTAAACGCGAGCAAACGGAGCGTGAAATCAAATATATTTGACAAAATAAATCCTTGCCGGCGTTTTCCTTCATTTACGACTGAAATGTTCCAGACGATTTCATTGCGAAGCAATTCGACTCATTTCCCAAGCATTAAGTCGAATGAAGTCTCTCTTTAGTGCTGGAATTTATTGCGCTCTGATTCAGCCGAACAACACTTCTTTATGATCATAAATCACCATAAATACAATACACACTGCGGGGATGATAAACGGCGCAAAAGTACTGCCACGATATTATATTTTGATGCTGCGTTGGCGAGGAAAAGACTTCATCCTCTTACAGGCGCGGATCCTCTTGCCAACCATTATCTCGAGGCGCTTCTTCTTGCCCTGCCCACGGAGCAAAATGCGAAATCTCTTTGCAAGAGAGCAGCTCTTCATTAC